ACATTCCTATCTTACTTCTACTTGTGAATAGTTCAAAACTTTACTTGAACTCCAAATTTTTCTTTTTTGATTTTGTGATGTCAATTGTGACACCTACAACATCTTTACTTACTCTCTTACCTATCTTTAGTTCATTCAGATCAATACTTCTATGTTATTTCTTGTAAATAATGCCACTATGGTGCAGGCGTTGTTAGGGCTTCAAGTATTGGGAATTTGAGGGAAGACCTCCCTTGTGTGTGAGATGGTCAATTGTGAGGGAACACTCTGAGCGCTTTCTTTGTGAAGGAGTTAATGCATCGGGTTCAACACATATGAAGTCATCCCAAGGTACCCATTTCTGATGGCCTGAAGCTCTTCGAAGACGTCTCTCATCTCTATTCATTCTTTCAGGGATTCCCTCATGCACATGACGCCGATCTTCATCGTCAACGTCAAAAATCTAGAAAGATGTTGACTTCTTTCTCGGCTTGTCTCATGCTATTGCAAGTTATTGCTCCTGCGAGGAGTCTCAGATCAGCGACGTCCATAGCCTTCCAAGGAAGAGATGCCTTGACTAAACTCAAAAGAGTCTAATAGTAGAGCAACAATCCAAAGCTATACATGTCGTCGTACGTTGACAGAGGACTCTTTAGTCCATTATTCTACGAGATCAAGCGAACGAGAGAGAGAAAGAAGATGCTAATTGATTTAAAATGGCAGGTTATAGAGAGAGAAACTATGATGCCCATAGCATTTGAAGAAAGGAGAGCAACATGAGTACCTTGATTACTTGGTGCGAGGTACCCAATAGAGCCCTTTACCTGATCGTGCTACTTAGACAACCGACGTCTCTTTTAATACTTTTCAAGAGACATCTTACTACCCTAATGTCACCGAGACGAGCAATCATATCGTCACCGAGAAGAACGTTGGATGGCTTTATGTCTTAATGAATCAATAGAATGTAGTAATAATTGTGGAGATTATTCAAAATAGAGACCACGTTGATAAGAATCCTCAACCTTTGGAAGAAGTTTAGTATTCTCCTAACTTTTTTTTCTCCCCCTGCCTTCTCTCTCTTTCTATGTGTAAAAAATATATAAGCACATGATCACAATAACAATAAAAATTCAATTTTTAGATATCAGTGAGAACAAATAGAAAAGCAATCACCAAATTATCAGGAATCTTAATGAGAACAAGACTTCTACTAAATACTTCTAATCTACGTCTTAATGTCCTTGAGATGACTCACACATTGAAGAGTCAATAATAGACTCTTATCTCCTTCAATAAGAACTTCACTTGTAATAGAAGAGAAAAAAGATATTAAGAAAAATAAATAGAGTTGATGGAGAAAGAGAATAAAATCAAGAGAGAGAGAGAGAGTTATCTATCTTCCTCAAAAAATAGAAATATATATTATATTTATAAAAAATAAGAAAATATAATCACTACATAAAATGAAGTATATCGATCTACATGTAGTTGAGCCCACACATTTCAGAGGTGACAATTACAACTACCCTTGTTTCCTACTCTCTCTCTTTACACGACCCCCAAACAAGTCAAAAGGGTTGACGTGACTACCGTGTCACCTTCCCCTTACTCTTTGCACGCCTCTCGAGTGAGTTAGACGAGAGAGGTCTCTCTCACATAATAGGTGAGAGAAGAGAGGCTATCTCGCACATCTCCCAAATGAGTCAGCCATGATGGACTGACACCATCAACAAACTCCACCTTAGAAGCCATCATCAGTGTACCTAGAGTCAATGTTCGTCCATGTTGTAAGTTTTTCATCTTTTGTAACGTATCTACAATATGAATCAAATTTACACAATGTTTGAACTTCTCTAATGTGATGACTTTCATTAATATATCCATAATATTCTCCTCTGTGTGAACCTTCTCTAGAGAGATATCTTTAAAATTTATCAACTCACGGATCTTGTGATACCACACATCAATATGTTTCGATCGTGCATGATAGACCTAATTATTTACTAAGTAAATAGCACTATGACTGTCACAATATAGAAGAACTTCACCCTATCAGATCTCAAGTTCGCTCAATAATCTCTTCAACCACAAGACTTCTTTAGTCACTTTAGTAGTTGTCTTGTATTCTACCTTAGTCGTAGATAATACAAGAATAATTTGAAGTGTAGACTTCTAGCCAACATGTCCACTAGCCATGATAAATATCTATCTTGTTGTAGATCTTTGATAATCTAAATTCTTACAAAATTTACATCAACAAAGCCAATAGTAAAAAGATAATTTTTCCAATCAAAATAGATTCCAAAATCTAAATAGCACTTTAGATATCGAAGAATCTACTTCACTGTGCTCCAATGCTTCTTTCCTAAATTACTTATAAACCTGCTCACAAACTAAATTACATAAATAATATATAGTTTGGTACAGACTATAACATACATAAGAGAGTCAACCGCACTAGGATTTGTTTCATCTTAATAATATCTTCCTCAGATGTTAAACACTGAGTAGTAGATAATTTGAAGTGACTAGTTAGATGAGTACTCATTATTTTAACATTACTCATACCAAATAGATCCACTACCTTCGAAAGATAACTCATATGAGTCAACTATAGTTGACCTAACTCTCAACCTATATAGATCTTCATATCAAAAATCTTATTTGTCACACTAAGATTCTTTATGTTAAATTTAATACTCAATAGTGACTTCAATCTATAATTTCATGTAAATTCTTTGAAACAATAAGTATATCATTAATATAGAGCATCAAAATAATTAGAGAACAATCACCACGAGTCTTCATATAAATACAACAGTCAAAATCACACATTATATAATCAATCTTCAATATGTAAGAGTCAAACTTCTTGTACCATTATCTCGATGCTTGTTTTAACCCATAAAGGGACTTATTCAATTGACATATAAGATGTTCTGGTCCTTGCACAATAAAACCCTCTAACTGTTGCATATAAATAGTCTCCTCTAAATGTCCATGAAAGAACGTCATCTTCATATACAACTACTCAATCTCCATATCTTCATGTGCGACAAAGTCTAACACCAAGTAAATAAATGTGTACTTTACAATAAGTGAAAAGATCTTTGTATAATTAATTTTTTATTTCTGTGTAAAGTCTTTTGCAACAAGTCTTACTTTGTACTGTGACTGTTCACCATCAATTATCAATAACTTCTTCTTGTACACCATTTGCATCTACTAACTCACTTCAATGTAGAAAATTTATTAATTCTCAAGTGTGGTTCTTGTCTAAAGATGCTCGTTCCTAAGACATCATCTGCATCCACTTATCTTCTTTAGGACAACTAATTATTTCTTGAAAAATTGTGGGCTCGCCATCTCCTGCAAATAATACAAAAATAATATAATCATCAAGATAAGTAAGAGTTTTTATTTCACGCCTATTTCATCTAGAAATAATATAATTAGGAACATCTAATGATTGTGCAACTCGATCTTCACTCACAACAAAATTAAAAGGACTTTACACATTCTCTACCTCCAGCTTTACTTTGTTTACAACTCAAGTATTATCAAATTCTTGAACCTTGTGTTCTATAAAAAAAGATTTCAACATGTGATCTTCATAGAAAATCACATCCTTACTGAAAATAACTTTCTTCAACTTTGAATCTCAAAGTCGATATCCTTTTATGTTAGTGTTATAGTTCAAGAAAATATATTTCTTTGACTTTGGATCTAACTTTTATTTCTCATCAGCACGTGTAATAAAGTATCTTGGACATTCAAATATATACAAATTCAAATAATTAGTAAGATTTTTAGTCCATATCTCTTTAACAAACTTCTTATCAAGAGCAGAATTTAGTGATCTATTCACTAAATAAGTTGTCATACTCATAGCTTCCATTTAAAATTCTTTAGACAAGTCGACATTCAGCCATAAACACAATGTTCTCTTAATAGGTGTGTGGTTAATCCGCTTAGTAATATTGTTTTGTTGCGGAGTCTATTTCTTAAATTTTGTATCATTATTAGTTCGCAAGACTTTAATCTTCCTTCCTGTCTTATTCTCTATCCTCACACACAATTTTAAATTTTGTAAATACTTTTGACTTGTGTTTCAAGATGAATATCTAGATATTCATAAAAAGTCATCCATAAAGATCAAAAAATATCGAGCACCACCCATCAACGTCACATCAGTCGGACCATGCATATCTGAATGAATATAATTTAACACACCACCTATATCGTGTTTCACTATCGTGAATGTTACCTTGTACTATTTTTTCATGATATATTACTTGTAAAAATTTAATTTATAAGTTCTCACATCATGTAGTAGTCCTCGTGTATGTAACTTCTACATACATATCTCATTCATATGATTCAATCACAAATGTCATGAAAATATGTCATCAATCATAGAATCATCCAGTGTCGTAACATAAACTCCACCTATAATAGTACTCCCCTTAAGTTTATAAATATTTGATTGTTGACATTTTCTCTTTATCGCAACAAGTGATCTTTTGATAATCTTAAGGATCCCATTTTCTCTTTTAAAGTAACATTCATTCGCCTCTAATACTCCAAACAAAATCAAATTTTGGTACAATGGTGGAACATGACAAATATTTTTAAACTTTCAAACCACTCTATCAAATATTTAAACCTTTATCGAATCAATGCTTATAACTTCGCAAGGTACATTATTTTTTATAGAAATGACTCATATTGTACTTTTGTATAAGTCAAATTAGTTAGCATTATGACACATGATAAGCACAATTAGTATCAAGAATTCATGTATTCGACAACTCCTCAACTACAACAAGTCTAGAATAGACTTCACCATCTTCTTTGTTCTCAACCTTCGTAATATTAGTCAAATTAGATTCACCTCTTGTTATCTTATCAATTTGGTTCTTCAGATAATTTCTTTGTAAGTGTCTCTTTTCATGACACTTGTGATAAGTTTAGTTTTTCAACTAATTTGTCTCTGACTTGAACTAATTCTTCTTGTCTCATGATGATCTTGTTTCCTTCTGTCTTTCACATTCTCTTCCATCCTTCATATATAAATCTTCACTACGATCCTCACCAATATTTTTCTTTCGATGATAATACTTCATCAATGAGTTAATAACATCTTCAAAAATTAATGTTGTACTATCATACAATAAGGTCGTAATAAGATGATCATACGAATCAAGAAGAAATACAAGTAAAATAATAATTTTGTTCTCATTAGAAAAATCTGATTCCATACAAAGTAAGTCATTCAGCATTGATTAAAATAATCAAAATATGAGATGTTAAATCATCTACATCTGACATGCGTAACTCAAATAGCTTTCTCTTCAATGTCAATTTATTCATCATTGACTTTGGTACATATCGTTTCTTCAATTTCTTCTAGAGTTTCTTTGGATTGTATTTCTTTATGACCTGTTGAAGAGTTCAATCAGATAAACATATATGAATAAAATCTCTAACTTTCTTTTTTATTATGTCTAAATCAACAATACATCATATACACAATGCTTCTAGAGATTAAAGTTAGAAGACTTATCTAAATTTTAGATGTCAGTATACACCTTAGAAGTCATAGTAAATCTAAAATTCACTTATAGAAAAAATATGTAAGCATAAGATCATAATAATAACGGAAACTAATTTCTAGATATTAGTGAGACCAAATAGAAGAAAAATCACCAAGCTAACAAGAATCTTAATGAGAACAATACTTCCACCAAACACTTATAATCCATGTCTCAATACCTATTTATAAAAAAGATAGAAGATACTAAGAAAAATGAATAAACTTGATAAAGAGAAAGAATAAAATCAAGAGAGAGAAAAAGAGAGAATTTATAGTATGTTGTCCTAAAAAAGTAGAAATACATATGCTATTTATAGTAAATAGTAAAATATCAGAGGTGACAATTGCAACCACCCTCGTTTCCCACTCCTCTCTCTGCACCACCCCAAACGGTCAAAAAGGTTGATGTGACTACCATGTCACTACCCCATTACTTGCATGCCTCTTGAGCGAGTCAGATGGGAGAGTTCTCTCTCACAAAGTCCGCCGAGTTGACCAGGATTTCCCCACAAAATCGGAGGAGCTTTCAAGGATGAAAAGTGCGAGGATCTTCTTCGCTCTACAGGCTGCTCCGTTGGCATGTGAGACTTCAGAGGGACTCCGCACAGCAAAGGCAAAAGGTCTGGTGAACGAAGGGAAGAACCCTCGGTGTGACGCTAGAGTGACGGAAGAAATCCCTCGACTTCGTCTACGCTTGATAAGTCAACTGAGGCGGACAGATTTCCATTCGAATAGGAACGTAACCGGGATTCTTGAATGTTATTATCTTCAAATATAGGCATCCATAAACTCTTAAATGATCGGAAAATTGATCTATCTATCGGACTTGATGGTGTCTGGGCGGGCCAACGAGAAATATGCTACTGCAATGAACTTGACGCTCGCGCAACTAAGCGGATGGGTCTTTTTAGGATTATCGGATTAGTCGTCTAAAGAAATTTTCACCTCCTAAAGATTTGACTTCAGGGGATCATTCATTACGAAGAATGCATGAGAAATCATCGCATTTCTTTACAGAAACTCGGGAAAATAAAAATTTAATCTTTGTGTACAAATTCGATCTTGTTCGGATCCCTCCTCCCCTGAGACATGCGCAGTTTACTCCTCCCCATGTGGGTCATGAGGGTGGCCAGGCACCGGTAGATCCCCTCCGCCATGAGATGGGAGCAGTCCTCCACGAAGAACTGGTGGATCCTCCCGTCAATCTCGATCCAGCTGCAGCCGGGGGTCTTCTTCAACCTCTGCTCCTTCATCCTCCCTCTCGCCCTCCGCACCTCCTCCCATCTCCCGGCGGAGGCGTACATATTCGAGAGGATTACGAGATTTGAATCGTGCTCGTCCGGATCCGTCCCGGCGAGGAGCCCGGCGACCTCGTCGCCGACGGCGAGATTCCTGTGCAGGCGGCACGCCGAGAACAGAGACCCCAGGATCCCCGCGTCCGCCTTCATGGCAGGCCTCTCCTGGAGCAGCTCCAAGGCTTCCTCGACCCTCCCGGAGCGCCCCAGGAGATCAACCAGGCAGGAGTAGTGCTCTACGCCCGGCTCAATCCGATGCCCCTTCTTCATCTCGTCGAAAAGACGGCAGCCTTCCTCGACGAGCCCCCCGTGGCTGCAAGCGGAGATCACGGCAAGGAAGCAGACGCGATCGGGCGCCGCCGCCTCTGAGCTCTCCATCTCTCGGAAGAGCTCCACGGCCTCCCTCGCCCGGCCATGGGAGCCATACGCCGCGATCATGGAGGTCCAGGAGACGAGGTCCCTCGCGGGCAAACCGTCGAACACCCTGCGCGCCTCTTCCACTGCGCCGCACTTGGCGTACATGTCCAGCACCGCGCTCATGACGATCTCGTTCGATCCGAGCCCGGCTTCGACAGCGGCGCCGTGGATCTCTCTACCCTGTTCAAGCGCCGCCAGCTGCGAGCATGCCGGCAGCACGCTGGCGAAGGTGACGGCGTCGGGCCTCACCTCCAGAGACCTCATCGCGCGGAAAACCTCCACAGCCTTGAAGAACTCCCCCGCCATGGCGTGCCCCGAGATCACCACATTCCACAGCACCGTCTTCTTCTTCTTCTCCACTCGGGAGACGCCCCCGAACACCCGCTGTGCGCATCCCACGCGGCCGCATCTGAAGTAGAGGTCGATGAGGGAGCTCTGGACGAAGACGTCTGCTTCCACCTCCCGCCTCACTAGGTACCCGTGGAGGAACCTCCCCCGCCGCAGGTCGGAGGACCGAGAGCACACCGTGAGGAGGGTGCTCAGGGTGGTCTCCGTGGGCCTCACTCTCTCCCTCTCCATCCTCTCCAACAGCGCCACGGGTGTCTCGCTGTCCCCGCCAGCGGCGGCGGCGTATGCGCCGATCATGGAGTTCCAGGCGACCACGCCCTTCGCGGGGATCCGCTCGAAGACATCTCTGGCGCTCTCCAGGCGCCCGCACTTGCCGTACATGTCAACGAGGGCGGTGCCGACGAAGTCGTCCACCGGGACCCCGCGCCTCGTCAGGTCCTCGTGTATCTGCCTCCCCGTCTCCGGTGCCGGCAGCCGCGCGCAGGCCGAGAGGGCGGTCGTGAATGTGACCGCGTCGGGCTCGAAGCCGCTGCTCTTCATCCGTTCGAACACCTCCAGGGTCTTGGAAGCCTGCCCATCCTGGTAATAGCAGGAGATCACCGTGTTCCAAGATGGCACGTCTCTCTGGGGCATTTCGTCGAACACGCGGATGGCGGCATCGAACAGGCCGCACTTGGCGTACATGCCCACCAGGGAGCTCGCCACCACGGCGTCGGCCGCGCAGCCAGACTTCACCACCAGGGCGTGGAGCTCCCTCCCCTCCTTGTCGCTGCCCAGCCCCGCGCAGGCCTTAAGGACGCTCGGGAAGGTGTACCCGTCGGCGCGGGCCAGCTTGGACTGCCGGAGGCGGCGGAAGAGGAGGAGGGCGTCGCGGTGGAGGCGGCTCCTGGAGTGCCCCGCCAGGAGGGCGTTCCAGAGGGTGATGTCCGCCGGGTCACCGGCGGCGGCGAAGACCAGCCGCGCGGGGACCGGCAGATTGCAGGCGAGGTAGAGGTTGACGAGGCCCTTGCAGACGGCGGGGTCCCCCTGCAGACCCAGAGAGATGGCTTTCTGGTGGAGCAGCAGCCCTGGCTTCAACATCTTGGCCCCGGCGCTCGCCTTCAGCCGAGCCACCAGGCACCGGGCCTCCATCCCCTCCCCGCCGCCTGGACGCGGCGGTGGCGGCGGCGCCGGGGGGAGGGGAAGGCGGGGGAGTGAATATGAGATTTAGAAAGGTTTTTTTTTTTTTTTTTGCCAATTTCTCGTGATGACAACACAGTCACATTGATGGGAGGAGAAGTGGGATGCAGAGACTCGGCGACCTTCGACGTCCGTTGACTTGAGATGGGAGCTCGCCGGCGATCAGTCTGGGAGGATGATCGGTAAACAGTAAGCGGGTGACGGATGTCGTTGGCTGGGAGAGATCGAGGGAGAGGAGGTGCTTAGTACCTGTATGACAGAACGAGCAGGAGAAGCAGAGCAGCCACTTGTAGTGCGGCGGAGGCGGCTTGGGCGGCCCTCTGGGAGAGTGTAGCACCGCCGCTTCTTTGCTCTCCGGCTCTGGCTTCTGAGGTTGCTGCTCCGGCACCACCTTCAGAGACCCGATTCCTCCTGGCAATCTGCAGAGGACGATGACCCAAATGCCACTGACGAGTTTCCATCTCTGATGAACCAGAAGTCTAGAGAGATGGAGAGAGAGAGAGAGAGAGGTACATGGGAAACGCAAACGACTGAATGCTGCTGGCGTCCGACCGACGAGAGGAGCTAGAAGAGTGAAGAGTGCCCTCAGCAGGAACCACTCTGCCGTTGGCGTGTTCTTCTTCGACTGCTTTCATGACGTCCTTCATGGCCTCTGCATTCGTCTGTTCAGCAGAAGCAGTTCGGCCGGAATGGCCCGACCTTCCCAAACTCATCTCGCCGGAGTGGAATGTCGAAGGAACCGCCGAGGGGGCCGCCCCCGGCGGCGGGCTGTAGGAGAAGTCCCCCGGGTCGCCGGAGCGGCCTATGAGGAAGACGTGATCCCTTGAAAAGCTGGAGTTTCCCATCTGGATGCTGAACAGGGATTCATTAGAAGCGGTGCTCCAATCCCCAGGCGCCGTTGACTTGGGCCTCGCGAAAACGGAAGCCGGGATCCTGTTGGGATCGTATCCGTCAATCCTTCCCGATTCTTGGATTGGTGTCTGAATCGGTCCGACAAGTCGCCCGGAGCTATCTGCTGGATTAAATCACGTTAAACATCGATGAAAACAGAATCGAATTGGGGCAGACCTAAGTAGGACGAGGGTTTCTTCCTCCTAACCTCGATCAGGGTCTTCAGATCCGGTGAATACCGCTCGATTTCCGGGTTTGTCATCCGCGGGGGAGGAATTCGTTGCGCCGAGCGGCTTCTCCAGTTCGGCGTTGCTCCGCTCAGTTGCTTCACCGGTGATCGGCTTGGTAAGTGCCGTCGCAGTTAACTGGAAGAAATCATCCTCAGATGAAGAGCCTGAGGAAGTGGAAGATGAACTGGAGTTGACTTTCTTGTGTTCTGCTTTTCTTTCCGAAATGATTGAAGCCTGTGCTCTGACCCCGTCGTCAATGCCTTCAACATCTCTGTTCTCGTTCTTCTGACTGTTATTCGTAGCACTGTCCATGATCGTAATCCCTCGTGCCTTCTCTACTACCACCATTAGACCGTCACTGCCCAGATCAATGGAGCCGCTGAAGGTAGGATAAAGATGTGGAAAAAGAAATCACGACGATGATGAAGCACTCCCTAATTTTCACATCGGCATGTAGAGTATGATCATTAGTCTCCTATATGTGACGAGCGTCACACCGTGCAGTGAGTACTCGATTGAGAAGGAGCATCCAATTCTTCTTCGGATCCGTCACAGGGCGGCGCCACAAGCTCAAACAAAAACAGATCATATGCGTCGGAGGACAAATGTTAGTCTACTATATTTAGGTTGATGATGAGCAGAGTTTGATGTCTGTCAAAACCGAAATCGAACAGAGTAGAGTTGTTCATGCTGAAGCACGATCCAGAGAAGAACAGCAAAAGGAAAAATAGATCGTAGAGGCGACCAAGAACGTTTCCGGCATTTGACGTCAAATCTCCTGATTCAACAAGAGTCGCAGATGATATGATGGAAGGAACGACCGCCATTCCGACAAATTACCACGTCAAAGCCTTCCAATCGGGCGCAGATATAAAGAAAAGAAGATTATATTGTCAGATCTGAAAAGACTACCTCGATTAGCAAGTCGCTCGATGGACCCCAAGAAGCGAAGCGCTCAGAGGAGAAAAATGAAGAAACGTGACGATCATCTGTTCTATTCGACTCTCTTCCCCGCCAGAACGACGCTTCTCTCACACCGACGCTCTGGAATTCCAGGTGATAAGGTGATCCACCGGAGAGAGAGAGAGAGAGAGAGAGAGAGAGAGGGAGAATTTCGATCGTCCAACGCCTGCCAGATGTCAAGAACTTAAACGACTGCGAAGAGGAGGGGGAATTCCAGCCGGGCAAGGTCAGACCTAGTGAGCAGCGGTCACTGCTCCCTCCCCTCCCCTCCCCTCTCTTCCCCGCCATCTCCCTCTTCCTCGGGAGGGCGCAGGCCGAGAGGGCGGCGAGGGAGAGGGAGGGGCGGAGAGAGAGAGAGAGAGAGAAGGCGGACCGGATGTTTCGAACCCCCGGCGATTCCCGCGGTTTCCAGCCTTTTCTTCTTCCTTATTTGGATTTAAATCACCAAACTTCTATTTGAAGGAAATCAGAAGCTAACCATAAACAGACCGGTAACGAGGGAAGGGTTATCCTCGTAGATGACTTATTTGCCCTCAACATCGTGATCTGGACAGCTTAGACCACATCCGACCATCCGTTGGATAAGCCCAACCGCTGGGTCTGTTGAACCCAGGTCAGGTCACCGCAAAAATCTCCGATAGGCCGAGGGAGGTGACGGTAACTCGAAATCGGATTTTCGGACGTGGATTCCAACCTCTGTTTTCCCGCGAGCCAAATCCGATTCCCATGCGCACGTGGGCGTGTACATTTCCATAAATGCCCTTCCGGATGTACCAGCTGTGATTAACCAGGGGACGTAATTGAGCTCGCGAAGGCGAGGGTTAGCATATTTATTCCAGATTTTTGAGGGGGATCATTAAAAATCACGCAGTTTGGTGCTAAAATTATTTATTTAAAAAATTCCCAGCACGAAAAAAAAGGGCACTTAAATTCACGTCAGAGAGAGAGAGAGAGAGAGAGAGAGAGAGAGAGAGAGAAGTGTCGTGTAGTATTTACATTACAAGACGCCCGCTTTGTAGTATCCAAGCAGATACTATAAATGGAAAGAATTATACAGGTATGGAGGGAGGAAGAGGGGTCGGCGTGCATCACGAAGAAGAGCCCTGGTGGTTCTTGGAGACTTCCAGCTGTGGGGGAAGGAGGTTGAGGAAGCTCCCTCGAACGGGCTCTTCGTCCAAATCCGAGGATTCTGCGGGAGGAGCAACTAAGCTGAGCAATAATCTAGAGAGAGAGAGAGAAAGAGAGAGAGAGAGAGATGTATAATTCATAAATAATAACTAGTGGGTAATCACAAAGGACCCCATTTGATAATCCTACTTAGTGAGTCAAAATCTTCCCTGATGTCCCAACATAGGCAAATAATCTAGAGAGAGAGAGAGAGAGTGTGGAGGGGGGGGGGATGTACTGACCGAATAGGGACTTTACAGAGGGTCTCTTTGAGCTTGACTTGCTTTTCTTCCTCAACTCAGCTGCAAGCAAATATGCGAGATTTATCCTCTTCACAAGGAACCAGAACCAATTTCATCCATTTATATTTCCATTCATTCGAATGATATAAAACAGCTCATTCTCAATTCGAAGGCGCAAGAACCGGAAGGCACATTGGGAAATCACAGGAAAAATGCATCTGTCACAAGAAACATGTTGGCAATTTTAATTTCTTGCCAAGTTCCCTTCGGATAATGCAATGCGGCCTCCAATGATTCGGGTTCCTTTTTCAGAAATTAAAAAAAAATGATACTAACTATAGGCTTTCTTCGATCAAAGTAAGCTGGATATTGTTTTGAGATGATGTATAAAATCTTTACTATCTACTTGGTTTCCGATCAAGGTTGAGTTGAGTTGAGTAGAGCTATACATTTGGCACACAAACTCTGGACCATTATGAAGAATTTTTTTTTCTTGATTTAAATGATTAAAATCATAATTAAGATGAAGAAAACAGCAGCAGAAAGCAATTGCTCAACCGAGTGGATCATGAGATCAACTGGAAGCCAGAAAAACAGAGAAATTATAAAAATATGCATTTATGGAGGAAAACTCAATAAATCAGATCCATTCGGGAAGAAACTCAAGAACTATTACCACAGAGAACTAACTAGAAGACTGATCACAAGCCTACGACCTACATACATATTGGAGATATCCGGTGGTAAATAATCTTCTCATTAATCTCTACACATCGAAAGAGCAAGAGAAAAAGTTACCGATGCCGGGCACTTCAGGATCCCCAACAATTTCAAAATTCTTATAAGTGTAGCCCACAAAATTGATATCCTTTGAAGAAAGCATCTGCAAGAACAATAGATGCATCCATAACCATTGGCGGCGGCATTTAGTACAATTAATGAAAGGATGCAAGTCAACGGCTGGAATAAGAAAAACTACATCAAATTAATAAATAATGCTGGGATATTCAGCGGCTGGACGGTTTTCCATCAGAATCTACGGATTTTCGAGATAAAGAGAAATTTAGAACGAATCGGGCATCACCGCTTTGACAACTTTTCATCTGAAATTGTGGCCGTGTAGCTTGATTAGGCGAAGGCAATTCACAATAAAGGAAGTCTTCCATCAGAGGATTCTGGCTCATCAGAATCAGATGCATGATGCATTTCTAACCACGTCAGGGGACAATGAATGGCGAGATGCAGAGAAATTTAGCAATCATATTCAAGCTCTAGACAGCATAAAATGTACGGAGGACATGTTTAGCAATAGGCACCAACACGCAAAGAAACAATAAACTTAGCCAGAAGAATAAAAGAAAAAAAACATGCTTACTCTTCTCCAAGGACCCGACTTTGATGACGTTTGAATTTCCTCGCATGACTATAAAGCAGCACATCACATAATAAAGATAAATGCACGATGCAGAATATCAGATAAACCGCAATCAACTAACAAGAAGATTTATAATTTTTTCTGTTTTTGGAAAGATCACCTCCTCAAATTTTTCAAAATTTTGGGTGTCCAACTCGTCATTAACCTCAGGTATGAAGGCAGCTTCCATCTGATATAATTTATCCCATTTGACACCTTTGAACCAAGGGTGAATCTGAAATATGATGGAGTTTTCTAAGGAAAAAGAAAGGAACGAAAGAAATACACGACAATAGAGATTATCACAAAGCAGAACAGAAAAATTGGCAAGAAACCTTAATTTCATTGGCTCCCTTCGTCCCAAGCCTCTGATCGACGTTGCAGAGGAGTTTACTGATAAGATCCTTAGCTTCATCAGACAGATTTGCTTCCTCGGGAAATTTTAAATGTGTTTTCCAATTTACTATCTGCACAAATAAATAAAAAATAGAGACAATTTCGTAAATGATACGGAGACCAAAATCGAGAATTGCTCCAACAACGAAATAGCTCTTTAACCTGAGCTGAAGGCTATGAAGCAACCCGCTAGAATGAATGTGCACCGTCAATAGACAATAAAAGTGTCATTAAAACAAACGTATCATTACATAAATCAACCTTTCTTAAAAACAGATTGTGAAAGTTTTGTTGGAGGGAACAATGATGATGTAGTAGAAAACCTTTCTAACAAGGGAAATTTTGAAAATTTTCATCCAATAAAGTCTCGAGAAAAAATAATGGCTAGAGGGGTGAAATCATAAATTCCTTAAGTCAGCAGTTAATACGAAATTTAAACTTGCAGTGACTCTTGCCTAAAAATGTTTCCTCGAAATCTGAAATTCTATTATTTTGCTTCTTCAGGGACTTTCTCAAAAATGTAGAGTGAACATTGTGAATAAAAGCATTCTATCAAATGAGGTACAATTCCTTTACCTTCCTACACGTTGACATTGGTTCATCAGAATAAAACGGTGGATAACCCACGAGCATTTCATACATGATAGCCCCCAGTGACCACCTATATCAGTCAAGGAGGAAGATTGCAAATTTTAAATTACAGTTGGTACGATGATGGTCGACGATAAAAGTTAAAGAAACGAGTCTTATAATTACCAATCACATTCCATGCCATAGCCCTTTTTAAGTAGAACTTCAGGCGCAATGTAGTCTGGTGTACCAACAGTAGAGTACGCCTGCAATTTTGTCAAGAGACGATAAATTTAGACCAAACAAAGTAAAGGATCAATGAACTAACTACATAAACTGGATTAATCATATTCAATGTGAGATGCACTAAAGTTGGTATTAATTAAAACGACATTGCTACCTCAGAAGAAAAAAGTAGAGCATGTTATATGAATGCGCTTTTACGTGAATGTACAACATATAAAAATGAAATTCATGAAAAATTTCAGATCTTTAATAGTCCGGATGAAGACAGAAATGGAGATTACCAGCATCCTTCTGTTCCGTTGCCAGTTCTGCAGCTGTTGCTGTTGAGTTCGCTTAGGTGCAGAAGGCCGTCCATCAGCCTGTAGTCTGCCACTGTAGTTCCTTCCTAAAGCAAAATCTTTTTCCTCCCAGTCTGGAAGAGTACTGCAGTCTAATGGTTTACATAGCCCAAAATCCGAAAGCTTCATGTGACCATTTCTGTCTAATAATAAATTGTCCGGCTTGATATCTCTGCAAATAGGAAAGGAATACTCTTCAGACAATCCAGAAAGACATTGGAAGGATACTTCAGAATTTCACTTAGAAGGTCCATGTCACAGGGGGAGGAAGGGGGGCGAGAGAGAGAGAGAGAGAGAGAGAGAGAGAGAACCTGTGGACGTAGTTATACTTGTGGATGGACTCAATTGCTAGAATAGTCTCCCCAACATAAAATCTGGCTTCATCTTCAGTCAACGTATCCTTTCGCATAAGCAACGTCATCAAGTCTCCACCAGGTAGATACTCCATGATCAAGTAAAGAAACTCTTCATCTTGAAAGGAAAAATATAGTTTTACAATGCAATTGCTATCAACCTCCGCAAGAAGATTTCTTTCAGCTTTAACATGCTCGACCTTAACATGCAAAAGCATATGTTTAAGCATAAAAATAAGGAAAATAAACCCAATTTTCAAGAAAAATAAAAATACATACCTGACCTCGACGAAGCATCTCTGATTTCTTCAACTTCTTCATAGCATAAACATTGCCACTAGATTTCTCCTTGCAGACCCTGACCTATATACCAACAGAAAAAAGGAAAAAGGTAATGTTGCATATGACAGTAAATAAAAGAAAAGATGAAAGATGACAATTTTTATGGGAACATTCAAAGCACTAAAGTGGCAAACCCGACATTTAAACATCAAACGCCTTATCTTTTCAATGGGATCCAAAAAATGACTCACTGAAATGGAGCCATATTTTTGACATGAAACTAATCAACACCGTCCATAATAAACAAGAATGGGCTACCGCAAAATCCTTATTTTCAGTAGCAAAAGGAACAGTCAATTTGAATAGACTAGGAATCCATCGAGAATGAGTGATACCATACCGTAGAGGACCATAATGGATAGCTAAACCGTCAAGCACTCATAATATGATAATTGGATAAAGGCGTCATTTAGAGTTCCATTCCTTTAAAACTCCCTACTTTATGCTTACTCTCTCAATATATATAAGTATGACAACCCCAGGAATAGCATACAGTAGGTGCAAATTCGTTGCATGAACCTGTGGCCTGGAACATTTTAGAGATTTATTGAAAAGGGGTTGCATAAGAACCCGACCGACCATTCCAGTAAGATTAAAGTGAGTTTTAAAAGAATACTAGGAATATTACCTCTCCGAAGGCACCTTTGCCAATCATTGTTAGCAATTCAAAGTCTTCAACACACATTTTATGCCTCTGAAGGCGCATATACTCTGTCTCTTTTCTTTCCAAGTTTTTCAGAAGATTGTTCTGCTCTTCTTCAGAAACATCAGCATCAGCTAACTTCCTCTCCAAGGACCAACGACTTCTCAGCGACAAAAATAAAAGTGAAGAAAAAAATAAATAAGAGACTACAGAAAAATGTATGATCACAGAAGCTTAAATCGAAGTAGAAATAATGTAATTGAAAAACATAAAATATAATCAAGACCGAGCAAGAAATTTTTGGAAGATTCAAACAGAATAAAAGCCAAAAAATGTTCAATCTAGCATTAGCCAAGCCTCGAAATGCTAAATGAAGGAGAGATTGACTGAGACAAACAAGGTAAAGAAATAATATAAAACTCTTTCTGCAAGATTTTAATTCCTCACTGTGAGCATTTCTGCTCAAATAAGAAAAAACCATTATTGCGACAAAATTGCCTTGTGCAGATGATTGGGGTACAAAAAAAAATTACGACAGAGTCAGAAGTCCAAATAGATTTCTGGAAGTTGCCCTCAATTTTCTATTCACGTAAACAGAAATCTGTAAATATTCTGGTGGGTCATCAATAAAATAAAAGTTATGGACCAATAAATGATCAACTCCCAACTGAACAGCTCATTTAATAGCGTGGCCTGGTAACTCGACTATTTCCTTCTATTCATTATTGATGATAGGCATCCCATGATGCTATATTTATTGACCTCAGCAAGACCTCTGAACTTGAAAGTTATATAAATGCACACCCTCAATGGATCCAACGCGTTTTTTTGGTACGTTATGAGATATGATACAATTTAGGTTTTACAATGAAAGTCGAAACATAGTCGCCATTAAAATGAAAGGAACAAATGAGCGTCTGATGGGAATATGAAAAAGTTCACGAGAGGGACATATTGCAAGGAGTATTTCTTTGCCATCCTTCATTGCCTTAAATTTTTAAGAGGATCAAACAAAGTTTTCAACAAGCTAATGGAAAAATAAAAGTCGTCATAATCATAAATAGATTCGCATGTAGTAAAATTTTGTATAAATTTGTATGAAGAAAGATACCGTTCCTTACGCTCTTGCAAACTCTTCATCTGCTCTTTGTAGTGTTTTTCGATATACTGCTTTGCGGCTGCAACCTTCTGTTTTGTAGCATTTGAGGGACCTTCCTCTGCAGTGGGTAACTTTGATCCCTCACCACTATCTGATGGTTCCTTCTTCTTGCTCGAAGACCTTAATCTTTCCCTAGGTTGGAATTTCTGAAACCAACTCCTCGCTGAATCCATTATCCACAACGAAACCAACTCAAAAAAAATTATACGACAGACATCCTCGTGAGCATCCTTACTTTGACAACCTAAAATCTAAAAACATCGGACGGACTCAACCAGGACAGCCTCCCGACTCAACACCAATCTCGACTACTTCTCGAAGAAATAGTAGTGAGTTGCACACTAAGAACAGAGATAGCATTTCACACTTCGATTTTTCTCCCACTGTGAAATAAATCAGCGCGAGATTCCTTCTCGGATAAGAGTTCCGATTTCTGATGAAAAACGACGAATCAGAGCAGACGCGACACGAGAGGAAGCGGAAACATAAGAATACCACAGAACGAAAACCAAAAGCAAAATACTTGAAAAACGAATCAGATTCCCCGGTCTTGATCGCGGAACCTCAAATGAAGATGCACATTCCCCTCCCTGCGAAGAATCCATCCCATCCACAATCTTTTGTAAGAGTCACGATCCCATCGAGGGTGGTTAACGGTCCCCACCATCCACGAGGCGCAAATAGCCCGAACTCCCACCGGTCAACAACCGATCCGAAAGAAATGCCCAGGCCTCTACTCCACCATCCGGCCCGTGCAACCACACCACAAAGCGGGCAGAGAGGAGGCGCAACGAGAGCCCAAGGTTCTCGAAGCCGGACTGTGGGAGCCGACAGAAGAAGAAGACAGAACCTACTTTCGGAAAAGAAGAAGAGGGAGGACAAAGCGAGGCCACGGGAAGGCGGGATCCGACAGACACAGAATGCGAGAGCGGCTGCTGGCCTCCCCGCTGAGAACCCGGAGGACCGGGGGTCTCCCCCGGGCGACGAACAACCAGCAAGGATGCGACTGGATCCCCCGCGGGATCCGGAGAGGGCGACGATCGGGAGGAACCCCCCCCCTCCCAAATTGGTGAAGATCGGGAGGGGGAACGGAGGGGAATCGGCCACCCTAGGAATACCGACGCCGATGCGACTCCCCGCCAACGGAACCCGCCATTCCCGCTTTGCCTGCACCGGCGGAGAGCAACGGCCCCGCCTTTAATCGACGCCCAGTTCTTCGAAACGGCTATCTTTTTGACATAAAAGACCCTGAAAATATTTCAATCTCCGATCACACTCAGGGCTTTGAGCTCGCGGAGAAGACCCCCTACCCTCCCCCCTGGAGCTCACTCGCACCGGTACACGGGATGCCGAAGATGGGGACCCCTTCGCAAATACCCGGGTGGGGCGGGGCCAAAACGAGAGATCCGGAAGCATTTATCCAAAAAGAAGATCGTACGGACGTCGTCGCCCGCGTCTGGTGACGTGGCAGACAGGATACGACAACGTCTCGGTTCACAGCGAGACCGCAGAATAAGAAAGAGAACGGCTGCTTCAGAGGTGGTGCACGAATATATAAGAAATAAATGTCAAATAATAAAAAACTCATTATTTTATGTATTATTTTTATTATTTATTAAGTGGAGGAATTAGGCGTGGGCTGGATCAACGGAAGTAGGCCATGTGCCTGGAGGATCTGAAGGGGGAGTTGCCGAAAGGGGAGGAGGCGGCGGCGGCCTTCTGGGGGCGCTTGGTCTCGGCGCGGAGCCACGACTCGACCACAGAGAGCAAGTTCTTGGCGCCCTTCATCTCCGGGAGCTCCGAGAGCGGCTCGGACCTCCTCAGCTCGCCGTCCTGGATGTAGGCCGCGTGGGTGGCCCAGGTCTCGAGCCCGTCGAAGATGTGGGTGGCGTAGACGATGGTCGCTCCTCTCTGCGAACGGAGAACAGGATTTCAGTCGCCGGCGGCGGCGACGGCGGTGGCGGTGGAGAACCCTACCTGGTCGCATTCCTCCTTGAAGAAATCGAGGAGATCCATCCTGGTGACGACGTCGAGGTCGACGGTGATCTCGTCGAGCAGCAGGACCTGGGGAGATTATGGTTTCAGGGCCTCGACCTGCGTCGAAGATTCGGAGAAACGGAGGGGAGGGGAGGAGGATTGCTGACCTTGAAAGGATGGAGGAGCCCCATGCATATCTGGACTCGCCGGCGCTGCCCGTCGGAGACTTTGTGCATCCGCCATTGTAGGTCGATGTCGAGCAGGTCGATCAGTTTCTCTCGCCTGGTAGGGTCGACCCCTTCCACTGCTAGGACAAAATCATGAAACGGGAGCAGGATTTAAGAGATTTCTGGTTCACCTGCTTCACCAAAGTTAGGTATTCGTCTGCAAATCTTGGGTGAGGAACATAAGAGATTGAGAAAAGCTTGTCAGGGACATTGAGTAAGATCTCCAAATCAAATGGAGCATCCGTAGTTGATGGCAGACATCCGGGTAGCCGTTTCTTCAACAGAAAACGGTGGTTCCCCGACTGATGATCGAATTGTGAACAGTGTACTTTTCTATTCCTGACTAGTTTTCTGCCACGTTGAACCTCATGAGATTATGGCCTTGCTAGATATAATTTAATAGACTTAATAGATTTATGGACACAAACACATTGCCCCTTAACACTTTTCGATGAGGATTTTCACTAGCTAAATGGTGTTCATTGCTGATTCAGTCGGATAGCCCCGATTCTGTCAAATTCCGAGGGTAATTGTCACCTTTGTTAGGCTTTATATTCAAAAGACGACTAAAAAAGAGAAGATATCGCATTTACAAGAAGATCCAGAATATTTTGAACAAACTTAAAAATATGAGACATCAAAATTAGTAATCGTCAACAAAAAAAATTGATTTGAGATAATTCTAGTTCCATCAGTACGGTGTGTGGCTAAGCCTTCTGAGAAGGAGAGGATGACGGTTATAACCACTTAGACTACCAACAGAGGTGGTACTGGAAAGAAGACATGAAACTATTCATGGGCCTGATAAAATAAAATTAAAAAATCACTAATGCGTAGATAAATAGCATGACAGTAAGACAGATATGATTCAAACTGATGAATAAATCGTGTCGGTTGTAGAGCCCTACCTCCAAAAATCATGTGCTCCGCGGAGAAATCACCCTGCAGTGGAACATCACCCTAGAGAAAAAAAATGTTCACCAACATCATCAGGATTATATAGCTTGAAGGCAGGAAATTTATCTTAAATATTCGGTGCTGGAAACCGTAATCATGCGAGAAATGATCATATTCGAATATGACCCCAAAGATATATGTATATCCATCACTGGAATATACACAAAAATTCTATGTTCTGGGAAGTCGGAAGATTTAAATACTAGATAACACAAAATAATTGGAACAGGGGGCAGAAACTCACAGCAGAACCAATTGTTTTATTCCACGAACCACCGAGGTAGGCAAGGTCACCGCCGCAGATCAGTTGAGTATCGTGGAAAGCGGAACAATTCAGCACCCGAACCACGTCTCTTCCTCCAACCATGTGCTTCCCAGCCAAAATCTTCAGTAACGTGGTCTTTCCTGCAAAAGGAAAACGGAAACAATGAATAAGAGTTTCGAGGCACGAAAATAAAGAAACCGGGTCCAATATCCTGCCATTTCAGCAACAGGAGAATGTGAAAACCTAAAATAGAGACTGCGGGAGAATCGGAGATGCGCGAACAGGATTGCATGGTTTCAGCATCCAAATAAATCACGAAACCGAGAACACAGGAGCGGATCTAATGATCTCATCTCAAACAGACGCACATGAAAACAATTCCCGCAGAAAGAATCGCGACTTCACAAGGAGACGGACCGAGGCGACCAAATCGTGAACTGCCAAGCTTACCAGATCCATTGGCCCCGATCAGGAGGCACCGTGAGCCGGGCGTCACTTCGAGATCGAACTGGACGAAGAGCGGCGGCTGCCCGTCGTAACTAAACTGCATGCCAGACACCTGGATGCCGCCGGCGTCTCCACTGTTGGTCTTCATCGCAGCTTCTCCTCTCCCTCCCCGTATTTTCCCCGGCCACTGCGCCTCGCCTCTTCGGTCCTCCTCCCTCCTCCCCCCAATAGACAAAGGCGCAGTTTTATAGCGCTCCCTCCTGAGGCGGGTTGGTTGGAGGGAGAAGCTCGCGCCACTAACCTTCTGACGTGGAGCAGGACGCGACACTCGATGCGAGCCTTCACTCCTGACCGTTTGATTCGTATAATTTTGTCGGCACACTTACTAATTTATTTTTCGCCTTGATTAAAATAAAACATAAATTCTAAACCAGCGTTAAAACTCTGCTGGTGGGCCGGTGGGCCGGGCCAGGCTCCACGTCGGCCACGCGCACGGGGTTTGTTTCATAAAAATTACGTGGCCCAACGATTATCTGCCGCGTGGCGGATTCCCAATTAAGTGGATATTGGGCCAAACCATATATACGAATATCACCTAGTAGTATATATCGTTAATTCGTGCGTTTTAATCCCAGCGTTAACGATATATTTAAAATAATAATATTTTGTATAAAACCGTCATAATTTCCAAATTAACAGTTTTTAAAATATTCCACCGTCCTTTGCGTTTGACTTTCTAAAATATTACACAATTAATTTTTTTTTAAAAAGCCGGGCCGGTTCGGGCTGGGCGTTGGAGTAAGTTGATCAAGGTGGGTTTGGGGTGGCCCGGCCCGGGTCTTAGGGCTACCCGGAATCGCTCAAGGTGTATAAACAGAGTCTGGATTCCGGGAATCGTGGAAGACGGCGGTTATGTGGAGCGCCAATGTCCTAAAATGCGCAGATTATAGGGCTCGAGGCGGGACGGAAGGGAAGATCCTTTCCCCAGGAGCTTTCTCCGCCTGTTTTCGCCCTCTTCCTCGCCCTCGCCCTCTTCCTCTTTCTCTCCTCCTGCCAAATTCGGGGAAGAGGTCCATCAGGGTTTCCGATTGGGAGGGGGGGAGGCTTCGAGGCGGAGGATCTGGGGACGAAAAATTATCTATCGTCGCCGGTGGCGGCAGCGGCGGCGATTTCCTTGTCCTTTTTGTCTGCGGTGTTGGAGCTCGACGATTTCTAGGGATGGATTGATTTCAAGGGCTAGGCTGAACCGCTTGAAGTTGTTGAGAGCTTTTCCGGGATTTGTCGGTGTCCGGAGCTGCTCTGGTCGGCACCGTACGACCTGAGTTGAAATAAGATAGGAGCCGCCATGGAGGGAGAGGAGGAGGATCGGATTCTTCTTAGAAGATTGGGCGTCGACTCTGCCAACCCCGAAGACATTGAGCGCGACATCCTTGGCAAGGTGACTATCCCATAGTCTCTTCGCCTTCATCCTTTTCATTTATATAGAACTTTCTCGCGACGAAACCGTGGTCATTGGATTTCTTATTAGTTACTTCATTAACGCCACTGTACCGTCTTACTTGGGTAAAAACCAGTAATACGAGTCCACGGGGGAACTAATAACTTTGATGTACGAATAGAGAAGTAGAGACCAGAAACTGATGGCACGCTCAAGTTGTCTCTGCAAGTCTTGAATGTCAATTCTGTTTATGACATTGATAAATTGGTGTTCAATCTTGTAAAGTTGTTAATTATCAGATCTAAAATGTCAGTTAATCTGTATCGCCCTATAGATTATAATCCTGCTGGTTATTTGACTGGTAGCATTTAAACTCCGGCCATTCTATGTCTCCAGGTAGAAAATGACGTTGGGCATGGAAAGGAGGATGAAAATACTCCCGAAGAGCAGGTTCACGGCGATGAGGACGATGCAGACCCATCATCCAGTTCTCACATAAAACTTTATAATAAGCTGCGAGCTGTAGAAATTGAAATAAATGCTGTTGCTTCAAGGATTGAATGGTCCAAAGATGAAACCAGTGATGAGGGCGATCTTCTGTACCACAACAATACCAGGGATTCTGATGATAATAATGATGCAAGTGGTTGCCTTGATGCTCCCACCGATGGTCTGACTCTTCAACAGGCTCTAACTGCCGATCGCCTAAGAAGCCTTCAAAAAACTAAGGCTCAACTCGAGAAAGAAATTGACAGTTTGGACAAGGATATTCCTATCAAAAGAGTTGGTCAGGGTAGGCTACTTGATAAGTTAGTTCAAGAAGAGCCTAAGCAGAAGAAGCGTGGGCGAAAAGAGGTCCAACCATCTGTTACCAGTTCAAAGAAGCAGCCCAAGTCCATTTCATATGACGCAGATGCTGATTTTGAGGTTGTGCTTGATGCAGCTTCTGGAGGGTTTGTTGAAACTGTGAGTGTCTATTTTTCCTACTCCCCGGCATTTTTTCGGGGTAGCAACCTAGAAACTTGGTTTGACTCTTTTTTACTTAATTATTTTTGTTATTACTTGACGATCTATAAGTTTTTTTCGTTCCTTGTGTTTTACTTTGACATGTGACTGTCAACTTTCTTAGGAAAGGGAAGAATTGATACGCAAAGGCATCTTGACTCCATTTCATAGGCTTAAGGGCTTTGAGCGGCGTATTCAAGAACCTGGGCAATCAAGCAATCAGCATGTTCCTGTGGAGGAAACAATCGAGAATCTTACCTCATCCAGCATTGAAAGAGTTGCCCAGTCTATGTCAGAGATTGCTCGGGCTCGTCCCACAAGCAAACTTCTCGATGCAAAAGATTTGCCAAAGCTGGATGGCCCAACCCGGCCTTTTCAAAGACTAAGAACACCACTTGGCCGCACAGATCCTCAGCACGCTGACAAGACGAAGAGAAAACGAAAGACAAGAAAGCTAAAGAGACCCCTACCCGAGAAGAAGTGGAGAAAATTGTCCGAGGACAGACAGGCAGAAGTAGGTAAATTCGTCTTAACCCATTACAATACAAGGAATTATAGAAGGAACATGTCACAGCATTATCATGGTTCGAGAGTACATATATATATAGATGTGCATATATAGTAGGTAAATTCGTCTTAACCCATTACAATACAAGGAATTATAGAAGAAACATGTCACAGCATTATCATGGTACGAGAGTACATATATATATAGATGTGTATATATACATGCATTTAAAGTATCATCCTTTCCCACAATGCGAAACCCCGGCTATATCTGCTAAATGAAATGCATGTGACTATCAATATATTATTCTTGTACAAGAAAAATATTGGAACAAACTTTTACCATTTTTCCATAAATCCCACGTCTCTAACATATTCTCCTTGACTTATAATGTTTGCCACCAGACGGTGGTGCCAGTGATGACCTTGTTTCCTCGGAACATGATGAGGAAAATCGAGGAGCAGTCGAGGATGCGACCGACAATGAGGAGCCCTGTGTTGTGCTCGAAGGGGGTCTAAAGATACCCGACCTGATCTTCTCCAAGCTCTTCGACTACCAGAAGGTCGGAGTGCAATGGATGTGGGAATTACACTGCCAGAAAGCCGGTGGAATCATCGGCGACGAGATGGGCCTGGGGAAGACCGTCCAGGTCATATCCTTCCTCGGCGCCCTTCACTTCAGCGGACTGTACAAGCCCAGCATCGTCGTCTGCCCCGTCACCCTCCTGCGGCAGTGGCAGAGGGAGACGCAGAAATGGTACCCCAAGTTTCAGGTCCACATTCTTCACGACTCCGCTCATGGCTCCGGGAAGCAGGTCAAGCACCACCCTGAAGATCACTCCGGAAGCGAAGCTTCGATGTACAGCAGCGATGACGACCAAGAGGAGGAGCAGCAGCAGCAGCCAACGGTGGCGAGGTCGACGACAAGACGGAGATGGAACGACCTGATCAGAGCCGTCACAGGGTCGGACTCTGGGTTGCTCCTCACCACCTACGAGCAGCTGCGGATTCTCGGGGAGAAGCTGCTGGACATCGAGTGGGGTTACGCGGTGCTCGACGAGGGCCACCGGATCAGAAACCCCAACGCGGAGGTCACCCTGGTCTGCAAGCAGCTCCAGACCGTGCACCGGATAATCATGACAGGGGCCCCCATCCAGAACAAGCTGGCGGAGCTCTGGTCCCTCTTCGACTTCGTCTTCCCGGGGAAGCTCGGTGTGCTGCCCGTCTTCGAGGCGGAGTTCGCCCTCCCCATCACCATCGGCGGCTACGCCAACGCCACGCCATTGCAGGTCTCCACGGCGTACAGGTGCGCGGTGGTGCTGCGGGATCTGATCTTGCCCTACCTCCTCCGGCGGGTGAAGGCCGACGTGAACGCGCAGCTCCCCAAGAAGACCGAGCACGTCCTCTTCTGCAGCCTCACCCCGGACCAGCGGGCAATCTACAGGGCGTTCCTGGCCAGCGCGGAGGTGGAGCAGATCTTCGACGGGAGCAGGAACTCCCTCTACGGCATCGACGTGATGAGGAAGATCTGCAACCACCCGGATCTGCTGGAGAGGGAGCACTCGGCGCAGCACCCGGACTACGGCAACCCGGAGCGGAGCGGGAAGATGAAGGTGATCGAGCAGGTTCTGAGGGCCTGGAAGGAGCAGGGCCACCGGGTGCTCCTGTTCACGCAGACCCAGCAGATGCTGGACATCCTGGAGAGCTTCCTCAGCTCGAGCGGGTACGTCTACCGGAGGATGGACGGCCTCACGCCGGTGAAGCAGCGGATGGCGCTGATAGACGAGTTCAATCATTCGACCGAGGTGTTCGTCTTCGTTCTGACCACTAGAGTCGGCGGCCTGGGGACGAACTTGACCGGCGCCGACCGCGTCATCATCTACGACCCCGACTGGAATCCCTCCACGGACATGCAGGTATGATCAGAGATTTCATTCATTCCATCATCATCATCATTATCTGGGTTGTATTAAATGCGATTCTTTTGAATGAAGAAGGGAAGAATTGAGAGTTTTTAGCTTGTGGGTGTGGGCAGGCGAGGGAGCGGGCGTGGAGGATCGGACAGACGAGGGATGTGACGGTGTACAGGCTGATCACGAGGGGGACGATCGAGGAGAAGGTCTACCACCGGCAGATCTACAAGCACTTCCTCACCAACAAGATCCTGAAGAACCCACAGCAGAGGAGGTTCTTCAAGTCCAGAGATCTGAGGGACCTCTTCAACCTGCAAGACGACGTCGAGGGCGGCGGCGCCACCGAGACCTCCGCCATCTTCAAGGAGCTCTCCTCCGGGGATGTGGGTCCCAGGGCCGCGGCGGCGGCGGAGGAGGAGGAGAATGGGCAGGGCGGCGGCAGCGGCGGGGAGGTGGATGAGGAGACGAACGTGCTCAAGTCGCTTTTCGACGCCCAGGGGATCCATGTAAGTCCTCTTCATCCTCATCTTCTTGCTCCCTCTCTGCTTCCTTTATTTTTGGTGTGTAGCTTCTGTAATGGCTGCCGCCGCCGCTCGACTGACCTTTCATTGTGGCTTCTTTCTCTCTCTGTCTCTCTCTCTCTCTCTCTCTATCTGGCAGAGCGCGATGGACCACGACGCGATCATGAACGCGAACGAGGGCGAGAAGAGGAGGTTCGAGCAGCAGGCGTCGCTGGTGGCGCAGAGGGCGGCGGAGGCCCTGCGGAGGTCCCGGATGCTCCGAAGCCGGGACGGCGTGGCCGTCCCGACCTGGACGGGGAGGTCCGGCGCCGCCGGGGCGCCGCCCTCCGTCCGCCGGAAGTTCGGCGGCGCCACCAACCCCAGGCTGCGACCCTCGGCGGCGGCGGCGCCGCTGCCGTCGGGGACGCAGCCGGGCCTCGCCGGTAGGGCGCTCTCTTCTGCGGATCTGCTGGCCAGAATTAGAGGAACCCAGGAGGAAGCCGCTCGGGAGGGGTTCCGGAACCAGTCGCCGCCGCCATCGTCGTCGTCTCGTCGGAGCCCGGCGGGGTCGAGTTCCTCCGGTGGGGTGCCAGCGGAGGTGCTGATCCGGCGGCTCTGCTCGTTTTTGCAGGAGCGGGGAGGCAGCGCCGGCTCAGGCTCCATCGTGGAGCACTTCAAGGAGAGGGTACCCCCCGGGGACCTGCCCCTCTTCAGAAGCCTCCTCAAGGAGATCGCCGTCTTGGACAAGGCCGAGGGCGGCGCGGCCTTGTGGGTTCTCAAGCCCGAGTATCGCTAGGCTGCCAAAGTCAACCATCATGCACCCAGCCCCCCGCCATTTTTTGACCCGCCAAGGAAGATTACTTCCAAACCCTCCCTTTTTTCCTTCATCTCATTTTTGTCCCTCACTCTAAGATTACATGTAAAAGCTTCCGGACGCCCGTACCCTCTCTGTATATCCATTATATTAAAGGTAATTACATTCATTTTTAACAAATAAATGAAAATATATTAAATGATTATTTTTTTAAAAAAAAATGCTTCGTTTCTCATAGTTTGGCCGAATTTATACATAAATCAGAGGGATTTATGTGAATCATCATGATTAGAGGAGCATTCATAGGCTTAGGGATTCAACCGAGATTAATTGATCAATGAACCCATGATGATATTAATAGATATTCGTGGGGACTGAAAATCCAACAAAATGCTTCGAAAAGAAAGAGGAGATGGATGGGAGCACCTTCTGGATGCCGCCGCCGCCGGCATCGGAGCCGGGCGATCGAAAGAGTCGGACGTTCCCTGATCTCCCCTTCTCCATGGGGAGACCAGGCCCATCAGACTCATGCGAGCGCCCCCGGGGCCTCTTCTCAGAACGCCGCCCACCCGGATGCCGGGCCGCAGCTGGAACCAGATCCTGCCGACGATGGGAGGCTCTTCTGCAAGGCGTAGGATGGAAGGAACAGATTCGATCATCAAGTATGAGTGCACGCAAATGTTGATCTTCATTTGGAAAAAAAAATATGAAAACTAGGCATGAATGAATGTTCATATCGACGAAGAAATAGAAAAAAAATTGGAAACATAAATTTCCTGCGCCGCTTGAAAGACAGTTCGGATCATCTTGATCACCCCATATTTATAGAAAAGTCGTTGACTTAAGAACAAGTAACCATCTCCAAGCAGATGAATGAAGAATTGACGAGAATATGCCAGAGAAGTCAGCTGCCTATTATTAATAGTTCCGTCATAAAATCAATCGTCATGTCTTCGATGGGCATTATTCACATGTTGTCATGAAGTCAAACAATAGCCGATATAGCTGCTCATTAAAGAGCATGAAAGCATCACCATACTACATTATCGAGCAGTGGACTATAAATAAATTGCAAGTCAACGGCGCTCAAGGTGGAACATGCGATGTAAGAATTCACTTCGATATTTTCAAACCGTTGCTCGGTGGAGCCCTGTCCCCGCTAGCCATTTTGGCTTTGCTCTCACACTTGGATGCTCAACATGAAACAAAGGCACGACTAGACGAAAATCACAGAAGAAGACTCGCCGTACCTCGAGAGAGGAGAGATTTGACAGAGGATCAGTCGCTCGTTTGACAGATCCCCTTGGATCCTTGACGCCGTGACTAGATGCTATCCGAGTAGCTGCAGGATCGTTGGGCGGAGGGGGAAGAGGGGACCTGATTTTGCCAGCCCCAGTAGGTGGTGGTGCAATCAGTGTCACTGGTTTGGTCGTGGAGGAGGCACCGCCAGACAGTCCGGCAGCTGAAAGCATCCCACTGCCCGTAGACAGCTTGTTTTTGACATTTATCCGAATGGTCTCACCTTCCTAATGATAGATACCAGCGAAAATTATCATACAAGAAAGAAATTCACCGTTTTGGTCACAAATAACATAGCAAAAGATGTGGATCAGGAATCCTGAGCGCGCATCCAGCACAACATCCACAAAAGCTTATTATATCACATAAAACTTATGAGATCCAAGCAGCACATGGGGATATAGTAAGCATGGAACATCTAGGTTTTTCACGAATATTTATAGATAATTGAAGAGTAATAGTTACGTAGCATGGAACATTCTGACAAGGTCATACTGCTCGATAAGTATCCATCTAAAAATCTCAGAGGAGAATAGAAAGCAAGAACCCTAGAAACCAAAAACGCTTGTAGAGCGGCGGGAATGAAAAGCATAATGTGATATGATTTCAAAAATCTGATTTTCAGAAGAAACACAAACATAGAGAAACAACAATTTGAAAGAAAGGAACTATGAGATTGACAACCCTACGGCAATAAAAACATGGCCAATTGACTTGACAAAGAAAAATGAATTTCGGCAACCAATTTATTTGGCTGGAGAAGAATGGATCGTTGCATGATAAGAATAAAGTCCATAGTATGATCAAGCACAGATTGCCAATTGAATTTAACCAGTGAAAAGTTTACATACATTTTATGAGATGGGAAATTGTTGCCACAGAGAAGGAACCGATCAAACTCTCTCATTTTTTATTCTGTCTAGGCATAGATGGTCATCCGCAGCATTTCTTTGAGACATGTTCAAGGGCACGGCATCTTTCAGAGGAAACTTCCTAGAAAACTGCCGAGAATGCTTAACTTGGGACACGGCAATGGAGGGGGTCCGGATTAGGCTGAGGTGACAAACATAGTTTTTCAGATTTCAGGATATGAGAAACCCTACGTTATACTAGAGTCACTACGTAGGAACTTTGTCGATGATTACGAGAAATACTTCCAGTTTCCCTCTTTCCAAGGACCGTCAACCAAAATCACTTAAAGACCAACCATTTCACTTTATAAGTGTCGCACTCCAAACTCAAAGGAACATGCGTTATTCTGTAAAGCGAAAAACACGACGGTGCTATATTTCCAGGATGCGCGGGAATATCTGTAAGAAACTCATTGAAACAATCATAAGATTAAACAAAAGAAAAAATAAGGGAACTAGAAGAAAACGCCTTCTGAATTCGAGTACATTAGAGAATGCATGTAAAAGTAAGAGGAAAAATCCAGACAGCTAGACAATCATTCACGAAGATTCCTTCATTTTTGGGAAAACGATCTTTCAGGCACAGATTGTTTTCAGAAGATTTAAACCATAACTTCCTTGTTCAGTCATGGTAGAGAAAGAAATGAACTCCGTTGTCTATGCAGAGAAAAAAAGGACTACTAAATTTCATTACATTTATGGTGGAAAAGTACAAGGATGGCTAAATCTGCGAGATACTGGATAAAGAATAGACTTTTGACAATTAAACAGATGCATTAGCCAGAAGCTAATAGTTTGCCGTGTATGAGACAGAGGGAAATAGAAAAGGAAACTTTCAATCAAGAAGTGACCGGCGACAGAAAGAAGTTAATAAATAATTAAATTAAAGATATCAAGTAAAGTTCGACATACGATGTAGGGCAGTAGCTTCTGGTTAGTAATGTAGGCTATCGACGAATCTTACACCACCAAAAATCCGTCACTAAGGATGAGTATATTTGTGCGAACAAAAATTACGCTCACCAACTCAACCAGAATTTCACCAGTATTGAGCATTTGGACCATTATGAAAAGGAGAGCAGCCGGGGAGAAAATGAATTGCACGCAAGCAATACTACACGCAATCCACGAATAGTATAATTTCTGCTCAGTTAAACTACGCCAACGCGCGGAAATTTCTTTGAATTTCGAAATAACACATCATGGATACCTTCAACCTGTGGTTCACGGCCGGGTGGATATCTATATGGTCGCTGCTGTCGTTGGGCCCCCCGGCGGCACCACCGCCGTCTCCATACTCCTTTTCATGCTCCCTCCGCACATACTTCTCGTGGTCCGATAGAGCGACATTGAAGTCGAAAGCTTCATTGCGCTCGGTGAACCCGAGGCCGATGAAAGCGTGCTTCCCGCGACCATCCTCGATCTTAAGCACGAAGTATCGAGACGAATCAAGGACAGTCTCGACAGAGGCCTCACGCTGCCCGGGTAGCACGAAACAGGCGGCAAAAAGATCCCCAGAATTAGGATCCTCGAGGCGGATCTCGCACCGCTCCTTGCATGAGACTACGCGGAGCCGCCCCGACCAGATCTTGTCTGTCTGCAGCCACTCACCACACTTATACCCGCCGCTCGTACTCCGCGGCGGGATCTTGTACACCGACACCTCCCTCACCACCAGCAGCGTGTGCTCGAACGCCTCCTCGTCGCCATCCAACGCCCCAGCCACCGCCGACGACGACGAAGACGAAAACATCCTCTCCAAATTCCTCGTCCGGAACGAGATCGCAGACCGCGATGGCGAGAATCAGGGAATCAGCTGGAAGATGATCGCAGACTCCTCTCTGGCAATCCCCCCGGAGGACGATCCCGAAGGAAACTGGCCGAGGATCACCACCGCTGGACCGATCCGATCGGAGAAGAGAAGGAAGCGTCGGCCGAGCCTCAGTTCCCCGTCCTCCCAAGAGAACCACCGACAGGCCGGCGAGATTCGCAGCAGGCAGGCAGATGGTGGAGTAGAAGGCGGGGAAAGGAAGATGGAAAAAGGGAAGACACCAGAACAATATATAATACCCCGATAATGCCAAGTATTACGGTTCTACCACCCCATCAGACCTTATCCAAGTATTACGGTTTCCAATAAATACAAAATAAATAATTACCACCTTCGCGTTGTTAATAATACTTGAGTATTTAACGACGAGAAATTTAATTTTATTCTTGTAGTATGACGTCATCATGACATCACGAGAGAGAGAGAGAGAGACAGCGCCAGTCGTATATAATTCTTGAAATATTTTCTGGAGATCGTAATATTAGACCAGGCCTTAAGAGACGACGAAGACCCTGAGCTCCTCCCTGTCCCCCCTGGTGATGCGGAGGTCGTCGTCCGCGTAGGTGACATCGAACTCGCCGCTGCCGGTGTTGGAAGGGGGCCGCAGGGAGTCGGGAAGCCGGGGAAGCTCCAGAGGTGGCAGCTGCGACAGGTTTCCGGTGGCCTTGACGGTCGTCTTCTCGAAGGTGATCCTGATCTTTGACGATCCTGCGAGGCAAGCGCGCATTTGCATTAGATTCTCAAATTCTTCTTCCGCGAGGGAAACTTTTGGAATGTCTGGTTCTCTAAATCTGCGCCGCGGCCTCGCAGGATGTTGTCCCTTGAAGATGTTCTCTAAAAACGAAGACGAGCAAGGCAAGGAGGATCGGATGGCGAATCGAATCAGAGGAGCAGTGGATTACAAGGCATCTCAATGCAACGAGGGATTCTAGATCGGTAATTTGGGGAAGAAGGTGGCTGGCTACTCCGACAATAAGTTTCTTGGTACTTGAGAGCTAAATGAAATCGTTATCCACACACTGAAGCGAAGGATCCGCCAGATCAGTAGCGCACTTCACAGAGGGGTTCAAGATAGACAGGTGAACCGATCTGATGTTCTTGAAATAGGAATCCGGAAGATATCTTTCTTGTTTGCTTGAGGACTATCTTATCTTAGATTAGATCAGATCAGATCATCGAACAAAGGGCGGAAGTGGAAGACTGACCTATGACTTCAAACTTATGAGCCAAAGTAGCAGTTGCTTCAGCCGGTGGAAGGGGCCAAGGAGTCCCGAACTGGAGCTCCACTATGTTATCGAAATCCTTGCTCACGATGTCGATTCTTTGAAAAACCTGTCCAGAACTCCCATAGTGAGCCCACAGCATGATCAGTCACAGTATCTAGGGAGGGGATAGTTTCTAGAGAAATACCTGGCCGAGGGTTATCGGCAGAAGCCTTCCGACGGGGGGGCCGGGACGGCTGCCCCCAAGAGTGCGAGATGAGAAGGCACTGCTGTAGACTAATTTCCATCTCCCCTGCAGTTTGTCGAGGTCACCTGCGAGGTCAACGGGCCCTCCTGCGGCCTCGAGCTCCTTGGCTGCTTCATCCGCTCTTCTTAGGTCATCTTCACTAGCTGCAAGGCCTCTGTTAAGCCCAGATACAGTGTTCTGCATTTTTTTAGTCTCTAGATTAGCAAAGCAAGCTGGCGCTCGAGGAATTCAGTCACAACATGTCAAATTATGGAACTCCTGAAGCGTTCATTCTGGTTGCTTCGAGATCATTCTGAGATTTATTTATTTTTTATCTGTGATTGATTCGATGATATGTTCTTGCTAGTTATAATCTTGGATTAAATTCCTGGTACCAATTGAGATGAAGGCAGATTAAATTCAGCTGAGATGAATCCTGGACGAACTCCCGGTACCAATTGGGGGTGAAAACCTTCCAGGACTAAATTCAACTGAAGCCGACAGCCTACACACCATACTTTGCGGAAGTGCAGAATTCCCTCGGTGAAACGAGCACGAGATCTTCTACGATTATGGAAGATTCATTCTGTGAACAGGAAGAGGGCTCACCAGAAGCTTCAACTTCAGCGCGGCGACCTCCTCGAAGCTCGTTCGATTGTACGAGGGCGACGAATCGAGGACGGGAGATCCATCCAGAACTACTCGGGGGATCTTCTTCCGGAGCCCTGCGGGGCCCCGTGCGGGGGGAACCCAGAAGCTCTCCCCGAGGAGCCGCCGGGAGCCGAGATTCGCCGCGGGTGAGCGGAGGAGGAAAGGATGGCGGCGGAGCGGAAGAGGAGAGGACGAGGAGCAGGGAGACGCGAGCGGCGGAGACGTCCGCATGAGAGAAGACGACATTTACAGGTGGCGATGACGGAGTCTCCCGCTTCAAGAGGTACGCTTTCCTACCTGCACAAAAACCATGGCTTTGCAGAGTGTCTCTTTTGGAGAGGAGGGCGAGCTCTGTGGCTGCTTATCCTCCGCCCGTTGAGCGGCGAACGGACGGCTGACAAGCGAGTGGGTGAGTGCCTTCTACGAATGGCCAGAAGGTTCGAGATAGCTTCTTTGAGCTTTAGGACCTAAAAATCGGGCCGAAGTCAGAAGCGCCCCCCTAAGGTGGGCTCGATGGGCTTACTTTTGGGTCAGGCTATTAGCTCTTTGGCCCATTTAGGCCCATATGGGCCTCTTTCTCGTCCCCCACCCACCCCCGTTAACAGTAGATACATTGGTGAGATTTTCATGAACATTTCCCACGCTAGATACATATTTAGAGAGAGAGAGAGAGAGTCTCTGCTTTCATTTGCTGAGGAGTTTCCAAGGGACGCGCGGTGGGCGGGATAGTTGGTCAGTGCGCGGCTGATGCAACAGTCGGGAACTCGGTCAGCTGCTCACTCAGCCGGGACCGATGACAGAAGAGCCGCCAAAGCCATTAATGTTCTGTCAGACGGCGCCATGTGTCCAAACCCCCCGTTCGGTAGCGGACCTACTACTTGGAGTGCGTAAAGGCCAACACTGCCGTTGCCTTGGATGCCTGTCTGTTTCTCTCTCTCTAGATTGATATATATTTGAGAGCCCGATAGAGAGGGAAAGGCCACTACGCTTGGCTAGTAGAGAGTACATCCGTTGACGATTCAGTCATGGGATTTTCCCCATCCGCCCTCCCGGTCAAAACAATTGCCCGCACCCATTGGGCCACGTCAGCGTCGGTGGGGGCACTCCTGCTCTGCTTGCATTCCTGGCCCTGGCCTTTGCATGAGAGGCCCACAGTTTTCTAGCCTTGGATCGCGTAAACTAATGGACTACCGATCAAAATATAGCTGACGAGGGTGAATCTTGAGCGCCGGATGGTAGGATCAGAAGACGTGCAGGCTTTTCGGCCCGTCCGGTCCTCGTTTAATAATCCGGGTATGCCAAGGTCAACGGTTCAGCCGCCCAATGTCCGGGTGTCAACCGGGCCGGGACAGGTTATTACTCCCACCCTAAGGACGGTCCCCGGGGCGAGGGCCCGGTACGGGTTCAACGGTGGTTTTATTCATATTTGCCCAATTAGGCTCGCTTAGCCAGGCTACCCTCTAGGGGTTTATGGGTCATTCGGGCCGGGCCGACATAAGATAGCCCGAGCTAGATTCGGGCTTTTCAAGGCCGATGGCAGCCCGGCCCGATATCTGACGTAAAACTGCTGAAAAGTCGTCGAGTACAGCGGTGAAACGTGCTTCTTCCCTCCCTCCGCTCGACCTCAGCCGCAGAGAGAGAGAGAGAGATAGAGGGAGGAAGTTTCTCTCTCTCACGATAAAGACGGGCAGCAACAATGGGCTGCCCCTGCGATGGGAAGCTAGGATATTCCTACGACTCCGGGTTATATAAATATCTATCCTCTTCCTGATAAACCTTGCCGGCCATCAAGCTCACGTCTGCTCCACATCTCTCTCTCTCTCCTGCTCTCTCCGTGGGTCTTCGCTGTTAAGTTATGGAGAGGGGGTGGAAGAGGGAGTGCCATCCCCTGCTGAAAGGAGGGAGGAGGGCCGGCGAAGGGCCTTCTCATGGCTTCTCCAAGGCCCAGGTGCGGGCCTTAGCCGCCATGTGCGAAGCTCTGATCCCACCTCTCGAGGCGGAGAACCTCTCCATCCCCGGCAGCAGAGAGGAGCCCCCCAGCAAGAGCCTCCAAACCTTCTACCGGGCCTCCGGCGCCGATCCCCCTCTCCCCGACGAGGTTCGCCGGCTGATTCTTCCTCCTTTCTCTCTCTACCTTCTTCTTCTCTCTCTAATTCCGCCGCCTTTGTGCTTGAGCAGGTAGCGGAGCTGATCGGGAAGGGCCTGTCGGAGGGCACCTATCTGATGAAGGCCGTTCTGTGGGCTCTGTCCACCCGTCTGGGGACCCTCACCCTCTGTAGATTGGTCTGCCTGTCAGGGGAATTCCCTTTCGTCCACCGATTCTCTGAGCTTCCGCTGAGGAAGAGAGAGAAGCTGCTGCAGAGGTGGAGCCGGGAGACCTTCTTCCGGCCGCTGAGGCTGGTCTTCCTCCTCGTCAAGATCCTCGCCCTGTATAACTTCTTCTCCAGGGTAATAACATCTCTTTCCTCTCACTGTTCATTCACCGGGTGAGCCTTCTTCTTCTTCCTCTTCCTAGACTGACTCTCTCTCTCTCTCTCTCTCTCTGGTTTCAGTTGGACGAGAACTTGGAGAATCGGGCATGGGAGGCGATCGGGTACCGCCTCCCCGAAGAAGAAGGGCCTGGCAGAGCACGCGGAGAGAGGCTGCTGGAGAAGGGAGTGGTGGAGATGGAGAAGGAGACGGACTCATCCTTGCTCAAGTCTCTGTCGCAGAAGGGCCTCAGGGTGCACGAGGATCTCACCGAGGACGTCCTCAACGTCGAGTGCGACGTGGTGATCGTCGGCTCCGGCTGCGGCGGCGGGGTCGCCGCCGCCGTCCTTGCCGGCTCCGGCTTGAAGGTGGTCGTCCTCGAGAAGGGGGGCTACTACGTGGGGGAAGACTACTCCTCGAAGGAAGGCCCGTCCATGGAGAAGCTCTACGAGGCGAAGGGAATCCTCAGCACCCTCGACGGGAAGATCATGATCTTGGCCGGCGCTACCGTCGGCGGCGGCTCCGCCGTCAATTGGGCGGCCTGCATAAGGACGCCGGCGGACGTGATGAGAGAGTGGGCGGAGGACTACCGCCTCTCCCTCTTCCGATCCTCTGACTACCTCTCCGCCATGGACGCCGTCTGGAAGAGGATCGGCGTCACAGAGAGATGCGCAGAGGAGGGTTTGCAGAACAAGATCTTGCGCAGGGGCTGCGAGAAGCTCGGGCTGAAGGTGGAGTTTGTGGCGAGGAACTCGCCGGAGGGCCACTTTTGCGGGTCCTGCGGCTACGGCTGCCCCACTGGCGAGAAGCGCGGCACCGACACCACCTGGCTGGTTGACGCCGTCGACCACGGTGCGGTGCTCATCACTGGCTGCGAGGCCGAGAAGTTCCTCCTCGAGAAGCAGAAGACGAAGACGAAGACGAAGAAGTGCGTCGGGGTGGCGGCGCGGGCCGTCGCCGGCGAGGTGAAGAGGAGGCTGCGTGTTCACGCGAAGGTGAGCATCTCCTCCGGTGGGGCGCTGCGGACGCCGCTCCTGCTGGCCGCCAGCGGCCTCAAGAACCGCCATATCGGGAAGAACCTGCACCTCCACCCGGTTATCATGGCGTGGGGGTACTTCCCTGAAGCGGGGTCGGACCTTCCCGGGAAGGTCTTCGATGGGGGGCTCATCACGTCGCTGCACAAGGTAGAGGAGCCCGCCGGCGGCAGCGGGGGGAGCAGGGTCATCGTGGAGACGCCGGGGTTGGGGCCGGGGTCGTTCGCCACCTTGACCCCGTGGGTTTCGGGGAGGGACATGAAGGAGAGGATGTGCAGGTACGAGAGGACGGCCCATCTCTTCGCGCTGGCCAGGGACCGCGGCGCCGGCGCAGTGGAGGGCGACCGGAGGATAAGCTACAAGTTCCACGCCGGCGACAGGGAGGAGCTCCGGCGGGGGCTGAGGCGAGCGCTGCGGATACTGGTGGCCGCCGGCGCCGCCGAGGTGGGCACCCACCGGAGCGACGGGGAGAGGATAAAGTGCAGGGGGTTGAAAGAGGAGGAGCTGGAGGAGTTCCTCGATGGGGTGGCGCCGCCGAGGGGCCCCAGCTCCGGAGACAAGCTGTGGTCCCTCTACGCCTCCGCGCACCAGATGGGGAGCTGCCGGATGGGCGCCAGCGAGGAGGAGGGCGCCGTCGATGAGAACGGGGAGAGCTGGGAGGCGGAGGGCATGTTCGTCTGCGACGCCAGCCTCTTCCCCACGGCGCTCGGGGTGAACCCCATGATCACCGTCGAGTCCATCGCCCTCTGTCTCTCCCAGCGGATCGCCAGGTCCATGGCCGCGGGGAAGACCACCACCACCACCACCCATTGACATTGAGGCCCTGGTTTGATCTTCATCGGGCCATCAATCCAGTCGTGTAGATTCCACGTATGAATTCGCAAGAACCGTGAGTGGCCTTGTCCGATCTGGCTCACTGCTCCCGAGCTTCCTGTCCGCGAGCGGTTCAGTAATGGCGGCTAAATGTTTCACACGATTGTTGGCCTCAAATCTGTCAGCGTCGTCCTAAATGGGTTTGATTGCGTCTGAGAAGAATGTGACCTACCGAACTATCGACCACGCGAGAAATTCTCTACAGGAGGCGAAGATATTGGACGCCGTACTGTTCCCTCCGCCGCGGCTGCCACTTGAGCTCCGGAGAGACGGAGGCGTCTCCGCCCACCGTTCCTGTTGAATGAGGCAATTATCATTCACCCACTGATCAACGTGGGCGTTGTCCCTATTTGATTATTTTATTTATCCTTCCACCTACGACAGAAATGTCTCTCTCTCTCTCTCTCTCTCTCTCTCTCTCTCTCTCCTCCCTGACGACTAAATCACGTGAAGTGACAGAAAGTTACATCCTTTCACTAGACTGCTGGCTCTGATAGTAGGGAATATGAAGGTCAGCGCCAGTGACCTCTGAACCCACAGGAGGCCCCCCGAGGGAATAACTCCAAGTTTACCTGCGAGAGCTCGTGAGGGCCGATAGGGTCCCGGATCTGGATCTACTCGCCGCAGCCTTCACGGCCGCCACTGCCGTCGCCGAAACGTCTTCAGGGCTCGTGACCGAAAAGTTTGAACGGCGACTGAGGCCTGAAGAAGGCAACTTCGGTGAACCCAAGAAAGACTGCGTGATGGTGACCGACCTTGGAAGGGAGGTAACCGATGGGAGACGGAGAAAAGGAGAAACTTTTCCGTCAGAGACCCATAAGAGTTGGGGAGAGGCGAGTCTCTTTCAAGTGGCCCAAAATAAAGAGGGGGGAAGAGAGAGAGAGAGAGAGAGAGAGAGCCACAGTGCCTGTCGTCGCTACTTCTCTCTCTTTAAGAGGGAGGGGAGCCTGTTCCGAGGGCCAAACTAAAGAGGTGGAGAGAGAGAGAGAGACATTGTCGTTGCTGTTGCTTCTTAAAGAGGAAGGGGAGTTTGTTCCAAAAGGCCCAAAATAAAGAGCGAGAGCGAGAGAAAGAGATTGCGCAGTCGGTTTCCTGTCTTTTAAGCTACCCGTGTAGCTAGGGAACCCTGAGTGGGAGGAGTTCGCACATCAACGTCACCGGATCTCCCCGCCCACGGCAACCGCGTGGCTCACTCCAAGTGCACAACGTCGCGAACGCCCGGCCTCTTCCTCTCCCCTCACACCGATTCCGTGCAATTCGCCTTAGACACATTTATACGGCCCGCCGTATCTATCTGAGAGCGAGAGAGAGAGAGAGAGAGAGAGAGAGAGAGAGGTCCTTATTGCCGGGAGGGGGGGGATCCTCTGTTATGATGACACTGTGGTCACCAATATAATGAACCAAGCGGGAGCGGGGGAGCCCAAGACGATCCCAAAAATCATGAAGGCCAGGTATGTGTGTCTACTGCGGGAAATCAATTTTGGCGTCAAATGCGATGGGCCAGGGGGGTTGACCCGGAGGCCTACTTGGCGGCGGCCGCCCGGACGGCCTTCTCGGCGGCGTCGTCCAGGTCCTCCGCGGTGGTCAACGTCATCCCGCTCTCCTGCACGACAATTGACAGCAAGTATAGAGGCATCACTGGTCAATCAACAAATGGTTAGTGGCGACGTGGCATAAAGTCTGGTTACACAGATCAGCGCGCGGCTTTCTTTACCTTGAGAATCCTCTTCCCCTGCTCGACGTTGGTGCCCTCCAGCCGCACCACCACCGGCACCTTCAGGGACACCTGCGGGGGGTTGACCCAGAGAGCATAAGCCGAATGACAGTCAAAAAAGCTACGGTTGACCGAGATGTGAGCTTCAGAGCGGTGGGCAGAAATCAGTAAAATTCCTCCTCGTAAAGAGGTAGAGCGAGGAGATCAAACAAGAACCACCAGCTTCTTCTTCTTTTTTGCGGATCAAATTATGTTTCGAAAGAAAAATAAAAGTCAAACATTTTACCCTGGACTCCGGTTGAGGGGAATAAATCTAGGTCAAACCCAGGAAGAGTCAGCCGCGCTGATTATATAGCAGGCTAAGGGTTTTTGCGGCACAGATAATCGTGAGAGCTCCCCTGACAGAGTGGGATGTGCACTGAAGGGACCCACCTCTTTGGCGGCATTCACGATCCCGCTGGCAATGACATCGCATTTCATGATCCCTCCGAAGATATTAACCAGAATGGCCTTCACCTTATCATCCGCCGTCAAAATCTTGAATGCCTCAACGACCTGAGCATATTAAAAAATAATAAATAAACAACGCTTATTTAGAGAGAAAAGCTTTACCCTGTGATCTCAACCCCCAATAAAAAAATAAAAAAATTAAAAAATCAGGCATCGGCCATGATTTAAGGGGAATAAAAATGCAAGAAAAAAATATAAACCAAGGCCGAGGCGAGGGATCTGCCAACTCGGTCTGAGCACAAGGCATCTAATCGGGTATAAAATTATATAAAATATTTCAGGAAACTATTTATCCGCATCATACACATGCATACTTAATTATCACATATTTATAAAAAAATATGAATGCAGCAGCCACCAATGCACCTTAAGAACCATGGCTTATAGTTATTTGTTCTTCTCCCAAGCAAGAAATCAGCGTCAGTTTTATGCAATATGATGCGGGCGAGTAAGACCCCAGGAGACCAAGAACAGATGGGAATTCGATCCAAAGACACCATCATGGGATGGATGAGAGACCTGGCCTTCGGATGCATTGCCGCCAACATCGAGGAAATTGGCAGGAGTTCCGCCATGTAGCTTGATAATATCCATTGTGGCCATGGCTAGTCCTGCACCGTTGACCATGCAACCTATTTCTCCATCGAGTCCAATGTAGTTCAAATCCGCTTTGGCAGCAGCAACCTACAGGAGCAAGATATCATATCAGCCAAACCGGGAACAAGATATCATGGCCGAGTGTGGCGTTGAATACCGCAAGGTAAGAACAGAGGAACCCAAATTCTAAAAACAGATTGATGCTCGAAGCCACCAGGTCCATATATTTGATTCAACTCCGGTGGTCACAAGATTACTCCATCCCAGATGTGGATCGCAAGATATATTCTCTTATATGTCAACGGAAACGCCCAGTGGAAGGGGGAGAACGTTGTTTGTCAATGGGGATTTCGATGAAAAAAAAGGATTCCGGAGAGGAGGCTACCAGGCAATACGACATGAAGTGAAAATCATAAAAGATCAATTTTTCCGTAATAATAGAAGATGGGATCCCAATGACAGAGTTCATAACAGAGCAACAATGTCCGCTCTGGAAGGAAGCAGATGGCAGATATACAAACCTCGCGGGGATCCTCCTGTGTTGCGTCTCGGAGTGCAAATATTTCTTTTTGACGGAATGCCGCATTGTCATCAAAGTTCAACTTTGCATCAGCGGCTACAAGCTGGTTGTCAGCCGTCTCAGCCATTGGGTTGACCTGAAAAACCGAAATCAGAGTAAACGAGTAATGACACACAATTCGGTGCTACACAGACTACTGCATGCTTTAGAACTTAAAAGGATTTCCTCTTCTGCACCTCCAACAACGTGCAATCACATTCGACAAAGAGTTTGTAAAGCTGCTTCACTTGCTCTATTGACTCATTTCTATCTGCCACCTTAGGAGCCAAACCATCTACAACTTTCGCCGCATCTGCATCTGTGATCCCTTCGAAAACGTCAACGGGGACCTAACGACAGAAGTAGGGGGTCAGAAAAGGCTGAAGACATTGTACGACAAAAATGTTGAAGTAAAATATTCAAAAGATGAGCAAAAACGATGCGCAACTGAGGATTTGCAGGAAAATAGATAAAAGAAATAAACCGTAAGATTCTGGTACTGGATTCATTGGTCATATCATATTTCTTTCTCTGCCAGTGCACAGATGAAGATAAAGCTGACCTTGATAATCATATCGGGGAATTTCTCTGCAAGATCTTCAATGCTGGTTCCTCCTTTTCTACAGGCTATGATAATCTGTAAAAAAAAAAAAAAAGAAGTAAAAGGGCACCGAAATAAAGTGAAAGGAATATCAATTTACCCAAAACCACAGAATATAACCTCACAATAACAGACAAAAGTGAGAATCAACAACCGGTGCAGAATGAATACATTTCAGACTGCAGATCTAAGGAATCAACAACCGAGGAGGAAAGACCAATCGTGATATCTATTGATACCAAATGATAGGAGATTGACCACTAGTATGGAAAATGTAGTTGGAGATATGGGGAGCGTATATCCTTCCACTTGAATACGTCTGAACATTATTTTCCCAGGCTAACTCCATATTCTGGCTGAGATCTGATTTAGTACCTACTTGAACTAAGTAGTCTTATATATTTCTAAATTTATAAAACGCAAATATAATTTACAAAAAAATTCAATTTAAATTCATAAATATGATCGATTTCTAAATTGCAACAATACATAACCCAATATATGAAAAAAGAAACAATTCGCAAAAACATTAGGAGAATTGGGATTCGCACATTTCAGGTTTCCAAAGCATTCCAAAAAATATTTCCAGCAAATTGACTGCAACTGATGGTAAATGAATCATCACTATAAATGAAATTATTCAGTATTATCCAAATCTGAACGAAATCAACCAACTGACAGCTTGTTCGACAGATTCGACCACGGCGGAATTCAACTTGAAACATTGCTTATTGACTTAGCTCTAGTTCACATATCGTTCAAAATAATTAAACTGTGTATAGAACTGGTGAAGTTTTTCTCCTATTCGATAATGCAAACACGTAGACAACAATGCCAAGAATGTCCAGATAACCCTAGCCCCATAACAATAGCAAACAGACAGGCATCCTAGAGCTACAACTCATGCATCAAACACTACCAGTAGATGTTAACCATTAACAACATAGAGAAATACCAGTTTCAGCAAAATCACCCTAGGTTTTAATGTATAACAAGTTGTAATGGCACACAAAATGAAGATCGCAAAACATAAAAGGGAAACGAGAACAGGTACTTAAACAAAGGTTTAAAGACCAAAGTGGAATTATACCATGAAGCGAAATGCAAGAAGACCAAAAGTGGGGCAGAAGTTTTACGGAAAGGACAATTTTAATTTAATGTTTATGCAAAACTATCAACAATGAACAGTATTAAGCATTTGATTACGGCACATACCGGACCAGCGGTGGTACGGTCAAGGGTAATGGCAAAATACATCTCATTGATGAGTGACAGCTTTTCACATAAGTAGACCTGTAAAAGAACGAAAACACTTATCAATCCATAATAAAAAGGAAAGTTCATAGAGTAACGGATAGAAGCAAGATTTCCCCTAAAAATAGCGGAAAAAATTATTTGAGCATTGCTGCATCTTCACTTGAATGACAGGTCAAATCAGAAACTAGCATCTGACATTTAACATACGTACAAGCCATTAGATTCAGGTATCAACTGAAATTATGACATCGGACAGACAATTAAAGAAACAACTGTAAACCATGAAAAAATCACAAGAACATCAACAGTAGTTCTTAACGACGCGGTGGGACAGTACTGTGTTTCAACTAATGAAATGATGGAGAGAACAAGGGCTGGTGGAGGGGAAACAACTAAAAAATTCATTAAGCACTTGATTATAACACTTGTCCAGGGGATGATCAATCATTCGCGATTGGATCACCACCAAAGGCTTGATAATGTGAAGCTCTATTCCCAGAGATGGATTGAAATGGTCGCCCACTTTTAGGCAAGGCATCAATCTATTACATTGCAGGGAAATTGGTTCGAAAGTACAGTCTGAAATGGCTCCTGGCAGATGGCACACAAGATATAAGGGGAGATCGACGACTCGACTTGTGACCTCCGAGTCGGATTGGGCCACTGACACAGCCAAGCCTGATCCAATCTGGATCTGAATCAGGCTGGCTGAATCAGCCGAGCTGTATTATCATTGAAAAAAATATAAAGTACACAGAAACATTGTGTACAAGAAAGCACAATTGCAATAAAAGGTGTCGAATAGAAGCCTTTCCAATGCATTCCAACGTCTATTACTTGATCCTTTTTTGAGAAATTTGAGAGGTAAGTGCCAAGGGACAATGCTCCTGGGGACAGCAGCAGCCAAAAAACAGCTGATGGCAGCCATCGGCAATGATAAGTTCACGAGTCCAGTTTTTTCCTCTTCATTCGTCCATTCTTTGCCTCTCCTTCTTCATTCACCCTGTCACAGCAACAGGCAGTGCCACTATTCCATGTTCATCCGTCCATAGCAAATTTCATGGCCCCCGTAGATAGCCAGATCAGCCATAAACCGAGCTGATCCCGTTACTAGCAGTCAAGGTTACTCGGGAATGGGCTGTGTACGCTCGATTTTGAATAGATCGTCATTCTTAAAAAAGCAGGAATAGGACCAATTTCATGCCTCGTAGAGAATCAGAATCAGCTGACTTGAAATGCAATGCTTTGGATCGGAAAGGGCCAGCTGAATCCTATATAGGGAGTAGCGGGGAAGTACCATTATGCTGCTACCATTGGATGCTATGAATTCTATCAGGCAGCCCCCACAGAGAAGAAATAGGGACGCATCTCACAAGTAGTTGCTTGAATGCTCCAGAAATATCAGTACAACTGCTATGTCCATCACGAGAAGGCAATGTGTCATCAAAACCTTCCACATGAAGATGATGATATCAGTTGAACTCTTTTATCCAAAAAATCCCTATCCAAGCTCGTTCAGTTTTAGTTTTTAAGGTGTTGCCTGGGAGACACAAAGGGAAGATGGAGGAACGAAATGCAAAAGCACATCATGCAACAGGCTTGCAAACAGTCATTTGACTGAATGTGAATTGGAGCAGTCTACTAGAGATGCACTCAGTGACTTCTCCCCCTAACAACAGTTGCTATTTCTAATAACAGGTACCGGCTTTTATGTGAATCATAGAGCAAGTTCGTGCTGATATTAAAATAAATTTCAATTTAGTAAGTGATTTATTACATATCGTCTCAGTATAGAGCTACTCACATCTGTTTCAAGTCAGTTCGTTCATTTCCATCGATTTCCGATTTAAATTCATTCAACACATTTTTTTAAGCTTAACTTTAAAAATATTCTAATAATAAATAATTTTCTGTTTAAATATACTTAAAACTAGGAGTCCCCTAAGCACAGGTTGATCCATAATTGCCTCATTCGCCTTCAAAACCTTAGTTGAAGGTAACCGTTTGGTGATATTTACATACTTTATTGTTCTCTTCCTGAAGATGAATGACTACTGTACTGATTGATTGCTGAAGTCAAAGGAATACATAAAATTAGCGGAGTAGAAAGGAGGCTGGCTTCCGAAATGGAATATAACTTATCTGAAAGCTTTCTGAGTTATTTTAGTGCCACAATTTTCATCATATGATCCAGGAAAGGAAAACGCTATATGAAAACTACATATAAAGTTCCTTCATATGTCAAAATTCGTTCTCATTTTATCTTGCACAGAAAAGGATCCTTTCACCATGTTTGCATCTACAATCAAGAAACAGAAAACGTAAAGTACAGATCCAAAAGTTACAAAAAAGAAAGCGAAAAGTTGTACATTATACACAGTGTGGACAGCTAAATTTCTCAAAAGAATGATAGTAAAAAGAAAGATTCTGAAGTACTCAGAATCAGCCAACGAAATAGAACAAGGTTATGATTACTAACCTTGCTAACAACCTTTCCTTGGGGTCCAGTCTGCTTCGTAACAAGTATTTGGCCTAGCATTTTGCCTATACACAACAGATACACTATAAATAAAGTCCTTACAATAAATAAGAGCAGAAATTATTGATTCGCCAAACTGCTCAGAAAAATCTTGGTAGCCATGTGTCCTTTGATATGCTTCAAACTAGGACAATAATCACTCTTTAAAATGCTTGGGTTCATCGAAAGATACTGATAGAATGGAATACAGGAAAAGACTCTAAGTCTAATATGGTCAATTTTATATGTTCCGCCAAAACGGAAAATAACATAAACCACAGGGTAAAGTATTATTGTATGACATGTTCAATAATCTTGAAGAATGACATGGATCGTATAACATTGAAACGAGAGGTCTTAGTCAAGGACACGGAGGGAAATAGATGAAAAGGCAACAGATAAATCTGAACTACAGGTCAGCACAGGAAAATTAGTGATCAGGTGGCAGAACCAACGTGTCGGCAAATAGCAGACCTGTTATAGTAAATGGGGGACAGTGAAGCGTTATCTCAAAATGGAAATGCCGTGTCTGCAGAAATGGAATTTTTGTAGAACCGAATTTCACGCAAACTATCAAAAGAAGTTTTTTATGCAGAAAGCCCAACCAAGCAGCACAAAACTTGATGCAGTACATCGAATCCTAAACTCTCATCCTTATATGAGGTGCAGAATCAAGTTATATTATGAAGATTAGAATGCCACTAGTAATCTTAAGAAGCCTTCTAATTTGGAATACGAGCAAAACTTCCTGGATGTTTGATAATATGCGTCTAGACAGCTTATCACAGAAGCATCATGGCATAACTCTTGTTACCAGCTAATCCTTCAACCTCCTCAGTCTTGACAATGTGCACACCACCCTTAAGTCCACTTTGGAATGTGCCCAAGCCACGACCACCGGCAAGAATTTGGCTTTTGACAACCAACTGTATAAGGAAAATAATATAAACACCACTGAATGAAGAAAAATGTTACTGCAGGAAATATTATGCCATAAATCTTATTTACCATTAAACCTTTAAATCTGTTTTCTGCATCATCTAAGATTTCTCCATTAGTTCAGAAACGAAACATCAACAAATGAGAAGTTTTATAGGGTTGAAGCATCAGGATTAAAGTCACTTTCACAAGTCACTTTAACATACTAAATACAGCACAGTCGACTAACGGTCGCAGCCAGACATTTTTTGGTTAATGACATACTTGAAAAAAAATTCCTTCATATACATCAAAGTATGTCAGCTAAGATATCAGTTTACAGTAAAGGCAATGCAGAAATTACAGCTGACTAGTGTTAACTTTTTGCACGCTACTCCTCTTTTAACCAGAGCTTCCGAATAGTGTGAGAGGCAACCAAAAAGGAAGACATTTAAGGAGGTATGATTTAAGGAACACGTTTCTAGTATGCTAACGTGGGCAGAAGTATTGGCACTACAGTTAGAGAGACGAATGACGCCACTCTTAAAAGAAGAGCACATAAAATGCATGCCTCGACCTTTATTGTTGAATGAAATCGGTAAAAGTGTGGCTTGCAAAATTCCTAATTGTTGGGACAAAAAGAAATACACCCTCAAAGTATTTTATGTTTTGAAAAAAATACTCTTCTGAGACTGGTTAGCACCACAAAATGTCGTCCTATGTCAAAATTGTGTTTGACCAAACATAAAATCAGATCCCCCCAAAGAAGAGAATATTCTCTTACAGTGATACCAATCAAACTCACTCCATCTCGTCACATGTCCCTCCCTCTCTTCCTCCCACCCCACCACTTAAAAGACTGCCTGTTTCCATCCATGAAGACCACCCAGATATATGCGCACAAAGTAAGCCACTACATAGTGCAATCCAGTTTCCTAGTTCAACGAGGTTTCACCAAAGCCTCAGATCATCAATGAGACTAAGATATTACCACTGTATAGCTGAGTTATAAATCGCCAAATACCCTCGCAAAAGAGGAACATAGGATGAATAAGAGTTCCAGAATTTCTCCTCCCACAGAGATTCCACGCGTCATGAATATTATTCATAAAATAGTTCGTCAATCGTATGAATGGAGTCTCTTGTGGATAACATTCCACTAAAATATCTCTTGGTTGGAAATGAATTAGTTCCTTAGTCAGTTTTGAGGTCTCTGAATTGGAACCTAGTCTGAATTAGCCAGCCATGCCATAAGGGGAGGCCATGCTTGAGAGCAAGTATCAGAATTACCAATCCTAGAGTAATACCTATTGTATATTTTTCAAGTGCGGACAACTAGATAGATGCAGAAGTTTAAAAGAAAACATATTAACATGCAAAAGTGTAATAAAATACTTTCAAAAAAGAAAATGATAGCTGGATATTTTTTGACAACAAATTCATGAAAAGCCATCCCTCACTTTGCCATTCCACAAGGAATCACGTTTTTTTGCACGTTAGAGGGTCAGCTCAGTGAACGAAACCACATTTCCAAGCACATGATAAGAGGAAGGCAAGTGAAAAGCTAATATTCCAGCCACTATCAAAAGCAAAGCAAATCTCGAGTAAGGTAACTTCCCCTAACCCAATCCAAACACTCCCTCGATGGAATGGTATTCACAAGCAAGTAAAATTACCTCTTTTTCACTAGGAAAGGCGTCGTGAATTGCCTTCTTAATTTCTTCAGCCGATGAAACAGCAACACCCTTAGGCACATTTATGCCATATTTACCCATCAATTCTGCGCCCTGTTTCCAAACCAGATGTTATATCAATAGAGAAACTCGACTTAAATGAGAGACAACGTAACAGGGATTCTAAAGATTAAAGACAGGATAAGAAAAAGTAATAGAACATCAAATAGATGCTTCCTTGAAAAAATAAAATGCAGACGGATGAAAAGACTAGGGTGCAGTGTGATAGCAATGAAATAATAGCCTTAATAATGAAAGGGTAAAATATCAGAAATAGAGACGAAGGCTTCAGATAGGCAGCCGTACGCCCACGTTTTATTGGTTAATGGATTTACTGATACAATTCAGATGACATGAACCCTGAATTTCATTTCACTAGAAACTATTGGCGATGAACAGATGAGAGCAAAACCCAGCGATAAACGAAAACAGAATCCAAGCTCGTGGCGCATTGTATACTTGAGACGGTGCAAAAAGGAATAAAATGCAGAAACAACCAAACTGACCAATCGATGCCTGAGGGAAGGGGGAGTAGAAAAAACGATATAGATGCAGAAATGAAAGATATCAAAGGATAAAACGAAATTAACAAAGTAATTAGAGAGAACAGAAAAGGACCTGATACTCGTGGATATTGAGGCGCCGCAGCTGCTGCTGTTGCCATTTCCCAGCGAGGGAAATCGAACGGGATGCGATCTTTCCCAGAAGCCCTCTCACCATTCCGAAGACTTCAAGGGGTATGGAACCTGCTGAGGCGTCTAGTCAGTAATTTTCGGATCGAAAAACGTCCCCGGTACTGGCAATACAATAGAAAAGATAGGCGCCGGAAAGGACCTGGATAGACCACAGAAGGCCTCGATGCGGGCACTTGCGACGCAGGCGGAGATGAGTCTCCGGAACCCTAGAAACCCCGGCTACCCCGACACTCCAACGAAGAAGGAGAAGAAGACGAGCACCTCCACTTTCTTGTTTCTCCTTGCTCGCGTAAGTAGCCTCACTGACGAATGCGAATTCCTTAACTGTTTATTATAAAAACCTCCAATCAAAATTAATATTTTTAAATAAGACTTAACGTAATTTTAATTTACTTTTAGCCTCCTCACATCGACAACAGCAGGATCACTCCCGATCTTCAGAAAAGGGAGGGGGCTTCCTGTAATAATCCTTTCCAGAGGTATCCTCCACAAAGGACCTCGATGCGCCTATAAAAATCCGAGATCGACGAACCAAACATTAGATCATATCTTTTGTGTCCTTGCTTGATTAGAATAAAATCCGGAATATTTCGTCCGTTGACCATAAAATAATGCCCGAATGCATTAAAATTATATTAAATAAAAAAAAACCAGGGCAGTAATTTTCTCTATATTTGGACTGCATTGTCAAGTCCATTAATTTGGCCAATTCGATCACAGATGGCCATCGTTCATATCGTGTTGCCCTATAAAATAATTAGATACAATAAAAATAAAAATATATTCTTTTATTTCAGAAGTGTAAATTAATATATATTTAGAAGACTCCACGATCATAAAAATAATCAGAAATAATTATCATGACGACTCATTGTTATATGTTACGCCATAATCATGGGAAATCTTTCTCCCTACATTGTTCATGTCGTGGTGTCTTATAACATAATAAATTAAAAAAATAACAATACATTTTTATTTTAAGAATATTATTAATATACGTACATAGTCTGTGCCATTTTTGCATATTTAGACGACTCCACGACCAAAAAATATATAGAATTAATTATCATGACGACCCCAAGGAAGCCCATAATTTTTTTTTCACACGATAAAAGTAATAATTTTCACGGCCCATAAAAAGAATCTTAATAATTTATCATTCTCGATGTTTCAGGATAATTTTACTCTACGATGAGTCCCTGCAGCGATAGTAGGCGCATCTTCTTAGTCTCCTTGCGGAAGATCAAAACCTCTTCCCATTCCTCCTCTCAGTAATAAAAAAATGATCGAATTACATACGAGAATAGCTTCACAATTCGTGGTTACAGAGGGGAATCCCACCGTGATATCGATTCTCCTCCGTTCAAGAACACCACAATCTACACCAACAATGAACAAGATGCCAAGAGGGAATACGGAATCACCAGCCCTCCTCTCTCTTTCTCTCTCTCTCTCTCTCTCTCTCTCTCTCTCTCTCTCACCCTAGAACTTACATGCAAGAACCCGGTCAGTCGATCGGAGAACCATTTTCACCGCGCCGACGCCGAGGGCAGGACACAAGTGTGGCGGAGAGGGAGGGTCTCCGCTGGTTTCTTCCGCTTGGTGGGTCGCCTTCTTCTGAGGAGCCCTACTCCATATCGCGGAAAGGCAGTGGCACCATCTTCACCGCCCGGAACTTGCCCACGTTGTTGAGATGCTCGTTCTCCAGCCTGGGCAGCAATGGCACGAATCCCTCATCAGTTTTGAGGCGAGATATGTGTGAACAAGGGTTACCCATGATTGGCCCGTAGAGCACACGGTCAACTCGAGGTCAGCTGAGAATGAGCGGCGCAAGCCCATGATACTCGCTAACTTCTCAATGATTATAGCAGGCTAACCGGCTACCAATGATCTATATCTTCTAGTGTGTGACGCCATGTATAAGCTGTTTCTTTTAGGGTTCTATTGCCTGGACAACCGAACAATAATCTAGGGAGCACAAGGCAAGTCCAAAGATCAATGGATAACGATGGAAGCAGACCCGTATATTCAATCGGAGAGTCTAAGTCTGTCAGAGGTTGGCACCTGTAGTAGTTCCAGTGGCCTCGGCGGATGATCTCGAGGGAGGCCAGGAGGAAGTCGACCATGCGGTTCTCCACCCTCCCCAGGTTGATATGCAATACGGTCGCCACCCAGGCGAGCCTCAGCACAAAATTCACACCCTGTATTGATTCAGCAGACAAGAAAATACCCCTACGTAAGATATACATATATATGTATGTAACGTGGGAGGAGAGGGTTTTCTGTACTCACGATGGATACGTAGTAGATGCTCTTGTTCTTCAGCACGAGGTCGTCTCTAAGAAATGCGTTCTTGGAGCCGGGGGTGAAGAAGCCCCAGTCCTTGACGAAGTCCCAGTACAGCTGGTAGACAGTGGCCAGAGTGGAGGTGATGACGACGGCGGCGAGCCACAGCGGCGTGGGAGTTATGGCGTACTTCATCCTGGCCGCGGCGGCGATCATGGCGGATATGTACTTGCCGCCGTTGGCCATGTGGTTGAGGTCGTACCCCTCCTCCACGTACCTCCTGATACACTTGAGAAGCCAACACAAAGATAGCGGCGTCAGCTCAGCTTCATACTCAAGAGCTCGGATTCATCTTACATCTGGTCCTTTTTAACGTTTTCGTGGGTAGTAGTAAGCACCTGCATGGCGCGCCAGTAGTAGGGCAGGAAGGATATCACGTAAGCAAACATCTTGTATTGGTGGCTGCGCGTGCAAGTGTCGTAGGGGTTCGCCTTGAAGCCGCCTGCCATGAAGTAGCACACCGTGAACTCCATGTACCTTAGCAGGGGGATCTGCATGAAACAGGCTAGGCGTAAGATTTAACGATCGTGTAAAGATTATCCCTAGAGAGAGAGAGAGAGAGATTGCGGTCTCACCTGGCTAGTTAGCTGGTCAGCCATGAAGAAGTCTACCATCAAGACCTGCATTTCAGGGCTTTCTCTGCGTCAGCAACGTGCTGCCCGAGTATTATGATGCGACCAAGGAGGAAGAAGTTAATCACTTACCTTGTAAAATGGCGACAACGCAATGTTGCGGAGGACTCTTAGTAAGCAGAACCGGGTAGAACGGTAGAAGATGTTGAATGGGCAGAGGAGGGTTCCGGTGAATAGCTGAACAGAGGATATAATGGGTTGATTTAATCTGCTTGCTGGCATTGTAGGAGAGGTTTGATGATGGGAGGAGGATGAGTTTTCTCACCAAGAGGAGGATGCCCGGAATGGCAAGGGCGGGGTGCGGCAACAAGACTGCACCTTTGAGCATGATCAGCTGGGCCACAAGTGCCCCCACGACCGTGGTCATGATGCAGGTGCAGATGAGGAAGGCGTCCCTGTGTTTCAATGCCGTCTTGGGTGAGAACTCGAAGATGAAGTTGTGGTTTATTCTGGTTGCCCTCCACGCCAGCAGGTTGCAGCCGTAGAGGAATATATGGAGACTAATCAGGGTGAAGGTGCTGCAGATCAGAAACAAGAGACGTGGATCGAGATGCTGTACAATCCAAGTTTTCCTCTCTCTCTCTCTCTCTCTCTCTCTCTCTCTCTCTCTCTCTCTCTATCTCTCGATTTTCTTCTAGAAACATAGAATGAGAGGGGACGAGGGATCACCTGAAGACGGGGTAGACGGTCTCCACGTATCCGGGATCAGGGGAGGAATTCGCAGAATAGAAGATTCCCGTCAGGTGCGCCAGAATTGCGTAGACACAGAAGAGGGTAACAAAGCTGCCAGTGAATAAGCCTGCGCCGGATGCGAATTCAGATGTCAGATCTCAGGCTAATACAGGAGAATGATGAGGAAACACATGAAACTGGAGGGTTGGTCTATAATTTATTCCTCCTTGCGTACTCGGTCTCAATTGATGGCATTTATTTTGTAGTTTATGCTTTCCTCTCTCTCTCTCTCTCTCTCTCTCTCTCTCTCTCTCTCTCTCTCTCTCTCTCTGCTTAAATATTTTCATTCACCCATTCCATCTCGCCAGTATGCGATTCTTCAGCCAGTTTAGAGGCTTTTATATAATGGTAAAAAACCTTGCCAAATACAGAAAACTTTACGTCATATTCTATCTTCTAATCAATTGGTTCTGAGGTATCTTTGCACTCTTAAAAAGCACTCACATAATTATCGTTATATCTTCCAGAAAAGTAGGTTAATGACTGTTATCATCACAAACAGGGATAGTATCTTTTCATCGTAGCCGTGGGTCACAAGATTCTGAATCTAAGATGGCGGTCGCGGAGTAAAATTGGAGAAAGAGAAGGATGGAGGAAATGGGGAGTTGGTGCCAGAGCGGGGAAGAGAGACGTACCGACGAAGAAGGTGACCACGTGAGAATCCTTGGGCTGGTGGGGGCGGAGGAACTTCATGGCCCTTTTCCTGTCGCCATTAGCGAAGTGCTTTGTGAAGATGGACTCCACCTCATCCCCCGCCCGCACAATCTGCCACCAAAAATGTCGGAGGTCACGTGAGCGCATGAATTTATATGGATAGAGAGAATGAGAGAGAGAGAGAGAGGACAGTCATGATAAAAATGGTATCATAGAATGAGAGTTCGTAAGGGTCGTCCAGTAGAAGGGAGTCAGAGGGGCACCGTTTGTTAGGAAAAGGTGGCAGCATGGTGCCGGATGTGGAACAAGTGATCGACAGTTTCTTGGGCCAGCTTCTACGTCGGAGTTAGCCATCCGGTTGGCACCCGGTTAGAACCCCGGGGAAAGCCATTAAAGTCAATAAAATAACCTTCTAAAAGCTTTCTCTCTCTCTCTCTCTCTCACCGATGTCACTAATGGTGGAACATGCAACAATCATGGTAATAAAGGAGTAACAAGCTTAGTATTCCTCTCTGATAGATCTTTATTCTCGCAGATGATGGAATTCTGGAGATTCTAGCGAGATTACGAGATGATCTCGTCCAGAGACCTCAGCCTTTAAAGGAAAGTAGCCAACTAAATTACTCTCTCTCATGCTCCGACGATAATATGAGTCTAGCAATGGAACCATGTCATGCGCTCCGATCGCAAAGCGTGGGACGGGGAGATCACCGGCCCCTCTTCGAATCTGAAGGTTTTTTCTACTTGGGAGAGGTTTTCTCCTCTCTCTAACTGGCCCCTCCTAAAACCCTAACTCGGCGACGTTGACGTCGAACCTCGGGGAGAAAACCCGTTTCCAAGAACCCGGCGAGGCCTCTGCGTCTACACCCCATGGGTTCTCATCCAATTCCATGCCTATTGTGAAGGACCTTTTAATGATAGTAACGTGTCAGTGACAACTTTACCTTGTCGGAGCTGACGAAGTGGGATCTCTTCACCACCTTCAAGTAACTTGCCGAAGCGTGCTGCTTTGACACCTGCGGCGGGTAGAGGACACAGACAAAAAACGGATCAACGGCATACGAGAGAACAGATTGTATAAGATCACAAGGAAGAAACATTCCTGCGGCGTCGGCTTTCAGATCCCCGATGGTCCTGGAGTATCGGGGCCAGATCATATCATCAGTGTGTGGATGGTTGGATTCTGTGGCTCTATTCTGCTGCCAATAGGAGAATGGAACCTTCCATGGGTATGTTCTTAGGTTCTTGTTCTAGAGGAACATGTGGCCGACAGGGTGATGTAGCAGACGTTGATAAAATGCAAGGATGGATTTTTCCATCCAAGAACAAAGGTAAAGTGAAGAGAAATAGGCAGTTCGGGGAGGAGGTGTTGTTTTTGCTTTCAGTTCGTTTGCTCGTGTCATTCTGAGGGAATGGCGGAGCTAGAAACAAAAATCTTAAAGCACCCGGTTTCTGGCGACGTCCCACGCAATGGAACCCGGGATTCGATGCCTCTCATGTGAGAGATCATACTACCCTTCCCCCTTGTAGCCTTTTCCTCTTCACCAAGAAACGCCCCAGGAACGGAAAATACGTGCGTGGATAGGAACACGCTAGTGGGTCAAGATGGAGACACCATGGTCGTTCCCCAGTTAATTTATCTGCTCGAGGAATTATGCTGTTTATTGAAAGAAGAGCGAACAAAAGCAGCAACAGTGGAAGAGGAAGGACGGATGGTGCACCTTGTCGAACTTCTTGAGTATCTTAGTGAAAGCGAGCATGTTCAAGGAGCTGCCGAATACAGAAAAACAGAGAGAATTCAGATTCTGGAAGATTTGACAAAGACGCGGTGCAAAAGGTTCACTAAGCAGGATTCAATGAACCCCCCTCCCTCCCCGGGAAATCCTGTCCTATAATGGCACGTGCATGTTTTGCATGCATGAGTTAGGTATTGAATAGCTTGGCTCACGTGGATGGCCGAAACAAAGTGAGACGTGTACCTATACGTTTTGAGAAGACCCAGCCCCCGGTAGAGCTCCACGAAGGCCCCCCGGATCATCTTTTCGGCGCACTGGATCTTCTTTCGGTTGATATAGTCACCGCCGGCGCCTTCTTTATTGGGGTTGTTCACGAGGTCTTCCCAGATCATGGAGGTGACCGCGGAGATCGTCCGCGAGGGGGTCGTGGCCGGGATGTCGATCCTCATGGTCGCCGCCTTCGGCTTGCCGTCTTTCTTTGCCTTGCCTCCCTGCCCCGACGGCACGAGCGTAATGCCGTTCCGCTCCAGGGCGGCGATGAGTTCGTCCGTCGTTGAGCCCTCAATTGGCGATTCGTCCGCCTCGTTCGCCGGCTCTGATCAGGTAGTAGAGTTAGACCATCGACCGAAGATCAGTCTACGACGAGAGGGAAGTATACGTCAGATCAAATCACATCGCTCAAGTCTAGACTTGTAAATGTGAGAAACTGCCCGACGACGAAAATCCCTACCAGACATGTTGTAAGGGGAGTTGAGGAGCGAGAGCACGCCGGCCGGCGAGGAGCGGACGGAGTCCAAGCCACCCTTGCCGGACGCGAGGCGGCGGCGGCGGCGGTGCTCATTCAGGATGTGCTTGAGGTCGGAGAGGATCTGGAGCTGCTTGTTGAGCAGGTCGCTCCGCTCGACGAACTCGGCCTCCTTGGCCCTGTAGAAGTTGTTGACCTTGTCCAGCTCCTGCCCCAGACGATCGAAGAACTCCCTCACCTCCTCCGCCCCGGACTGAACCAGCTCCGCCTCGTACTGGTCCTCTCCGTCGCTCTGTCCCCGGCCAAAAGGAATCCTCGTCAAAATGGCAGAAAACTGGAAATATCTCAATTTTATTATTTATTATAAACATATTTTTGCGGCCCCATCTCCGTCCCCACTCTCGGCCGGTATATCTCAGGAGATCCGCGCGAACCACGACGGAATCTCCGAGAGCGTCCAATTCTGTTTCTTCCTCCGTCACCCCGGTGACGGCGACGTGACATTTCAGATGCACAGTGCGGCGATCCGACTGAGAAGCCACCACCACCACCACCAACGGTCCCGAAACGGAACGTGACCTCGGGGAGAAACCGAAAGCCTGAACGGTGGTCCCCGCCGGAGGAAATGCCGAAGACGAGGAGGAGGAGGGCGCTTCGAAAAGTCGGCGCCGTCTCCGGCAAGGCAGCAGGAAATTGGTCGAAGGAAGAAGAAGAAGAAGAAGAAGAAGAAGACGAAGACGATGAGATCGATCGCGGTTACCTGCCCAGCCGGGGGATGGTGGTTGTCGGAGGATCGGCCTCCGGAGATGGCGCCGACCAGGCGGTGGAGAGGACTGAGGAGGAGAGAGCCGCCGCGGGCGCGGCCCTGGCCTCGGCGGTAGATATGGTCGCAGCCGTCGGAGAGGCGCGTCCGCGAGAGCGTGAGCTTGATCTTCTTAACGTGCTTCTTGAGCTGCCGGTAGTCGACGAAAGCGTCCTTCCACTCCGGGATGAGCTGCGCCTCCAGTTCCTTGGAGAACTTCACCATTCTCGCCGCCGCCGGAGCCCCTAGGACCGTCTCTGACTAGGAATAGAGACCCTGAGAGGTGGGGGGATGAGGATGGCGGGAGCTCCTGCTGAGAGCTCGGAGGTTTATATAGATGGTCGCCTTACTGGTTGGAAGGGACGGGGCTGACGTGGTCGGGGAAAAGTCGGTGGAGGAGAAGGGCCTCCTGCCGAATCTTCATTTTCTCTCTCCTCCCCTGATCTGCACTATTTAATTTTCATATAATATTTTATCCGCATATATGACCGAATTTCACCATTATCCCCCTAACTTTAATGATTGTAAATATGCCCAGATGGACAGAGACAACGATGGATATTTTTACTAACGAATGAATTATTGTGTCGAGCGGAAAAATTATAAAACTCACATAGCCCCAGAGAAAACCTAAAAATGTCAAAGCCTACCCAGGGTTATCTCAATACGAAGAGTACTCTCCTAATGCAGTGAAAAATATTCAAAAAGCCCTCTTTTTTATTTACTTTGCTTCTAGATCCTGCTCCTGCCCTAGACGGAGGAACAACTGCCGGAGCTACGTCGTCAGCGATTTCGTGACTGAACTTGGCCGTTCGACGGATGAAGGCGAGGAAGCCCGAGTCGCAGAAGCCCCGCCAGCCGCTATCAGCATCTCATTCCCCATTCCCCGACTTGATCGGAGGAAAAAATCGGATGATCTTCGTCAGATCTTCCGTCCGATTCTTCCCAACATGAGGAAGAAGATGATGGGACCGTCACACAGAAGGGGGACAAACCATAGAGAGACGGAGAGAGATGACGCAGATGGGAGGATAAATCTACCACGCTCATGTACCGGCAGTAGATATCCGATATATTCCGGCCTAGAGACGGGCCGACTGGATTTTACGTAGTTTTGATTGTTGCAGGTGAGGCGGGAGGGAGAGCAGAGAGAGAAAAGAGGAAGATTGTTCTCTGCGGAATTCCCCAGAACCCATTAGGTATATGCTTTCAGATGATGCAGCTCAATGGGACTGTCACCCCATCATTCTTCCAGAGAATCGATTCCTATTCGTCTCTATCCTCCGTCTCATCTCTTCAACCTTCCACATTACTCTCTCTCTCTCTCTCTCTCTCTCTCTCTCTCTCTCTCTCTCTCGCTCTCTTTTTCCCGGCTTGTTAAGTCAGACCTCAGAATCCTCACTCCATAGCTTTAGTTTCTTCGAAGATGAACCAGAGGTCTCTTCTTGAGAATGACTCTCTTCCATGGCGGGGACTTCTGTGCTCCCCCCACTAGAGAATAGAGTACTTGTCCAATCAGGCTATCGTGGCGATGGCTGGTCACGCCGGTGCAGCCTTCCTTCCCACCTCCACTACGCTCAGAGGACTTGCCAACGAGGCTCCTTTTGGTGCAACCGGGCTAGAAGAGAGATGACCTCCTGGTTCTCTCCTCGTTGCTACCTCATGAATGGCCACTTCTCTGTAACCTCCCTCCTCTCCCCCCCCCCCCCCCCCCCCCCCCCCCCCCCCCCCCTCTCTCTCTCTCTCTCTCTCTCTCTCTCCCTCCCCCCTCCCGCCTTTTTAGTAGTCTCCTCCTTTCTTCCCACGCCGCATTGTTACTCTCTTTCCTTTTAAAAATTCCGAGGCGATAGGTCTACCAGCGAGTGGTGTGCTACCCACTCGGCGGCTGGTCGGTGGTCATGGCCAGGGCTTGGCCGGCCTGCTGAGCTCGCAGCCGATGAGGAGACTCCCATTCCTCCACGCCGGCTGAGCACGACGTTCAGAAGAAGAGTCCTTCCTTGGATCTTCGGACAATGTCACCCCTCGTGTTCGGCGTGCTGGTGGGGAACACCCGGCTCACCGGTCAATGCGGTTCATCTCTGGCGGCGAATGTCAGCGCGGATCTGGCTCTGCAGTCAACGGGTGTGTCCTCTTGTAGAAAATGTCGGTGTACACCATTGATTCGATCTGCTTCGAATGTGTATGAAAGTGCCTCGAATTCATGTCATCCACAGTCCACTAATACTTCCGCTTCGATTGCCCGTGTCAACGGGGCGAGAGAGAGAGAGAGAGAGAGAGAGAGAGAATGTGGGAAGAAAAAATATCTTGAGTCTTTGAGAATAGGGCCATGCTTACTTTTTTTGTATGTGATAGATTAATGTACGAGAATAAGAGCCATGAATGAGCATCCCATATTCTGCTTCTAATATGGGAAATTTCACCCTTATTAGGCTTTAGAAACCATGCCAATTATGCCTCATTTAAACTAACTTATCTCATTATAATAAGAGCTTGGATAAGCCTCTCAGGTACTCCTTTAACGTACTCCTGATCTCGGTGGCGGCCGAGTGTTCGTGCATCATCGCTAGACGGAGATAACGAACTGCGATGATTAGGAGGGCAGTTGAGTTGTAGGAAAGGTCAAGGCGCAGAGTCCCACTTGTTCGAGTTTCCTTGGCACCTTTTCTCTTAGAGAAGAAGACATTGACTTGAGTTTTTCTCCGTTGGGGCGCCGCCAAGGTTGGTTGAGGCTGGTGGGTATGTGAAGAGGAAGGTCCTACCATCCTCAGTGCCTTCAATGATTCTGACCCGTCAACGTCCGTAAATACACCGTGCCCTGAAGAAAAAGATTGAGACTTTTGGAGTATTAGCATCACTGAAGAGACAGATATATAGATAGATTGATAGATAGATAGATAGATAGACAGACATAGAGACAGATGGGCAGATAGCTAGAGAGAGAGACCCACCTCTGAAATGATCTGTAGAGAAAATAATACGCCGGAGAATGTAATGTAATGCAATGCAGAGATGATGAGGAGGGCCACTTACTACTGTCCCAACACGGTAGACAGACATGCCAAGCAGCTTTGCCGGGGGCCATGCCCCGAAAGAGAGGGGCAACGCGGGCCCATGCCAGCCGTGGGTTGGTCGGGGGAGCGGCATCCATGGGGGGAGAAGGGAGCGGTGTGGTAGGCAGCCGGCCCTTCCTTTCTCATCTGACAAGAACAGCTTTCACCGTGACGATGAGCCAAGAAGAGGATGCGATACTGACGCGATGTGTCCCTGTATCCTTCCTGATGCTGACGACTTCTTCACCTCTCCCCCTCTTTCTCTCTCTGTCTCTCTCTGTCTCTGTCTCTGTCTCTCTCTCTCTCTCTCTCTCTCTCTCTCCTCTCTCTCTCTCTCTCACTCTCTGTGTCACTGTCTCTGTGTCCTCCCTCTCCCTCCCTTCTCTCTCTCTGTCTCTCTGTCTCTCTCACCTTCTCACTGTCTCATTGTCTGTGTCTCCCTCTCTCTCTCTCTCTCTCTCTCTCTCTCTCTCTCCCCTCCTACAGAGTTCCACCCAACAGAGCTTGCCGCCAGGGGGCGTGACGTCTCGAGTTATCTGGGCAGTGTGGACGCCGTCTTCATCGAAAGAGAGCAAAATGTTCTGAGACTTGCGTGTACAGTCGACGTGATGCCCAATGCGGAGGTAAGGGGAAAGAAAACGCGTGAATAAGCAAGTCAGGCGGATGAAAATTCATACAATTATAAAAATGGTCGTCGATTTACTCTCGTTTCCACTTAAATGATATTCAGCATATTAACTAATTCAAAATGGTTATTTTTTGTAAAATAAAATTATCTATGCCTACATGTGTTGAAAATTTTAAAATTAGTCAATTCTGCACCACTTTTTTGTGGAGAATTAGAAGAAAAAGCTCCTACGTCGCAGTACCAACTTGCCATAAACTTATTAATTTCTGAATCACTGAAAGTCCTCGGTGTACTTTCACTATCACTACATTTGTCATCAGATGCGACCATCGTGCGAATGTTTTGGTGTCATTTGTCAACTATACTGATATTATTTACTTTCATATCCTTGAGATAGTTGCCTTATGCAACATTATTCTGAGGACGCACTTTTATAATTTAATGATTATTTACTCCCAAAGTAACCATGATGGACAAATTGTTGCCGTTATTACATCATAGAGTGAAGTAGCAATGTAAAAGTTCCATCAAATCCCTGGGCATCAATGCAAACAATCTTGGATTCCAACGTTTTAATAAACACTATGCTGGAAATTAGCATGGACTTGAACTTACCATTGCCTTCTGATGGTGAAATTAGCATGGTATTTAACAACTTCCACAAGTAGTTTATTCGTGGTGTATTAAAGACTTAGATCCATTAATAAGTCAAGGTTTCTGTGCAAAATCTCGTGTATATTGTCCCAATTAAATCCAATTTAGCGTTTCAAAGGTGTGCTCTAGATTTCAACCCAATGAAGAGGAGGGGAAGTAGATGGAGCTTGGGTACCACATAAGGAATTTTAGGGTGATCGTGACTTTACATGTTTACAAATAAACATTTCTAATTACAGATATTATTTTATTTTCCTTATTTCTGATAAATCCGCCGTCAAAAGCTGAAAGCCATCATTTTGAATCCCACCCACTTGAGAGATTAGTGCAACTTTAATGTCAACGTGACGAAGCAATTGACAGCTCCACTGAATAATAACTGGACACTTTAGCAGACATAATTTTTGACGTGCACCCATTTGAGCATCACTCAGAAATTCTCTCTTCAAATCTGATTTTAAAGATGACCGCAGATCCCGCACTTTCCCTGAAAGATTTGTGATCACCTCACCGGAGGAGCGTGCGGGGCTTCCAAGGGAGAGGAAGGGGAGCCCTGCGCGGAGAAGAAGATTACAGCTCACTCTGGGATCTGCCCTTCTCCACCACGTGAAGATGGTGTCCCCCACCATGGAAGAAGAAGAAGAAGAAGAAGAAGAAGAAGCGAACCCGGAATGAGGAGCACACAGAGAGTCCAGTAGGAGGCCACTGCCCATCACCGAGTGGGCAGCACGCTGAGATGGTGCAGAATCTCCATCTTGCCGGAGAGCCCCATGGCCACTAACTCTCCCACCCTAGTGCGCGTCCATGTAGAGACAACACCACCACCCATCCCCCCTTCCCCCCCATCAAACCCTAACCCTGCTGCTCCCCTCCCTACTCCAGTTCTTCCTCCCTGCCAGTCGGCAGGGCCCGCCGGAGCTGTAGCGGCGCAGGCCCTTACGTGCACATTGTGGCAAACTCCTGCCCCCCAGGGGGCGTGGGCCATGAAGGGTCGGAAGATCGCCACTGAGCCCCCACCACCGCGGAGGATGGGGAGGGCTTCCAGCTCGATCTGTACGCACCAGCAGTATCGCACTCGCGGGAATAAACAAGCTTCTCCTGCCTTCCTGGGGAGGCCGTGGCTGTGGGATTCCTACGTGGCCCACGAGAGAGAGGGAGGTCCAGCTCCACTCCGGCGAGGCCTCCCCCTTTCGTCACGTGCCCTCGCACGCTCTACTCCTACGTACGCACGTGCAAACTTAGCCCTCTCCGCACTCACTGAAGGGTTGGGCCAACGACCAATTCGGGCCGGCTCATTATCTCAATAGGCCTCGTTGGTGTAGGGTATGAGTGCCACCTAAGCACTAAGCCCAGTTGACCATAAAATATATGGAATGCATTTTTATTTGAAAATTTTGTAGCTTAATGGGCCAGGAATCACAGAATTCTGCACGTGCACTGCTCGGCCTGGTTTCTATTGGATGATTGGGCCGGGCTGTTGGGGTTTTTTGGGCCAACTCGGGTAGATTGGACTCAATAAGTTCGGAAAAAAAATGAAGGGTTCATCGTGGGCCGAGGGGCCCGCGAGTGACGTTTGTGGAGGGCAAGGAGGGGCACATCCAGAGTGGGCCGAGCGGATGCTGCAGGCCGACGGGAGGTTAGCTCACCCCGCCTCAGCTGGACTGGCGCTGTCGAAATAGCCTCCCCCCTCTTTCTCTCTCTTCTCTCTCTCTCTCTCTCTCTCTCTGAGCAATCGAAAAGAGAACGAAAGGGGGGGACGCAGCCGGCTTCTCGTCGTCAGCTTCAGAGCGGCAGCCGGTCGGGAGGAGCGTCGTCTTCTAGCTCGTGGTCTCTCTCCTTCTTGCTTTCTCGCGGGGGGAACGCCACCGGATGCGAGGGAAACGATTTCCGGAGGACGCAAGGCACGAAGCAGGTAAGCGCGAGCTCACTCCCTTCTCGCTCAGGAAACCCTAACAATCCAAGTATGCACTGGATTCCAATGCTTATCACATTGTGAGGAGTTGTGATTCTCCCGCTCTTGTGAAGAGTTTTTCGTCCATTGTCCTCAGATGTTTACTGCGATTTACCTGGAGGCGGAGTTACATCGCCGTGTACTTTTTTCCAACAGGAATCTGTTGTTTCTTTCCGAGGGAAGCGACATAGGCGCGTGTTTTTTTATGAGCCGCTGTTCGCCGTTGGGCCTACCAATCAATATGCGTTAATACACAACATGTGCGCATTCGTTCCTCCGGCATTGTTTTTCCGCTTTTTTATTTCAGAAGAAGATAAGATTCTGTATCTGTTCTACTCTCTCTTATCCGAAGGTTGTCCTTGAGAGTATAGTTAAATTCTGGATTTTTTATGTTTGAAATTTGGTCGTGTAATCTTCCCACACTTCCTGATTTATGAATCTGTATTTCGCAAGTAATGCTGTGCCGTATAATGCACATATTTTTACCAATGCATTTCAAACCCTTTTATCCTATCCTAAGGGATGCATCTTGATTCTAATGTAATTCGAGTCAATTCAATTCCCTCGAGCATGATTTCCCCGTTCTTGTATGACCTCTATTTAGATCTAAGCTCTATTTTTCAACTGTCTATGCTAGATGTCAGTCATTGCTCATATTCATTTAAATAGTTACGGTCTTTTGGTATACGCATAGGATTTTTTAATCACTACTTCGTGTCAGATGCAGAGAAATCATTCCATTGCCGGATGTCCGTGCTGTTCTGCCAAATGTGTTGAGTAGAGGCGACCGATAACACATTGGAATGGCAGATTGTACTGCCCTGCCACCATGCATTCACCCCTGGGTGCGGAGAGGTCAGGTCAGGGCAAATGTTTCTGTAGCTGGAAACTTTTGTTCGGGGATGATGACAAGGTGAATGCTTCCGCACGCTCTGTCCGGATATTACTTTGACTTGGATTCCTTGTCACGTCTAACTGTGTATTTGAGGATCCAATTTTTTCAATCTTCACAGTATCAGTTATGATCACGTCTTGGTTTACCTAATTTTCTAGCGTTTGAGTTATCTGTGTATTTATGCTCGGAAATGATTAAAGAGTCGAGGTCATCTAATATATAAATGATTTAACTTAATTTAAATTTCAAAACTGAATGGATGGAATGATTTAGATCATATCAAGGACTTTATATGTTCGAGTTGAAATTTCCACGAATTCATTTGTTTTCCATCGCCTATGTAAGGCCAATCACCCATGAGATTTATTAATGTGAACTTAAGAGGAAGGACTTCGCATTCAGCAGCCAAGTTTGATGGTCCATCTGATTTATGATATAGTATGTGCATTTTCGTGGTTTTATTGTTGATTACGATTTTATTTGGTTTTGTAGAAAGTCTATGCTTGGGGAGAATAAGAACATTGGCCCGTTGCCTCTACGAAATTTTTTTCTACCTTTGCGAACGTCTTTAAAAGGAGGCTGGCATGATGAGGGGAGTAACTTGAGATGTCATTGCTTCGGGGCATTGGCCAATCCTGAGAGTTTAACTCCTTCAAAATGGGTTCCTGTTATTGATCAAGTTCTTTTGACAGTCAGCATTGTTCTGGCATACATGGGTGGAGTAGTCCCTCATAAGAAGACACTGTTCAACTCTAGGAAAGACACAGTAGAGCAGGAGATTGGTGCTGAAGATTCTACATCTTCTGGTAGGTAAGGGTAAGGTCCATTGTAAGGTGTCCTCATTTTTAAACTCCATCTCGGACATCTAAGTATTTTATTTTATCATTTCATCAGTGACCTGTAGATCTTTAATTTTCTCTTTGGTAACACGAATACGCTTTTGTGCTTTTTACATTGACAGGGGAGCAGAGAGAACTTTACCGTTAAGGGGTGGTGGTTCTTGGAGTACAGTGGGAAGCAAGCTTATTGATGGGCTGAAGGCAACCGAAAACGATGATTATTTGGATCGGAGTGTCAACGATCGTGATATAACAAATGGTTCTCTAAGCTTGTTTGCTGTTGCTGAAAGTCCCAGGTTACGGTTGCTTTGGATTACACTTCAAAGACTTCACAATGAGGCAGGCATTGTCTCAACTGCCTACTTTCTTTCCAGTATATTGTGTTGCATATTTTTGATGGTCTATTTTTAATGAAAATAAATGAAGAGATAAAATTGGAGAGAAAATAGTCGGATTAGAAATGGAATGTATGGATGTGAATCCTCTGCTTGTTGACAATGTTTATACGGTTGGCATTATTTCAAGACCGTGAAGGATTTTGTTCACGAAGACTAAAGTTAAATGCGGCAGAACTGTTGGAACTATGTGGAACTTTCTTGTTGATTATAATCCCAAGAATTTTGTAATAGCATTTGTGCCTGTCTGCGAGTGCAATTTCTTGAATCTATTTCATTACTTCTTTTGGTTGGTTTTAATCTTGTTATGCATTTTTTCGCATTTTTAGTCGATAAAATGCTCAAGGAATTATGCTTAGGGTTTCTAGTAGGTCTCATAGTTTTATACCAAGTCTTTAAATGTTCTTTTCAGGTGATAAATACCTCACAGTCTTATGAAGGCATCAGCAGGGATGGGTGGTCGGCTGTATCTTATCAAATTTTACAGCAGATTATCCAACCAATATGCATCGAGTGGTTTGAGGGAGAATTGTCTCTCAAAAATTGCAAAACGGACATGGTGATGCACCCCCTCCCTCCCCAAAAAAAAAAAAAGAAAAAAAAAGGAAAAAGAAAAAAAAAGTGATTTCCAGTCTACTGTTATATCTCTTCTAATAGCATTTTGTTTATCCACAGGGGCTCCTCACCGAAACATTCAAGAAGCTGTGGGAGGATAATTCAGTGCTAGACAGCTTTAAGGGACTAGGAAAGTCAGAGCTCTATGCAGATCTGCTATATTTCCTTCGATTTGGTTCTCTACGGTAATGTTTACTATGCTTTCACTCTTCGATTCGTACCAAAATGTTTGGTCATATCTTAGCAATTAGTTGCCATACTCACAGGCTCTTGTTTTGGAACCTGCTATGATTGCTCATAATTCAGTGTGAGAATAAAATTGTACGGTTCCATATAATCAACAGTCTAAAACCAAATCCAAGCATTTATCCGATCTTTGATTACATGATTTGGGCGCGCGTCCGAATGTGCTGGATGAATATATCTCGATTCGATACTCATATTTGTCTGACTTTCTGTTTGGACCCAGTGATGGGCATATCTTCGGGAACAATTTCCTGGTCGAACATGGAGTTGACATCCTGGAGGACCTGGTGGTCAGCTTGGCTGATGGCATCTCTAGCATGTATCTGGAGCTTATTTCTATCGACAGCAATGTGGCTGATGAGATGAACTCCTTGGATCTAAATCTCTGCCGTTTATCCACGAGAGAGCTTCAGCGGATACGAAATGAGGTGACTTGCTTCTCTCTCTCTCTCTCTCTCTCTCTCTCTAAGAGACGTTATGATCCTTTGTTTTTAAATAAATATTCATCATTAGTTCTTCGAAGGGGTTCCATTCAGTTGACCTAAGTCGCTGCGGGTTGTTCTTAGGTGGCGCTGAGACAGTGGGTGCTGCGGAACTTCCAGTCGGTCGCCTTGATGTACGAGGACCGTTTTGACCTGTGCGTCCTTCGGACAAAATATCACGAGAGGCCCGTGAAGAGGGACGTCCAGGAAAATCATTGGTGGCAGAAATTCGCCTACGGAAAGGCAGAGTCAACGCTCCTCTGCTACGTGTGGATCGACCGAGCACCCATGCGAGTAAAACGGACAAAGGAACTACGGGCGTTGACCGGGTGGTATGTTCTACTCTCTTTGGCAACCATTTTCCCAGAAGAAAAAAGAAAATCTAAACAATCGTGCTGGCAAATATCGTGTAGACGAGTTGACTTCACCCAATGTTGGCCATTTCTGACTTGTGATTGTCCGTGAGTCTAAAACGGTTTGACCTTAGACGAATGGGTCGAATCAGTTCCAAGTGGGATGGCCCGCTGACCTTATTGGTATATGCATCATGGCGGTTAAGCTTGACCCAATAAATCTTTTATCTATTTATTTAATTATTCGCAGGAGGTACTACTTCAGCTTGTTTCTCGAGCTGTCCGACGTGGCGATGCCCCTGTTCAGAGTCGTCTTCACCAAAGGCCGCGAAGTCGTCTCCTTCTTGCTGACTTGCTTGGTTGGGAGGTCTCTGGGCCTCATCTACGCGGGGATACGGCAGTCCCTGGGTTTCCGGTGAAGAGGATGTGGGGCCAATTTTTTTCCCTTTTCTGGAAATCATTTTGATGCATTAGTCCTCCACCCCCGCCATTAAATTCTGGGTACGACTCGGGACGGCTGATCCCCATTTTCTCTATATTTTTGGTGGGCCTCTAATGCCGGGCCTCCAGACGGGCCCAATATTGTGCTTGCCTCGGGGCAAGAGCTCAACTTTTTGGCAGGGAACCTGGAAAGGCGGTGAGCCGGGTCAGCCCTGAGCCCCATGCGGGCCCCACCTCCAGCCGTGAAGTTATGGCCCAGAGTGAAGCAAGCTTAATGCCTAAGGCTCCGCCGAGCGGTCGCTCTAAATAGCATGTCCCAAGGGGAATCAGTAACGGGAGAATTCGGGAATGGCGGTGGTGGCAGAGGAACAGGGAAGGGGCATCGGAGATCTGCCGGAGGAGTGCGTCTCCCTCATCCTATCGTTCACCTCGCCGCGCGACGCGTGCAGATCGGCCGCGGTCTCGTCGGCGTTCCTCGCGGCGGCGTCCTCCGGCGTTGTCTGGGGGCGCTTCCTGCCGCCGGACTACGAAGAGATCCTTTCGATGTTGCCGGCGCCGCTGGCGTTCCGGTCGAAGAAGGAGCTCTACTCTCGGCTCTGCGATTCCGTCCTCCTTATCAGCGGCGGCAGGAAGGTAAGCATGATGTTGGAGGGAATAGGAAACTTCAGCTCCGGCTGTTTCTAGAGAGCCTGTTGTGATCCCCTCATGTGCATGCGCGGGCAGATCTTCGCGTTGGAGAGGGCGACGGGCAGGAAATGCGTCACGCTGTCGGCGAGGGATCTCAACATCGTGTGGGGCGATTCCCCCCATTACTGGAGGTGGACGTCCGTCCCGGACTCGAGGTCTGGTTTTTTTCGCTCCCGCTCATCTTCTTCTCTGCTCCATTGAATCTTGTGACATACCTAAATCTTCATTTCCCCCTTTCGTCCTTCAAATTTCAGGTTCTCGGAGGCGGCGGAGCTCTTGAACGTGTGTTGGCTGGAGATCCGCGGGAAGATCGCCTGCAGGATGCTCTCCCCCAAGACGACCTACGTTGCTCATCTCGTCTTCAAGCTATCCGTGGAGTCCCACGGCCTCGACTACCCAAGCCAGGAAGGATCCATCAGAGCGGGATCCCGCGTGTCCTCAGAGGAGGTCTGTCTCCACCCCTGCACCCAGCAGCGCCGCTCGTCCCGCTCCAATTCCGTCGTCAGGTTCCGGCGCATGCTTTCAGTGCGGGCGACGCCTCCGCCGGCGGCGCCGTCGGCGGCGGAGAAGCGGCAGGTCCCCCGCGCCAGAGGCGACGGGTGGATGGAGGTGCTGATAGGGGAGTTCCTCAACGACGACGTCGACGAGGAGGAGGTCGAGGTCTCTTTCACGGAGATCCGGGGGGGCCACTGGAAGAGCGGGCTTGTTGTTAAGGGAATCGAAATAAGGCCCAAGTAAAATCAGTCCATCCACAGACAGCCCAAGTAAAAACGACCTCGAAGCCCATTGTATGGCCCACTTATCTCTGTGGGCCTATTAGTGCCAGATGACCCACGTCCCGTGGGCCAAACCACAACTTTTAGAGTAAGAACCGGAACTGAGCGAGTGGATGGATTCGATCCTAGAAAACCGTGGGGCACAAGGGATCGGGCGCCTAGTTGCATGAATATCAAGGAAAATATATTAAATATTAGATAAATATTTCAGAAAAGATTATTGCTAAGAAATAGGTACAGCTATTGGGCGAACGGGAGAACAAGGATGACCGCCGGTTGACTTTTCCACCGTGGATAAGGTCTACTGTTCTCGAAACTTCGTAGGAAGGTACCGTTCGGTTGGCATGGCCGCCTGGTCACAGAGTGGTTCATATTAACGCGTAGATTTAATAAAAAAAATACATTTCAATGGTTCATATTGTTCGGTTAGCTAGTCAATTCCTGATATTTTCTGAAAGCATTGGGGGTAGATCGGTGATTTAAGCAGATCGATGCTACAACTGCGCAGTCGAGTGGAACGCATCGGAGTGGATCGGTTAGTTGCGCTCGCTGAAGGGACGATGGTTGTCGTGATGGAATGGGAGAAGGAGAGGAAAGCCATCGTCTCCATTGGCCAGGTCACTGAGCCGGCTGGAGACACGGATGAGGTTGATCCATCCGCATCGTCCCAGACCTTTTCGCTCCGTCGGCTTTTCCCTAGGGAGGTAAGCATGATGTAGCAGAAATGGGGACTTTTTATCTCCGGGTGTGGTGTTGATAGGAACCTGTTGTGATCCGCTCATGCGCATTCGTGGGCAGATCATCGCGTTGAAGGGCAGGAAATTGACGCTGTCGGCGAGGCTTTCCAAATGTCAACCTGGCCCCTTCCTAAACGGTCATTATCATGATAATTGATGCAGGGGTTATTTGAAGAAATTAGGGTTTATGGTTGATCCAACTGTTGACGACGAGGGGCCACAACAAAACTTCTACCATCAAGTATGACTTCAAGAAAAGTCCTAGTAAGCTGGTATTGGATTTGGTGAAATGGTGGCCATCATGATTGAAGAAAAGATGACAGTCGTTAACTAAGGTTTAGGGTTTAGAGACTGTTGACAATGAAGAGCCACAACAAATCTTCTGCTAACAAGAATGACTTTGAAATCCTGATGAGTTGGGATGAGATTCAGTGAAACGGTGGCCATCACAATGGAAGAAAAGATAACAACCCTTGATTGGGGTTTAGGTTTTATAGTTCACTAGACTGTCGACAACAATGATCCACAACAAATCTTCTTCTACTAGTAAGTATGACTTCGAGAAGTCCTTCTGAGTTGGGTTCGGATTCAGTGGAACAGTGCCCATCACGATGTAAGAAAGGATAACAATCTTTGGCTGGGGTTTAGGGTTTAGGGTTTAGGGTTTATGGTTTATGGTTGACCAGACTGTCAACAACGAGGGGCCACCACAAAATCTTTTGCTATCAAGTATGACACCGAGAAGAGTTCCTGATGAGCTGGTATCAGATTCGATGAAATGGTGACATCAGCTGCAGCAGCAGGCCTCAAAGAAAGGGGATTCGTCCTCCAGGCAGAGAAATTGGGAGAGACCACTGTGGCCGCGGTTAGCCTCCAGAAGGGAAGACAAAGACCTCCTCGGCCCAGACAGCTTTGTAACGAGGAATGAGATCTGCTGTCGTGTGCGATCAAAAACTTTGTCAACCATGAAGTATTCGTAGATCTTGCAGGCACAAGCCTGCAGATTGACAGAACGAAGAGGACCTTCTCGTTTATTGGGGACTCTGCGAAGATGCAGGGAGAGCTGAGGCCAGAGGGGGAGGCCGTCCTCTTCTTCCCCAAGGGATTCTGCCTGAATATAGAGTCTAGTCTGATCCTTTGATATGGTCTTCGAGCATCACAATACTCAACTCAAGATCAATTAATGGCGGATATAACTTGTCCATACTGTCAGTTAATGTGGGGTCGTTCACATGAGGAACCAGACTTAATCGCAAAGGGAAATGGAGGAGAGTTGAAATAATCACCTCCATGACTTGAGTAACTAATGTATCCACAAGATTACGGCCAGCTATCCATTCCAATTCACCTGCCAATAACTTTAAAAAAATATGAGAACGTGTGTGTGTGTGTGTGTGTGTGTGTGTGTGAGAGAGAGAGAGAGAGAGAGAGAGAGAGAGAGAGAGAGAGAGATAATTCCTGCTTAAGATGGTCGCAAAGAAATCCGCGTATCCTGCCTTTGAAGAAAACAAGAGAGAGAGGAGGACAAAGTATTATATGACTTCCCCACAGATGCGTCTTAATCTTTTTCTGTCTCTTCGGCCTTCATCTTCTTCTCCCACCTTCGCTTCTGCAGGGTGCATGAAGGCGAATTCATGTCAGAAACCATTGCAACGGAGTGCTCACTCCAGAAATACAATCGTATTTCTCCAATAATGCCATTGACGTGGGGTTGGACCTTCCGGGTTTGGATGGCAAAGGGAGCAAAATATCGGAACGATGCCTAAAATAAGTAATTCATCATAGAACAAGGTATGTGCACATGAACTGCAGCAAGATTTCAGCGACTATAATGTTTTCACTAATTTCTCAAGACTTGAGTTCCTGCAAGTCATGGAAAAGATGTAGGGGGTGGGTTCCTGTCAAGTCAAACTCCCCTAGTCAGGTGCGGGCTTTGAGGCACTCCAAAGAAGTCAACAGAACAGACAGAAGCATCTGCACAAATATAGTCAGAACACAAAAAGGGAGGAGGAGGATTTCATAGAAATGTTCCCTTTCTCTTTGAACTGAAGGAGTTTTTAAGGGGGAGAGAGTTTGGGAATGAGAAAAGCTCGCACGTTGTTTTGAAGAGAAAGAATGGAGAAGCTACAACGCTCGAATACTTTTACAAGGCATGCACCTCTCCAGTTGAAATATAATAGTGAGGGATGAAGATTAACATGTTCAAAGCATAAAATGTCAGGTGTATTGTTGATTTCAGGTCAAAAAGGTCGAGAAATCGTAGATGTCCAGAAATTTGCTTTATTCATGGAGGAAACCATGGAGGCACCCATAGTTGGAGCTACTTATACAGGGAAAACTTCAAGGGGTGCTTCATAATTTACATGCTTTCTAAAGGGAACCAGATGGTGTATATTAAAGTCTACTCTTTCTACTTTGGGAACATTAGAAGAAACCAGGAGATGATTATTCCGAAATTTCTCAGGTTTTTCTACAATTCAGTTATTTTGAAGACAAACCATGACAGCGCCCAGATTTCTTTTATCTGGATTATCTGGATCATGTAGTAGTGTATTTTCATCTCAACGTGGATCATTCGACTGATTCATAGCCACCATGGACATCCCTCATTTTACTTGTGTACCGTAAAGCTGATTAAGAGTGAACAGTTTTAAAGGGCAATGATGTCACAGTGAGAACAAAGAGGAAGCTACTGCCCCCACTTTCCAGGGGAAGTGCATGAGAGAGAGAGAGAGAGAGAGAGAGAGAGAGAGAGAGAGAGAGAGAGAGAGGGAGTATAATGTTCTATATACTTTTCCCTGTCCCATACATATTCCTCTCTGCTACTCTTCACGATTCATTCTTGTGCCATCCAGATTCGATCTCACACCGACAGGAGGATTTACTGTTTCACTTCTGATCATGAATAATGGCAGCGAGGCCACATTGTTTTTGAACACAATGGCTGATGCTTAATAACGAGGATTTGAGAAATATGGATGTTCAACCAAAGAAAATCCAGATTTTCGATCTGAAATCGGCTGATTGAGGTTGAAATTTATGTTCATTGATCGGACAACAGTCCACTCTTCAGATGATATCAAAATTAACACAAGACGGTGCAAATTGGCTACGTTTCTTCTTGTTTCTAAGAAACCAAGAAGGCCAAAGAGGTTAATTAGAGCTCTGAAAACCTTGTCCACACTTACCTCATTCACCAGCTCCATACCCCTCCACTCTTCGCAGCTAACAGCAGTCAACAGCAAAACTTCTCCATTATTGACGCAATCATAACTTTTCCAATGGCATCCCCAGATATTATAGTGATGACCTCCGGTTGATTCCCTTCACCCTCTCACGAATTCTTTCAACCGTAATAGTTGGCCAAACCTCTACCATCCAACAATTTTCTGTAGATTTTCTTGATTCTAGCACATTTCAAGCTGCAAATCGTCGTCCCTCAGCCAGTGTGGCTGAGGTAAGGGCCTTCCTTCCCCTCCCTTTCCCCATTTCTACCTCTCCCCCACAGCTTGTCCTCATTAGCAACCCAACCAACTTCCCGCTGTTGTCCAAATGGCTAGCATATTAATAAAAGCAGGAATTTCTGGTTTTGATTTTTCTTCTCCCATTTTGGTCTGGGTTTGATTTATTGGATGCGTGAAATCCATACCCGTTTCACTTTCATTTGAGCGTCTAAAACTCTGGTTTTAAAAGAAATAAGCATGTGCCATTACAATGCTGCTTAAGTCATCTCCAACGAGGCTGAGAACAGTCGGAAAATCTCTAGATTATCTGACTCGAATCAAACCTGTCCCAACCCATCCAAGATCCATTCATTCTTTCAAATTGCTCAGCTTTTGAAAGCTATGACACACTCTATCATCTTGGCTTACTCTAAGCACCTAAAAATGGAAAATAATGGACCTAAGGGCTTAGAGCAGCAGTTTTAGCAATCTCCCTTTGATCTTCACATGCTAAAGGAACCAAACAAAATCTACCAGTATTCTTAAATCTTTCATCCATCAAGTGAAGTCCACATCATCTATCTTAAAATGGCGTCCATTTTTGCCATCCCAAGTAAATGACAGGAATATCAGTTTAATACGATAACCAGAAAGGAAGAAATGAGATATGTATTGACCTTATAATCCAAGAGCATTTGTGGCATTTTCTTCATCAATTCAGCAGTATTTGCACGTCTGCGAAGATGGGGAGAAAGAGAAACGCAATCACAATCGAGAAATTCACACCAAAGGATCGAATGATGAACATCGAAAAAAATATGAAAGAAAACACACTTTTCAGCAGAAATGCGGTCACATTTGTGCCCCTTCCTCTTGTCCCTCATCTCTTTCCTCGGTGGATCATATGGCCAGTCCCTGATTCATACCCACGATCTTCCAAAAGTCAGCAGAAACGAAAAGTGACGCAAAAATTTGAGTGAAGAAGCGTCGGCGTGAACGCACTCTCCGGCGAGGAGCACCTCCTTGCGCAGACGAGCACGCTGTCGGGCACTCAGAGAGAGGGGCTTCCAGGCGCCGAGCTCCCAGTAGCCCCACACCCCCTTCGAAAGCTCGTCCTTGTACTTGGAGAGCTTCTCCCTCCATGGATACTGGTACTCACCGGCCGCCTTCGCCACCGCCTTCGCCGCTCCCGCCGCCGCCTTCCCCGCCATTCCTCCGGCCGATCTCCGTCCGGCGATTCCTGAAACCCCTCCTCACCCAAGCTAGAGGGGTGGGAGGGAGAGAGAGAGAGAGAGAGAGAGAGAGAGATGTACAGTGTAGAAGCCCATCCAATCCAGACCGTCTGTCCTGCGTGTGCTCAACTTTTCAGCTGTTTGATGGGTGCTCTCTTTTCTAATATTTCCATAAAAGCCCTAGCTTGTTATCATCCGAAGTTCTATAACTTCAATTTATTATAATCACACGTTATTTTGTATACCTTAGGGCATATTCTAAAGGGAGATGTGAAATTTAATGAAAATATCCCTATAATTTTAAATTTTAGTATACTGCCCTGAGTCTAGAGAGAGAGAGAGAGAGAGAGTAGAACGCGTGATCCTGCTGACCTTCATAATAAACTGTTTGGCCAAGATCTCTTGCATTTCATGTCACCGTCATCAGCTTCGTCCCTAATCAATTTCAATTAAAAATAAAAGACCTTATCTGCAATAAAATACTATTTATATTATTATTTATTATTAAAATATATTCTCACCGAATGAATAATTACCTTCTAAGCCCCGCCAAATGCCATTTTATATTTTGGAAATGTTTTTATACTCACGTCACCATCGTACTCTCTCCTTGTCAAAGTCGATCTCCCCTTGAAACCCATATTCTACTGGCCCCCACATGTCGGTAATCGTCCCTGTAGGGGATGCAAGAGGCTAGCCACGTGGCTGATTGATAGATGGCCACATGGCAAAAGTTAATATTTTCCAAGTTTTGACCAGTTGCAACCAAAAACTTGACTGTGTCCGCAATAAAAGTTGGTAAAGATTTTGTTGACGGTGAAGACACGTGTGTGTTGACAAATTTAAGAGGTCACGATAGCCGGCCAAAACATGCCACATCATCGCCTCGTTGAAGAGACCAGCAACGCTCGATCTCGCTTTTGACTGCCGAGTCACGTGGCGAGCCGAGAAAGGAAGGGCAGTCAACGCTGGTGGCCGCTAGACCTCCATCTGTGTGGGTAGGTCGTCAACGGGGGCGGCCCTTCTTATCGGATCCAGGTCAGGCTTACCCGGACCGAGATGCCTCCGAACCGTCGTCCCTCGTGTTAACTCGTTCGTACGTCTATGACGTCATCATCAGCCGCGCGTTGGGTCCGCTTCTTTGATACGAGGGGCGTCGTTTGAAGTACTCTGTATGCAAGTCTCTGATTCGACGCACATGATGGGTGCAGGTCGCTATGCACAAAACTGCCAAAAGGTAATGGGTAATTCTGCCGCCTCTCCCTCTCTCTCTCTCTCTCTCTCTCTGTCTGTGAAACGTACACATAAATGGCGGTTTGACTGCTCCTACGGCCACAGGGTAGAGAGAGAGAGGAGTGACGAGAGATCTAGAGGTCGACAACGGGACTCGTCCCGGTGTGACAGGGTTTCATGTCGGAGCAGGTTGCTCGCCGACAGTATCCGTGCTCTCGGGGATGTTCAATTGGTTGTCTGGGGCCTTCCTAGGCTGTCGTGGGAGGCGTTGCCAGGCGAATCCTGTGATTTCATTGATTGCCTTTGCTAGAGGAGGGCTGCGCTGGTCGGTCGTTTCGGCACTCGTAGGAACTGCGATGACTTGCTGGATTGAAGAGTCCATTTGATGATTATTCGGTGGAGGATTCTTCACGGTGTCTGATAGAAGATACGTTTGAAAATTCTCGCTTGCGCGGCCGAGATCGGAGTCCAACCGATTGTATTATTTAAGTAGTCAGGGAGCTTGTTTCTCTTCTGACCGAGGAGGCATTGACGAAGAGAGATGGTGAGCGGGCAGCTCTTCCACTTCAGGAAGCACTCATGGCCACCGGATGAGTACGTAACCCGGGCGACGTTGCAATTGGTGAGCTCCTTTTCTCTTGTTAGTGCCCTCTGGGACTTGTTCGTTGTGTTTGTGAAACTAGATGAGCATGATTATTCTGTTTTACCGTCAATCTACCTGCTTTCTTTTCTTTGGGTGATGAGAATGTAGAACGAATATTGGACACATAAGGTCCATCGCCTCTGTAGACTGTAATTTTTCTTCCCCGGGAGTTTATTACCGTCCTGATCCCCTCCTGGAGTCTAGTGCCGTACATTCGAGAAACTCCAGCAGGCGTGAATCTTTGTAGGTGTTCTCCGTCAAACTAGTTTCCTTTTTTTATCCTTTTAGGTGTTCTCGTTCTGCTAATTCTCAAGTTTAGTTTCAATGTGAAACTTACATTCATTTTCTGCACACGGTTTACTCCCATTTATATCAAATGAAAAATAATTGTTCAATGAATTATCCTGTCGGATAAAATCTTCCCATCACGACTCTCCTCATGAATTGTTGGATACCTGAATGAACATGTGGTTGCCTTCTCGACTCTATTCACATACACCTTCAGTAATCTATCTGATGCCATTTAATTTTACTCTATCACAGTTGGACTTTGATGGTGGTGCTCCACCAGAACAGGCATGGAGAAGGCGCTTGAACAGCCATGCTAATTTATTGAAAGAATTCAGTGTAACATTTATGGAGGCTATTAGAATGGTACGTCAATCATTAGACATCTAGCGCAGTGGATGTTTGATGGAGAAAAATTACATTCACACGTGTCTCTTGATATTTATTGATTGACTGACATTTGTTGGTCTTGTTTCTAAGATTCGGCTTGGAGTCCGTTTGTGGTCATATGTTCGGGAAGAAGCTTCTCATGGACGGGTATTTTTTCAATATTAATCTCTGTAATTTTATTTTTCTTTTGAAATGTTTTTGTCTGACCTTTCATTTAGCGCTCAATTGTTCCCTTTACGAGGTCATAGAGTGGTTTTTTATTTTTTATTTTGTATATTTTTGCAGAAAGCACCCATTGATCCCTTCACTCGGGAAAAATGTAGGCCCTCTGCTTCTCACGGTGTTCCACTGGGAGGGATGGGGTATGTTGTCCCGTTGCTATTCCATGTCAAAGGGGTTCGTTAATTTTTTTTGTTTTTAATGAGATTCAAATGGTCTATTCTCAGAAGTGGCAGCATATCCAGAGGTTTCAGAGGTGAATTTAAGCACTGGCAAATTATCCCAAACTCATGCGAAGCATCACCTCTCATGACAAATCAGTTCTCTGTAACTATCTGCTCTTTTAGTCGTCTTTTATTTATTTTTTTCTATCCATGGATCTCGTATTTTACACAAACATGCAGTAAACAGGAAAAATCTGTATGGTATCTTTAGATGTGATTGGATATCTTCTGCCAACTTTAAAAACTGCAATCCTATTTTCAGAAGAGTTGGAAATGATTGTCTGGTCCGTTTTGTAGGTTATCACCAAAAGAGGAAAAATTAAATTTTTTATTTACCCCACGGTCAAGACAGTTGATTACTGCTAGATATTGTTCATTGATGTACTAGTATTAAGGAGAATCAGATGTGTATGTATATCACTTGACAGTGGCTGCCAAAAGGAGGTATCGGGATGCAGGATCTCATATGACAGAAAGAAATGTTCAGTGGCTATATCATCGAATTTAGTGATTGCATGAATAAGTGCTAAATATCCTTTCTGAGAATAGAACTAATATAACTAAAGAAGATGCCACAAATATTCAAACTGAACATGAAATTTCAAATATTTGTGTATTTTTGTATTCGTTAATTCATTAATATCCCAGTCTCAGTCTTGTGACTTGACCTTGTTACCCATGTGCTAATGCAGATATTTATAAACAGGGACGGAGGACAAAAGAAATTCTCTTCAGTTTTATCCCCTGGGCACCATGAAGGATTGGGGTGTGCTATTCTTCTAATGATGTCATCTTTACTTTTGATTACTCTGTCTTCTTTTTCTCGTTTTACTAGGAATCACTATATATTCTTTTTCTCTTATAATGTTTAAATACGAGTTTTTTATGGGATATTAGTCAAACACTTTTTTGGAGATGAGAAGCTTTAAAAACTCTATGGTCCAGTTTTGCTATCTGAAATAGATTAGAACTGTCTAGGGTTGTCCAGCTCTGAAGGTTTGGAATCCGAACCCGTATGACATGCAGAACCGGATAGATGTGAGACAACCAATAGGAATTCGTCTGCTTACACTAATGAAATCGGCCGTATATATCCTATTCCTTGACATGCCAGCTAATAGTTTTCGAAAACATTAGTGTTTTTTAAAACCCATTGAAAGGGACCTGTCCGAATTTAATAGGGTAATATAAAGGATAAAAATAGTAATAAAACCTCGTTCGAGAATCTCCTCCCTTCTTCCACTCCGTCCCGAAGAGTAACTAACACCAATGCAGTCACGTTTTCATGTTCCAATTGAACATTTTCCATTTTTGATTATGATCAAAGGAGAAGATTATTTACCAAACATATGCGGATCAAATCAGGATCTTATTTAAGGAGAAATGACTATATTTTTGTGCTTTTCGGATTGCCAAGTCCCCTTTATTTGACGATTGAAGATATGTGGCTATGAACTCCGTGAGGGAATACAGAGGTTTGATTTTGGAGAAGAGAGACTATTATGACTTCTGCTTCGGTGATTGAACGGGTGGGACAGACGTGGCACTTAATATATGTATTTATTTATTGTATTTATTCTTGTATTAAAGGCTAGGAGTGTTGATGAAAGTTATCATGACCTTGGCATTGCCCGTGAAAAATGTATATACCTTTATTTGTGTTAAAGTATTGGGTCATCCAACTGAAAATTGATTTTCAGTGAGTGGATAAAGGTAATTTATCGAACCATAGAATTTCTCTACAGATGTGAAACCGTTATACATTTTGATTGGAGATTCCACAAGTACACCTCCGTTTTCCTCTTTTTTGTTTCTACGCTGTCTCTGTGGCGTAAATTCTGCTCTTTTTTTTTTCACTTTTTTGGCTTCAGAAAATCTCAAGAAGATGACATTTCATCATGGGGCTGGAACCTGAGTGGCCAGCATTCTACATATCATGCTTTGTTTCCAAGGGCCTGGACGGTTTACGATGGTATTGGTGATATTTCTCTTTTGTGTTTTATTTGCGTTTGGGGAGCCTTTCAGGGTTACTTTCACATTTATGCAGCAACCTGATGTTCAAAGGACCTCCGCTCTCCTTTTTAATTTCAGGTGAACCAGACCCTGAACTCAAAATTTCATGTCGCCAGATATCACCATTCATTCCACACAACTATCGAGAGAGTAGTCTTCCCACGTCGGTGTTTGTCTATACGGTATGCATTTCCATCTTGGTCATGTTTTTTGCTCTTGTTGATTTCTCTTCTAATTTCAATGTGTATTTTTTTTGCTTTTGTTTATTTAAAATTAGATTGTTTTTAATAAGAGTATCATATAGTAGAATTGCATTATGGGCATGCAAAGTTGCTCAAATTATTTCTGTTGGAGAGCGTTGGTGAGACAAGAGATGAAACCACGACTACAGAGAGGACGAATATCCAACCTGCAAGGCTCATGAACCACGTAAGATATTCGATTAGAAGCTAACCAAGTGCATGTTACCTGCTAATAAAAGTGCGCCTTTTGGCAGCATTAAAAAGGATTTATTCTTATTTTTTAATAAAAGTAAAGTACCAAGATTCAGAGCTATTGGCGTTACTGAAGTCTCATTCCCTTGATTTTTTCTAATGAAAGATTTTATATTTCCTGAACCTTGATGACAACGGATGTCAGTTTGGTAATGTTAATTGAGTGCAGCAATGATCTCGAATTGAAAATATCTAACCTCGGAGAAACTACCTCTTTACATGATTTACCATTAACGCATTCGAGTGCTATTAACTCAAATACATAATAACCGTTAATAAACTCAAGTGCTATTCGCATACATCTTTTTCGTAATTGTAACTTATGACATCGGGAGTATAGAACATTAGAGGATAAAACGCTTCAAGCAACCTTCGGAGATGAAGGTGTAAACATTATATTATAATTTCATTCTTTTCTTGTGGCGTAGCATATATTTTCTGCGGGGTAGGGGAGGGAAGAAAGAGAGTTTTTTTTTTTTTCTGAGAAGGGCCCAATGGAAAAAAGGCGCTGGTCTCTATAGATTTTATTTATTTTGACAGGCTATCTTATGTTGAAAGAATGAAGGGTAACGTGTAGAGGGACAATAAATTTCTGTGTTTTCAAGTAGAAATAGCAATCCAGACACAAAAACGAGAACTAAATTCTCGAAAAATAGCCAGACTCCGGGAACAAAATTGAATTTAAATCATTTCATATTTTTTTATTTTTGTTGATCTAGAGTTTTCTTATCTATTATGCGCGATCTTACCTATTCTCCATTGAAACTTTATAATTATACCTTTCCTTTTTATCAACTGTAGTTAGTGAATACTGGAAAAGAAAGGGCAAAAGTCAGCTTGCTTTTGACTTGGGCTGTAAGTCCTCTCATTCTCCCCACCATAATTTTAGCCAAATTCTGGCGGTAGATCGATCAGTATTTTTTTATATTATTGATCAGAGCTTTGTTTTACAGAATTCCATTGGAGGAGTCTCGCACTTATCAGGCAACCACTCCAATGAACCATTCAGGTGAGTAAGCACAAGGCCAACATTTTCTTCAAATGTAAATATTTATTTTTAACTCCAATGTTACCGATTGATGATTGCATGAGTTTTATTCTTTGATCTTTTGGCAGGGGAGAAGATGGAGTTGCCGGCGTCCTTCTACATCACAAGCAAGTCTTTGCTAGTCCTTGATCTATATTTACGATTTCATTTGGGCCATTCAATGTGATCATGGAAACATCAGCACAGTGACACTCAAGTCAGTGTCTTCCAAATACACGTAGTCAGCTGCTTATTCGTTTATTTGTAAATATTTTTCATCACACAGAATGATTTTCTTTATGCCATTGCGTCATTCATGATCTTCGCTATTTTTCTATCTTTCCCAGTTTTTGGAAAAGGTTATCTGATACTTTTTATTCCTGCTGCTGTGAAATTGCGTGGAAAAATTATTCCTAATTGGTGTGAAAATGATGCAGGACTGCAAAAGATAATCCGCCCGTCACGTTTGCTATTGCCGCATGCGAAACTCAAAATGTCAGTGTGACAGTTTTGCCATCTTTCGGACTATCTAAGGAAAATTGTATCACAGCCAGGGACATGTGGGCCACGATGGTGGAGGTGATATTTCTAGATGTCAACGATTTGTTTTCTATCATTATTCAGCCCTTTTGCTGCTTATTTTTCTCTGTTTCTCTGAAATTTGGATCACGAGAATATGCTCATGATTCCTCCGTCTTGGTTTGTCTGCATTATATGCCACTTTGTTCATGATATTTTCCAGCAGCAGTATGTGGTACCGGATATGTATCGGTCCTTTTTCAGACGACTGTGAGCACTTTCAGACAGATATTAATGGGAGATATAATTTGACCTTTAACTGGAAGTCAAATTAACAGATGGATTTTCCAACTACATTTGTGTCTAGTAGATGAGAATTGTTTTCATCATCATCTTAATTAGTAGAAATGGAATTTTTTATTTTTTCTCCAGAAATATTTTCTCTCAGGTGCAAAAAAGGAAGTAGCATTGTCTAACATTAAATGTATAAACCAATCACTCTTTTTAATTTTCTGGGACCTGTTATTCATTCCTGAACAAGTTCTTGTTTTCGTGATGCTCGCTCCATTGTGATGGGAATGATCGTTTTGCGCGTCCACGCATCCAGAATGGGCATTTCGATCAAGACAATTTTTCTGCCGGCCATAGCATGCCATCCTCGCCCGGAGACACACTCTGTGCCGCAGTCTCAGCTTCTACCTGGGTCGAACCTCATGGAAAATGTACAGTTGCATTTGCTCTGGCATGGGCGTCCCCTAAAGTGAAGTTCAAGAAGGGATGCACTTATAACAGGTGATTTTTTTTCTTCCATCTGCATTTTATCCGTCGTTATTTTTCTGAAACATATATATATATATATATATATATATATATATATATGTATATGCACTGTGCCTCGATCCTCGGGTAATGTTTTCCTGGATGCTGCTAGACTAGTTTAGTAAGAGGAATTTGTTGCCCCCGCACAGCTGGCACTCGTGTACCTATCCTGCTTAGCTTCTGCTTCTTCAGGCCCACATCTTTTATAGGGAAAAACTAGAATGGAGCTGCCAGACCTCACCACAGATGCCGATGTCACCTTGTTAGGAGCGACCTGAGTGCTATTCCCAGTTAGCTTCTTTCTATTGAGGTCTTACTGTTTATAGAGCACGCAGAAGCAATTCTTACCCCATCTCTTACTCTGAATCCGACGCCTCTCCAATGGATCCAGGAGGTACACGAAATTTTATGGGACCTCTAAGAACTCGGCGGCCGCCCTCGCACATCATGCTTTGATGAGTACGTATCCTTCCACTCGCAATTGTTTCTTTCAGTAAGGATCAAAACGGCAGCGATGCTGTTCCTGAGATGATGGCTGCAGATTAATTTTAATTTGTTTCCTGACCAAGAACATTTGATGCCATCTAAAATTCTCAGGTTATAAATGGTGGGAAGAAGAGATCGAGAAATGGCAGAAGCCCATCCTCAGCGATGAAAGGCTCCCGGAATGGTAAAGTTTGGAACCTCCTCCCCGTATTGGCCCACGCTTTATAGATTTTAAGGCTAGAAGCATGAACAGATGCAACATCAGTGTAGAAACTGTGGTTTTCTCTCGGGGCTGGGCTCTTCCTGTGCTCCATGTCAATATAATTTTTTTTTCCAATAACAACAGGTACAAATTCACTTTGTTTAATGAGCTCTATTTTCTGGTCGCCGGAGGAACTCTTTGGACGGGTAACTACGACTTTGATCCCGGCGTCAAATTTGGCTGCTTTTTTCTCTCTCTGAAGGTAGAAAGAAGAGAGAGGCGAGTAGAAGGACTTCTGACAAGCAGCTTTGCTCCTTTCGTTCACTTGTCCGATGCAGACGGAGAGTCTCCATCCAGCGATGATAACCCACCGGAAGAGAAGCCGAGCTCCGGCAGCAAGCACAACCGCAAATCCGCGAAAACCTCGATATCCTCCAAGAGCAGTAAGAGGGGAGTACCCGCGGAGTTGACCCCCGCCGCCGCCGCCGGCGTTGACCCAGAAGCTGCAGAGGAAAGCGTCGACTCAGACCTGATGAACTCTTGGAGCTTCGCGAGGCCCACCGCCGAGGGCGACGACGTGGGGAGGTTCCTGTACCTGGAGGGCACGGAGTACGTGATGTGGTGCACCTACGACGTTCACTTCTACGCCTCCTTCGCCCTCCTGGACCTCTTCCCGAAGATCGAACTGAGCATCCAGCGGGACTTCGCCCGCGCCGTGCTCTGCGAGGACCGGCGGCGGGTGAAGTTCCTCGCCGACGGCAACTCCGGCATGCGCAAGGTCCGCGGTGCCGTCCCCCACGACCTGGGCATGCACGACCCATGGCACGAGATGAACGCCTACAACATCCACGACACCAGCCGCTGGAAGGACCTCAACCCCAAGTTCGTGTTGCAGGTCTACAGGGACTTCGCTGCCACTGGCGACGACACCTTCGGCAGGGAGGTGTGGCCGGCGGTCACCGCCGCCATGGATTACATGGATCAGTTCGACCGTGACGGCGACGGTCTCATCGAGAACGACGGCTTCCCGGACCAGACCTACGACGCCTGGACGGTCCACGGCGTCAGCGCGTACTGCGGCTGCCTCTGGCTCGCCGCCCTGCAGGCGGCCGTGGCGATGGCGCTCCGCCTCGGCGACCACCCCTTCGCCGACAAGTGCAGGAGCAAGCTCCTCATGGCGAAGCCCAGCTTCGAGGAAAAGGTTTGGAACGGCTCCTACTTCAACTACGACAGCGGGTCGTACGGCAACAGCAGGTCCATTCAGGCCGACCAGCTCGCCGGGCAGTGGTACACCGCCGCCGCCGGGCTGCCGCCGCTCTTCGACGAGGCCAAGATCAGGAGCACGCTGCAGAAGATCTTCGACTTCAACGTGATGAAGGTGGGCGGCGGCCGCATGGGCGCCGTCAACGGGATGACCCCAAGCGGCAAGGTGGATGAATCCTGCATGCAGTCGCGCGAGATATGGACCGGTGTCACCTACGGCGTCGCCGCCACCATGCTCCACGCCGGCATGCACCACCAGGCCTTCTCCACCGCCGAGGGCATCTTCACCGCCGGCTGGTCTGAAGAAGGCTTCGGGTGCGCCTCCTCCCTATATTTTCCCCGATTTATTCATTAATTTCCCCGGCCGGTTCCTTTTTCTAGGGGAGATGATTGAGGATATTGTTGCTCCGACCTTCATTCATGCTCTTTTTCTTCTTCTTTTTTACGCTGTGATGACGACGGCGATGATGATGATGATGATGACGATGATGACATCGTGCAGGTACTGGTTCCAGACGCCGGAGGCGTGGACGGTGGACGGTCACTACCGGTCTCTGATTTACATGCGGCCGCTGGCGATCTGGGGGATGCAATGGGCGTTGACTCCGAGCCGGGCCATCCTCGAGGCCCCGAAGACCAACATGATGGACAGGATTTACACCTCCCCCGCTGACCTCCGCGCCAAGAACGAGGCCAGCGTGAGGAAGATCGGCGGCAGCAGGAGCACCTGCTGCGGCCACTCCGTCTTCCACTGTGAATGTTAGACGACGCCCGCCGCCATGCACGAAGGTGAATCCATGATTTTCTTCCCGGGAGAGGTCAACGACAACAGTCCACGGATCTTGTAGAGGGATAGGAATCTAGGACGACCAACGGTCTCTCTTCGCTACCATCACTACACCATTATCCTTCTGTTCTTCGTCCTGTCACAGGGCAGTGTAGATTCACTTATAAATCCGATATTATGGAGATGGACACGTTATATGGCTGAACTTTGTATTGAATCACGGAGGTGAAAAGTCAACGAGATCTACTTCAAGGTTAAGAGATTTCGACCCCTCATAACGCGACCCATTGAAGTTCTCGGCTGGAAAGTCAACCCTTGCTAAACGTGATTCTTGGCCAAGGATTTTAAATTGGGATTAAATGGGAGCCGCGCGTACGCAGGCCCCCTCTGGCACAAATTATGACGTCCACTCTCCCACTTGGGGAGATGGTAGGCGGGCGCTCCCCCAGAGTGCAATGGGGGCCGCCAACCTAGGCTATGGGCCGTCTTGATCACCCATGAACCCCGTCCAGGTAAGTATGATCTAATTGACGGAGGTTATTCTTAGTTATAGACGTCGACTTTTATTTATGGGTCTAATTTCCAATGTGGGACTAAAAAATTAGCGTGGCCCATCATGCGGTCGTGGAGAGTTGCGCGTATAATGCAAAAGGGACGGTCGAGATCCGCCTGGTTAATCTCGAACCGAATATGCTCGGTCGAGATGATCCTAGTTTTTTTATTGATGGCTGTATATATTTTTAATTTATTTCTAGCTTATTTTATTGTTAGTTTTTATAAATTGTTTGGACTAAAAATAAGACGGTCCCCCCCCCCCCCCATTTTCCTTGGCCTTTTTAGCCCTCACGTAGAATTATTTCAACCCAGTCCTCGGTCCAAAAAGAGTTTTCTTCCCTGACCTCCAATGGATGAATATTCTTGAAATATCTTTTCTCAATATTATAATGAATAATTCGAAAATTAAAATAATAAATTATTCTCCCTTCTTGTGTCGATGAACTGGGCACTCAACAAGTAGCCTTTTTACTCAATAATTTTATTTTCTTTGTGGTTGAGCGGGTTTCGGTCCCTTAAAAACCACTTTGTGAAAATTAGGAATATATCCCGTATCTCTTCACTTGTTTCCATAGGTCCCTATAAATAGCAGCTCAAGCCGGGCAAAGCTTGAGGGGCATTGTGAAAAGGGGGAGGATTTATAAACTAATTTGGGATATAGCCAAAGAGAAATTGTGAAATTAATATTAGTTGAGGAAGACTTCCTGCTGATTTCTTTGGCAGCTTACTATACTTGTCACCGGATCCCGTAAAAACTCCGGAGTTAAGCGTGCTCAGGTGGGAGCAGTCCCCGGATGGGTGACCTCCCTGGGAAGTCCCCCGGTACGTGCGCCGCTGCATTATCGTGTCGGGATGGGTGACCTCCCGAAAAGTTCGGCCCAAGACAGTTATCCCAAAAAAAAAAGAAAAAAAGAAAAAGAAAAGAAAAAGATGGTAAGTAAAGATATAATTTACTTAAACCATGAATCCAATGGTTCATAGGGATCTAAACATAATTAATCATAAAAAATCCAGCAGTGCTAACTTCGGTATGGCAATAATGGTCAAATAAAAAATTAATGTAATGTAGAAATAATTTATAAATTATTTAGGGACCCGAAAAAAGGCCTATCTATGGACAAAGGGGTTTTTATTTATTTATTTTAAAAAAACGTTAAAATACAACTATCGTATTTATAGGAATGCAGATATTAAGCAAGCAGCTGGTATTTTTATTCTGTATTAGTTGATAAATTTGTAGTTATTTAGACTGGATTATCATGTTTGTAAAAAGTATTAGGGAAAATTAAGCGACCAGTGCGGTGAGCGTGGATCGAACACGCGACCTTCAGATCTTCAGTCTGACGCTCTCCCAACTGAGCTATCCCCGCTGTCGATAACCGTTGACGATATATAAAAAACATAACAGAACTGAACCAACAGTCACTACACAGCCTTGACGCCGCCCGTGGAACATCTAAATATCAAACTGACCCTAACTACGACCCCTGCATGCAGGGACACGGTCCACAGAAAATCTCACCCCAGGGTGATCATGGGATGACCCCGCCGACGCCACCCAGACCTCCAACTCCACCGGCGCCTCCGCCGAAGCCCCCGAGCCCTCCAAGCCCTCCAAGCCCCACAATACCTCCAACTCCTGCGGCGCCGCCGAAGCCGCCGAGGCCCGCGTACCCGCCGACGCCGCCGAACGTGAGGAAGTTCTTCTGGTCTCCGAGGCCAGTTCCGTCCGGAACGTCCCTCGCGCGAGCGCAAACCACACCCCAGAAAACGAGAACCACAACGACGACCCAGCACAGCCTCGCCATCTCTTTCCCTCACCTCCCCCACCGTCCGGCTTCAGCGAGCGCGATGGAACCTGGTGAGCCACCCTCACCGGCGTATTTATACCCGCGTACCCGTCGGCGGCGACTGACCGGAGTTAATGAGGTCGATGGGCCTCGTCCATCTCACGTCTCCTTCACCTCCAACACCCGCCATCCACGTTGATGCAGCTACACGCAGTGAATCAGTGGGGAAGGAAGCCCAGGGCTGGACACGCAGAGGAGAACCCCGAGCCATAAAGAAAACGAGCGCTTCGAGGAAGTGGTGCAGCTCTGCGCCCCGCATGCAAGGTAGGAGCTAATTGCTCTCACGGATTATCTCGAAAACAACCCCAGCATGTAAAGAAATACCGGTCACAGCCCCCCACTTTCATCGTAGGATGAGAAAATCCAAGAGAATACGAGCAAGATAGAGAAAAATGTGACCGAATTTTCGAAATGTTATATGGGCCTCTGGTGGGGTGCCCATCCCAAGAAGAACTGGGGAGGGCTGTGACGTTATTGGGCCTCTTATAGTGAAGTTGCTACCGTAGCGCGGGCTTAGTCCATGTTCCCCTTGATCCATCATCATGGGCCTAATAGGGCCCATTATGATGCATTTGGGTGTATGGGCCCGTATCAGAAGTGAGGATTCTTCCTTTCCGGCCCAATAACAAATCAGTTTTCGCTCTCGTGTTGCACGAGTTCTTCGAGTGTTGACGCGGTCGAAGAAGCTAGGGTTTGAGAAGATGGATGAGCTAAGGGTCTTGAAAGATCTCCCAAGGCGGAAATCAGGGACTGCTCTCGGTCACAGGGGGGTGGTAGTTCCCTGTCGTCATCAATGGGAGAATATGGATGTTCTTGGACTGCAGTTGTAGCCATAACTCCGTGTTTACAAACCGGCAGAGTCATGATGGTGGTCCCTGTACCTTCGGTGTGGTGGGCGCAAAGGAGAAGAGTAAGTCAACGCGGGGGTGGCCCTGCCGCCGGTGGGGATAAAGAGAAGTACGTCGCCTGAGCTACTTCTACGACCGGCGATCGGGGACTGCTTTAACGGGCAGGACCATCCGGTGAAGCTCTCCATTGCTTGCGTACGGTGGAGAAGCTGGTGGTCCACCATGCGGTCCACCGCCTGATGGAGATCAATCGCCCATAACCCACCGCTTCCGTCGCAGACATCCGCGGGGGATGCCTGCGCCGACTTCCTGTCGTTCGTCACGACAGCGGCCGTCTCCCATCGCTTCGGTCACCACCACCACCGCCGCCGCCGCAGGCGGACCAACTTGACGAGTGTTGCAGAATGCATGGCGTTTATGAGCCAGCGAACCCATGACCGTAATTAATACTTGGTGGGCACCACTGATTTACCGGTGATTGTCTCCGAGTTAGTCGGCTCGAACACGGGCAGTATTTTGAAAATAGGACTCCCTTTTTTTCTATGCCTAGAAATAACTCGGACGTCGAAGAACACTTAATACTCATTTTGTTAAGCTTCTGCTTCATGAGAGACTAGTTGACCTTCGGATTGAGTTTAGATCTAATCTCATATCTGGAAAAAAAGGAGAATATGCACTATCTTGTCGAATTATTTAATGGATGGGATTTTTTTCAATTAATATTATATTATTTATTTATATTTCAAGAGGACTAATTTTTAGATCCTCGAACCAAGGGAGAGTATATCGCTTGGAGGAACTATCTAGCAGCACATGCGGACATGAGAGGAATAATTATTAAAATATATGGGAGAGGGGAAGAGCTTCCTTCGAACCGAATAAGCCTTTTATCATAATCAGTTTCTGTCCACGAATGTCGGAAGTCCGCTACTCTTAATCCTGTGTATAACAAAAGAATAGTGACACGTTCTTCCAGAATAAAGTTATTTACATGACATTAAGCTATTATTAACTATTTTTTAGTTGAATGGTCTAATAACTTTGTCGTGACCGCTATATTTATGTTGTCCACAGGATATTTCTTAAAAGTCAACTCGGAATGTGCCTTCGACACATCGGTTCCTCTATTGGCGTGAGAGGGAGAGGGAGGAAGGGAGAGAGGGAGAGAGAGGGAGAGAGAGAGAGAGAGGATAGTTTTTTAGAGGAATCAGGATAAATTTATTACTGGAAAGGGGACCCTTCATATGATGTATCGACGTTATGAGGGATATGTTAAAAATGTGCCATCCCCACATCACCTATTTACTTTGTAGTAACTGACGATCAAAATGCGACTTAATATATCACAACTCGAAGACTAGTAAAAGTAGTGATTAGGGCACAAGAGTTGGGAACATAACGTCGGTCTTCAATCATTCACCGCGGAGTGGAAGTAAATGAAGTTGCTTACTTTCCCAACTAGATTTCTTAGAAAACGGACCACCACACATGACGAACATGACATTGACTGCGACGGCTGTAAATAGCTAACCAAAGACAAACGTGGTGGTTGGGAAGTATAAAAGATTTGACAAATGGAATGATGATCAACATCTCGTCTTTAAAGCTTTAGAGAGGAGTCGTTGAGAAAGACGCAGTGGAAAGATCTTCGATTATTCTCTATCGTGGACGCTAGGTGCCATATAAACGAGATTTAATTCCAGCGTAATACGTATATTGAATAGTATATTGGCCAATTAATTCTGAATAATTCACGCGGACATGAAAGATCATTATTTTGTAGTTTCAACAAGGCTGAACTAATTTTTTCTTCGAGAATATTAGATCACCTCTCTTGTCATGTTAATCTTATTATGGACTATTATTAATTCCATGATATTTTCATCATAGATGCTGTTTTTGGATACTCATTTATACGCGTATTGAAAGGTCGGACCAGACCATCGTTTTTGGAACACCATCCGAAGCCCAGAGAACTTGTGCCAGGCATGGATTCATGTGGGGCTAAAAAGATACAAGAGAATGATACCTGAACCGGATACTTTAAAAGTTGGTGTATACTCACATGAGATAAATATTTATATATATATATATATATAGAGAGAGAGAGAGAGAGAGAGAGAGAGAGAGAGAGAGAGAGAGAGGCGAGCTGTCATATGGGTGGTTGAGGGACAACCATGTGGCGGGTCAAATGAGCTCTGGGGTTTTGGCCGACTTCTATTAAGGTCCGGACTTCGTCCACATCGACATTTAGGGTGGACCGGACTTATTCCTTCTACAAGGCTTAATTAAGATGACTAAGACTAGAAAACGTTAGCCGTAGCTTTAAGCTTATAATGGTTCCCCTAGCTCCTTCAGAAGATGTTCTTTAGGGGAAACTTAGGCCGTGTGGACGCCGCGGCATGCAGCAAGCTCTCCGATGGATCAGGCGTAGCCACATCTTGCGACAGTACTATCTTCCCGGCAGTACCACTGACGGCACAGCGGCCCGCATGCGCACACATGGTGGCTGAGTTAGCCCGAGCCTGAAAATGGAGTGAAGTTCCTAGGAGTCAGCTTACGAACCCTAGGATTCGGAAGATCTAGCTGGTGTCAGGTTGTTGCAAGCAAGGAGATGAGCGTGAGTCAATGCTCTCTGGCAGACGTCTCTCGCCAAGTTGCATGGGTTATTTGTGGAGATCCACATGCTCTCCATAGAAGTGGTTAATGTACATGAGGGGGAGTGGTGGGAATACAAAAGATGCTGTTAAGGGAGACCTTGAACGCGCCCTCTCTCCAAAGTATTGAGTATATTTAAGTTGGCAATTCCATTGTGAAGGCTGGCCCTCGGATATCCATATGATTCTGAGATAATTTCCAACCGTCGTCGGCAATCGATGACGGAGCCAGCAGTAGCTGAAATGTTACAGCCAGATGTTAACTCCGTAACACTCACCCTGAGCTCATTAAGGATCCTATGCGGCGTTCAAAGCAAACAAGAACTTCATGAAAAAAAAACTTTTTATCATGATCGGAATTGGACGCAACGGAATGACTTCCAACGACTCCCGCCTAGCACTCTTGCCGTCATTCCTCTCTAATCCGAGCCGTGTGATGCTCATTCTCGCACCTAGAAATTTCTTTGCAAATTCAAATCACATAAAATAGTAGCAGGATAGTCTACAAACCATCCATCCAGCTTCAGAAAAGTAATTATGCTATCTAGAGGAAGGGCCATGTTTGCCCCCATAGCAGACCCAAAAAATATCCATATGTCTACACCCTTCATTGTTAAAGATCGCTGCACGTCGTTGTTGACGACGTAATTGTCAAGGAACGAAATCTTCCACCGAATCAGGGTCAAGAATGTTGAAGATTCTCGAAGCTCCTAGCGTCGCCGTGGTCCCATCCTAATGCATCTCCCTCGACGGTTTGTGTCCACTGGAAAGGTGGATGACGGTCCATATCAGCCCCATCTCGTCTTCATTCCATCTCGGAAATGCATACTCTTACTTCCTCGCGAAAGGAAAAGATGGAAAGACTATTAATCGTGTGAGACAGACCGAGATCCAGGCGTCGGTAGAGTTCACTCTAGAGGCTTGAGTCATAATCATATCGCCACACATTTGCCTTGCTACCATTCATGTGGCATTCCTCTCTCTAAATTGCTTAGAAATGGCGTCCATGGTGAAACACATTTATGGACATTTCCTTGGCCATTGGCTTCTGGAGGAGGCAGGGACTCGAGCAGAGATTAAGAAGCCTCGAACACATCGCCAGCTTTTAAGACCTTAAGCTTGTTATCTCTCCGTTCCACCGACTCAAAGTTACTCTTCTGGTTCTGTCACTGCTATGGAACGACAAAAATTTTTGTTGCGTGAACGGATGATGGGTTTCACCAATAGTTATGGATTATGTTTGAAGTAAACGTGGGAGCAAGATGAGGATGGCGCAGGCCCCGCAGGAATAAACCTTCTCCGATTGACTTGCTATTTTTCATACGGCTTGAGAGCCCCCCCCATGGGGAGCTCTGCTTGTTGGCAAGTCCTTCTCTCCTTCCTCCATCAAGTTGGGCTCTTTTAACTATCTTTTCACAGATCGCACGGCACCAATAGTTGGCTGGAGTGCCCTTCGCTTCATTAACTTATACGTGTAGCATTTCTTGAACTATAACGTTTCCTTGCATTGTTCACTTCACGCAAATGAGTCCCACATCGCCAGGAAACCGTTCCAACAGCTATTGAGATGGCCACGACATACAACTCAATTTGGCCTCTCCCTCCTTATCTCAGTTTACTACTGTCCTTGAATAACTAATGCAATATAACGCCTCCCCCATCCCATCCCCAGCCAGTAATGTAAGGTACCAGATACGATTGTACCATACTTTTGAATCATATTCGTATTATTATATCATAATTATCACGGACTACGCAGCAGGTATTTTATCATATCTGCAGGGTATTCACAGAGCCTTCTAGAACGATAAGCTCTCCTTTGACCCATTTATGTCCGTTCGCCCCCGGGTCTTCAAATAATAAACGGGATAGGCGAAAGTCCACCCTGCATCCACTCTCGTTACTGGCTTGGATATGCACATTTGACCAGAACACTCCGCAGATGAGCCTGTCTGACCAGATGGCCCCTCCAGAAGTTGAAACTCCAGGTCACATAGAGCGTCAGTGATAAATCATTAATGGTGAACGGTTGACCGATGGACGTAATGAATCGCCGTAGAAACCACGACCCATTAGGAGGTTCTAGAGACCTTGAAGAAGTCAAAACCCCGTATCCCAGCTCTCAACCTTCCCCCACCCTTCTCACCTTCCCTGGGTTGTCCACGTAAAATGGCGTTAAGAAACCTCCAGGTCACATAACACGCGGCAGCCCGCGATGGAGGACGCTTCATGAGGATCGATATCGAGATTGAATGAGGCTACTTCTCGATATCAGGAATGCCGTGTGCCGCTATAATGGAGGAGCACGTCAAACCATCGTGTTCAGGATGGTTGTGAACTGTCGATAGGATGGGGACGCTTTGACCTTGGTTATACCGGGAGAAGGGGGGATAGACAGACAAGAAGTCGGAAGCTGGCTAGAGCGAGAGCGAGAGCGAGAGCGAGACAGGAATGCAGAGAAGGATCCAGGGTGAGCTTGGTGGCGATGTGTATGCATTTAATAGATGGGCCCATTGAAGCTATACACGAACCTCGAGAAGCCGCCCCAGAAGGCTTGCTCGTTTTTCTCCTTCCCCGTCTCGTCGACCTCCGCCTCTACCAACGCCGGCGTCCCGTATACCCCGCGGTGGAGTAAGCACCAGTCATCTCATCGGGCACCGTGCGCGCAGGGAATAAGGGGGCTGCTACCAGAAGGGGACAAAACTTACCAGAGTTGATTTCCCTCTCTTCTGCCACGTGAAAATTTAGATAAAAATATCGCTGTTTATAGAAGCTTATGAGGGATATTATCTTGTTCCGTCGACCTGTAAAGGTTGCATATTGACCTCTATCATAGAAAAAGTGATGAGACCCTGTGAGGGGGTCTCGTGATGCGTTGGTCGATGGGTTGGTTGGGGCGGTGGATCATTAGGGCTTGCATTAATACACGTCAGTAGCCCTCTCACCCTTTTGTCTCACTATAAATCCTCCGCCCCCCTTGGACCAAGATTCGAACACCCACAACCCTTATCTCACCACTTCATCTCTTCGCCGTTCTCTTCCAGATCCCTAACAGCGTCTCTCATCTTCTCGTCTTGTGAGTGTTAGGACGTGAGGGGGAAAGTCGGAGAGTGAGTCAAGTTCACTCAAACAAACAAAGGCCTATAGAGAGGGAGGGAGGGTGAGACGGGAGAGATGGAAGTCCTTGGAACGGAGGTGGAACCTCTGTTGATGCTGTCTTCGGCCCTCTTGGTGTACGGCCTCTTTCTCCTTTGGAGGTTGTTCGAGCAGCGGAGGAACCAGAACTGCTACCTCATCGAGTACGCTTGCTTCAAGCCCCCCGATTACAGGAAGCTACCGACCAACATGTGCGGGGACATCATCCTAAGGAACAAGAACCTGGGCCTCTCTGAGCTCAGGTTCCTCCTCAAAGTTATCGTCAACTCCGGAATCGGCGAGGAGACCTACGGCCCGACGACCGTCATCGAGGGGCGGGAGGCGTCTGTCACCCACAACGACGCACTGTCCGAGATGGAAGAGTGCTTCGTGGGCACCCTCGACGAGCTCTTCCGCAAGACCGGGGTGTCTCCTAGAGAGATCGATACCCTGGTGGTCAACGTCTCCATGCTGGCCCCTTCCCCTTCCCTCGCAGCCATGATCGTCAACCACTACAAGATGAGGGAGGACATCAAGGTGTTCAACATCTCCGGCATGGGGTGCAGCGCCAGCCTCGTCTCCATCGATCTCGTACAGCACATGTTCAAGTCCAACAGGAAGATGAAGGCCGTGGTAGTCACTTCGGAGTCCATCGCCCCCTGCTGGTACCCCGGCTGTGACAAGTCCATGTTGCTGGGAAACTGCCTCTTCCGGTGTGGAGGCTGCTCCATCCTCCTCACCAACGACTGTAGTTACCGGCACCGCGCCAAGTTCATCCTGAAGTGCCTCGTGCGCACCCACCTCGGCGCCAACGACGAGGCCTTCAACTGCTGCATGCAGCGAGAGGACGACACCGGCACGCTCGGGTTCCACCTCGGCAAAAACCTCCCCAAGGCAGCCACCAGGGCCTTCTTTGAGAACCTGCGGATGTTAGCCCCCAGGATCCTCCCTCTGAGAGAGATCTTCCTCTTCTCGGTCCGCAAATACCTCCAGAAGCTCAAGGGATCCAAGGACGTCCAAGCAGAGGGCACGCCACGGGTGAACTTCAAGGCCGGAGTGGACCACTTCTGCATCCACACCGGCGGAGCCGCCGTCATCGAGGGCATCGGGAGGAGTATGGGGTTGAACCAGTACGACCTCGAGCCGGCCTGGATGACTCTGCACCGGTTCGGCAATACCTCCGCCGGCAGCCTCTGGTACGTCCTGGGTTACATGGAAGGTAAGAGGAGGCTGAAGAAGAAAGACCGGGTGATGATGCTCAGCTTTGGCGCCGGCTTCAAGTGCAACAGCTGCATGTGGGAGGTGAACAGAGATTTGGAAAACCCCGGGGTCTGGGAAGACTGCATCGACAAATACCCTCTGCAGGACTTGACCAACCCTTTCATGGAGATGTATGGCTGGATCCACGACGAGGAAGCAATCGTCAACTACGTCAAGGAGCACCCCGAGTATGCCGACATTGCAGCCAAGAGGGCCCCGGCTACGGCCCGGTCCTCGTAAGATCTTCTTGGCTCATACATTGTTTTCTTCCTCGATCTATTTTCTTTTCTATTCCACGTTCCTCCTCTCCCACATGCAAATTCGATTCTTATTTTCGAGCATTCATGAAAATACTCGTATTTGTATAACTATAGACAGCTATTTTCATTAATAAGAAAGAGAAACCATCGCTCATTAAATGAAGAAAATCGATCACCCCTCTGGCCAAGGCCGAGGTCCCATCATCGCTCTCGCTGTCTCCACAAGAACAAGAGGCTCGTGCACAGCTGTCGACCTCCATTAATACGCCCACAGTGGGAGGCCAGGCGGGTTGGTAGGGAGACTCTTTCGTCGATTTTATCTCCAAAATTGGTGACGGTTTACAGCCTGCCCGGCCACATGAGCACGCCGGACGGGTTTCTCCTAGTGGAGCTTTAAGTCAACTATTTCCAGAATGGAGAGAACAGCCGTCTCGCAGGCCTGTAAGAATCAGTCTCTTCTAAATACGAATGGAGATGTCGACGAATTCTCCATGTCGTATTCGCCATTCCTGTGAGAGATCGACCTGATCTCCAGCCCACGGTTTCCACCGGGTTGGACCGCACGATTAAGTGAAACTGACGGAAGAATAAATTAGAGAGAGAAAGAGAGAGACAGCCGGTCGCCAGTGTACGCGAACGATCTAACGTGTAGGATACGTCTAAGACAGTCTCATCCATTGGAATCATCCGTCATCTGCCTAGGGTTTCCGGGTTTACTTTCTTCTCCGCCCGACGGACGGTCTTGGAACGAGGAACTTCGAAGGATCTGCGTAAAAGAAACGGATGGCGAGGATGCGCCGAAGGGGAGGATCTCTGACCGCCGGGGCCACCGACTGGACGGGCCGGATGCCAGCTTCTTGTCGGAAGAGGACGCAAGCGGGATAAATGAGGCGACAGAGTGGAGACCAATGGCGACGGGCAAGTGGGAAACGCGCAGCCTTTTCAGCTCTCCCCTTCTCACGACTAGTCGTCTTCATCCCTAGTAAAAACATGCAGAGTTATTTCATAAAAGAAGTCTCCTTTTTGGTAAAAGTTCAGATGTATCTAAATCGAAACCCAGTCCTAATTGGGCCTCGTAATCTCGCGCAGTCCGTCAGCAGGGCCAACCGGCCCATATGAATCTACACCAAACCTGTTCTGGATTTTCTAGTGATCTGATGTAGATAGGACATTGCTCATATTTTCTTGAGCTATGTGATCGTCACCGAACCCTAGAACCCCTGTCAACTCTCCATTCCCATGGCAATCTTCCTCCGTCCGGTCTTCTTCACGCACGAGACTACTCAAGGTGATATATATATATATGTGTATATATATGTATATATATATATATATATTAGAGAGATAGATAGATAGATAGAGAGAGAGAGAGTTAAAACAGTAATAAGGGTGTTATCACGTTGAAAGTCAGATAAAAGGCTAACAGAGTAAATCATAACCCGTTGTCTAACCGGTCCTCCATTGACGACGGCGAACAGAGAGGAATGGAAGGAGGGGTATTCCATTACACCCCGAAGAATACATGAATGCATGAAGAAATCGAAATCACTGACGGACGGGGGGTAGAAAAAGAAGGGTGGGAAAGCAGGAGGAACAGCTTTGGCAGTTGCCTTTAAGACGGCGTTAAATGTGCTAAATGAGATAACACAGCAAGACTGAACTCCACATGGGTGGTACTCCGCAAGGGTTCCAGCATAGGAAGAGCGGGGGACCTACCTCCGCCGGAGGTTGCGCCGCCATTCTCACTCATCGGAGTTGTTGACCCACCCGAACTGCTTGATGAAGGGGTTGGTCACTCTCTCGGGAGGGTAACTGTCGATGCAGTCTGCCCAGACATCGGCGTCGGCGAGGTTCCTCTGCACCTCCCAAACGCAGCTGTTACACTTGAATCCTGCCCCGAAGCTGATCATGAGCACCCTATCCTTCTTCTTCAACTTTCTCTTCGCTTCCATGTAGCCCAGCACGTACCACAGACTGCTGGCCGAGGTGTTCCCGAATCGGTGAAGGGTCATACGAGACGGCTCGAGGTCGCTCTTCTCCAGCCCGAGCCCCTTCCCCACGGCGTCAATGACCGCCGCGCCGCCTGGGTGGATGCAGAAGTGCTCAACTTCAGTTCTGAAGTTGATCCGCGCGGGGCTGTCGCTGGGAACCCCCTTAGGGGAGCCCCTCAGCCGCTGCCACTGGCTCAAGGCTATGTAGTGGAGGATCTGGCTCAAAGGGAGCACCCTGGGGGCCAGGTTGCGGAGGTTCTCGAAGAAGGCCCTGGTGGCGGCCTTGGGGAGCTCCTTCCCGAGGTAGAACCCCGGGTAGCCGCTGTTGTCCTCCTTCTGTAGGCAGCAGTTGTAGCTCTCGTCGTTGGCGCCGTGGTGGGTGCGGACGAGGCACCGCAGGCGGAGCTTCACCCGGTGCCGGAGCCGCGGGTCATTTGTCAACAGCATGGAGCATCCTCCTGCGCGGAAGAGGCAGTTACCCAGCAACATCGACTTCTCGCAGCCGGAATACCAGTTGGGCCCGATCGACTCAGAGGTGACCACTACTGCCAGCGATCTTGGGTGGCTTTTGAAGAGATTTTTCACCAGATCGATAGATACCAGGCTAGCGCTGCACCCCATCCCTGAGAGGTTGAAGACCTTGATGTTGTCCCTCATCTTGTAGCGGTTGATTATCCTGGCGGAGAGGGAAGGGGAGGGCGACAGCATGGAGACGTTGACGACCAACGCGGTGACATCAGCGGGTGAGAAGCCCGTCCGGCGGAAGAGCTCGTCGAGGGTGTAGAAGAAGCTGTCGTCCATCTCCGAGAGCCCATCTGAGAGGGAGGCGCAGTTCTCCTTTCCACCGATGACGCTCCTCGGGCCGTACGTCTCCTCCCCGATGCCGGAGTTGACAACAGCCTTTAGAAGGAACCTCAGCTCGGGAATCCCCAGACCCTTGTTCCTTTGTACTATGTCACCGCACAGCTCCGTGGATAGCTTCTGGTCATCGGGACCCTTGAAGCATGCATAGTCGAGGAGGTAACACTGCTGGTGCCTCCTCTTATCTATCAGCTTGCACAGGAGGAGTAGAGGATAAAGGAAGGGGACTACGGACAACAACAGACGAAGAAGATCCATGGAAGGAAGACTAGCCATCCCACTCAAAGAACAAGTAGAGGCCAACCACGGGCCGGGAATCTCGTGTGAAGAATGATGACTGCAGGAACCAAGCCGAGGTACATTTATACTAATGCAGGGGGTAGAGAGATAGATGGGGGGGAGAGGATGTTAAGGTTCCATGTGAGGCCCCTTTGATGTCCCAACTAATTCAATTAAGTACAATCGAGAATGTATTACAACAGGGAAACGTGCCGAGTGTATGCGTGTTTTCGGCAGATAGTGGAGAAGCGATGTCGACAATAAATGTGGGAAACCAGTCGATGGGCGCGGGCCGTTAGCACAGATCGTCAAAGTCATTTAAAACCGGCTACGTATCTCGTAATCAGGCCGTTAATAAATGAGCGATTTGAGCAATATTAATCCTGACGGTTCGTTGGTCTCGCGACTCTACAGGCAAAAAATAAAGCTTCCAACTGGTGCAGGTGGACCGGAGTTAATGCATACATATATACAGAGAAAGATAGATAGATAGATAGATGGATGGATATATATATATATTTATTTCCCTATTTTCTCTCCTTCCCTATTTTCTGTCGTGACAGCTTAAGCTGTCCTCTTCAATCTTTGACCATAGTGGAGGAAGGTTTTCAACCGCTGCCCTCGTGAAAGAAATGGCCGGCCACGACCGTGGTGATCGCCGGAAACCGTGCTTCTCAGCGCCGTTGGAGACCGAGAGACACGAAAGTTTTGCGCCTTCAAATTTATGATGAATAAACAATTAATAAGGGTTTTAGTCTGTCGCGCATTACGGCCAGCTCATGGCCGCCGGCATTAATGGCTAAACCTGCGGAAACCAATGTCCCCTCAGATTTTACTTTTCAAATCAAATTAGCAATTTCTCTCATCTGGCCGGAAATAGATGGCAGATCTAACCAGGATACCGGCGGCGGCACGCAAGTGGGTATGAGGCCTTAAAGCTTTTTCTCGTCCTATTCTATCACTTCCCTATGGAAAATTCTCGAGAATGCCTTCCTTGTTCGGCAGGGATCGTGAGGAAGATCTGATCGCCGACATAAAATTAGATAGGGATGACCTACGACCTATGAACCCGCATCAGTTATCCACCTTCTCTCTCTCTCTTCCCCCTCTCTTTCTCTCTCTCTCTCCCCCCGTCTTCTCTCTTCTCTCTCTCTCTCCCCTCGTCTTCTCTCTCTCTCTCTCTCTCTCTCTCCCAGTCCCTCTCTCTTCCCCGTCTCTCTCTCCCATTCTGTCAGTTCCTTTCGATCTGCCTGAATTTCCTTTCGAACTTTGAGCCTGCAAGCCCTGGATGATCCAAATGAAGCCCGATAGAAACCCCCCCCGGTGTCAAATCGAAGACCGCAAAGCATACAACGCACCCTTTTCATTCTCACGTTTACTCAATAGTATACCATCACTTTGGAGCGGAGAAGTTTATTTCATATGTTTATTCGATTATTCTTGGCGTCATGCGTAGTGAAACATTGTTTACGGATATTTTTCAAGATATATTATACATGTTCAAAGAATGAGTCGGTAATTGAATATATGAGCAAATAATGCATGTTCACAATCATTCCTCAAAAGTTTCCGATCCAAATCCAAGATCAATTGACCTTGTTAGAGAATTTATCATTATTTTCTGGGTCAAATGTCCAATTCTTTGACGAGGATTGTCGACCAACTGTGTATTCACAAAACCGAATAAAGTTCTGACGTATGTTCTTCGGCAATTATGATGTTAAATAAAAATGCATAAATAATACGTTCTCACTATCATATCCGTCCGCTATTGTCTCTAATTGAAAGTCATGACTGTATACTTTAGTTTTGTGAACTTATGCCATATCTTTGGGTCGTACGTTCGATTTGTTTATCCATGAAGATGTGTATTGATAAATACAAATCATACTCGTTTAATATTGGCTTATATTTAAAGTTCATCCACCAACTCCGTAATTATAATACCAACTTTTTCAGCTATGACAAAAATCTGGATCATCATTGTGAGTTACGCCAGCCGAGATTAGAAACAAGAACTGTAAGATGGCCGCAAATAGATTTTGAAGTCGCTATTCCATCTGGATCGTCATTGTGAATTCGTAACTTTATAAGACAATGGACTCGTCACTTCGTATTCCATGGATACCTGGAAACCGTTATACCTTGTGGCGTTACATTTCTCAGCACTTTAGAGTTAATGAGTCCTCATTAGTTATTGTCTGGAATCAACTAGTCTCCTCAGTGCGAGATGACAAATTAACACCTTTAATCTATACGCATGTGCACGTCATGAACGAAGGTATGTGTGACCAGATGCAGATATACATACGTAAAAATACGTCGACGTAATTCTGGTGGCAGTATATGAGATGGTTAATCGGCGACACCTGATGTTCTACAGGAAACACTGAAAATAGACCCGAGCGAATTATGGAGCTACCCAATCGACTCAGAAGATACATGAAAGAGATGGGGGAGAACATCTCTAACAAACATCTAGACGATAGTCAGATGTTAATGATTTTATATATGACTTGTGAAACTCAAAGAACGGGCGTCGGATCGTGCAAGTTGAGTTCCCTGTGTTAGTCTTCACAGTTCTTGTGGGCATCAGGAAGTCAAATAAAAGTAATGAAACACTTGTTTCAATTAGCCCTTACTTGACATTCTTGTAAGAGTGGGGAAACGCGAATGCCCTCGTTTCTCTGTTCCTCGTCACCGACTGTTATCAATCTCAGTTAGAAAAGTATCTGTTTCACGTCACTGACCATATGAGAAACATTTATCAGCTATTTGTTCAAAGAACAATGGGTTTAATTGGATCTTTCATTGTGCTTTGTTCTGAGCTGTGTTTCAGCAGTTCAGATTGCTTTTCTCCTCCTCTCTCCTCTCTCTCTCTCTCTCTCTCTCTCTCTCTCTCTCTCTCTCTCTCTCTCTCTCTCTCTCTCTCTCTCTCCCTCTCCCTCTCCCTCTCCCTCTCCCTCTCTCTCGGCACTGATTGAGATCATGTCAAAACCTCCTCTCTTGTTGACAACTGACCACGGTTGAACCCTAGTTCAGGTAACGTTAACCTATATTGCAAACAAGCATACGGTTGAAGGACAAAACAAGGTTCATCAAGGTTCATCCCGGGACCGACACAATTGTTAGTTCATCCGTAATACCACAACAACCATTGACTTGGCCACGTGATGGGGTCTCATTAAAACAAGTGAGTTGCTAGCGGTGGTTTGGAATGAAATTCAACCGCCTCAACTTCGATCCCGTTTGCAAATTCTAATTACGCGCCCAAAACAGAAACGGAGAAGGTGAGGAACTCATCGAATGATTTTGCCTTAACACATGAAACGATGGCGACCCTCCAAACGCACGCAAGTACCCACATCAAACATAGATCCAGTAAGGACCACAACAATTACCAATAAGGATAACACGGCCAGCACACTCGTGAATAAAAACACGTGAAGAGTGAAGCCCACAAGCGGGAGGCTACACCAGCGACCATGCACGTACATCAGGGACGTCCGCCAATGCCTCCACCGCCACCGAAGCCGCCGCCCCCGCCGCCCCCGCCGCCCCCGCCGCCGCCCAGTCCACCTCCGGCGCCACCGCCGAAACCGCCCCCAAAGCCGCTGCCTGCACCGCCGCCAATGCCTCCTCCGTTACCATATCCACCTCCAAGTCCCCCACCCTTACCGTAACCGCTGCCAACACCGCCGCCGAGTCCACCACCCTTACCGAACCCGCCGCCTAGGCCACCGCCGGTGCCGTATCCACCACCGAGCCCATGTCCGCCGCCGAAGCCACCCCCGATTCCACCGCCCTTACCGAAACCTCCGCCGATTCCGCCACCTTTGCCGTATCCACCGCCGACTCCACCACCGAGTCCATGGCCACCTCCATACCCACCGCCGAGGCCTCCACCTTTGCCGTATCCACCACCGAGTCCATGGCCACCTCCGTACCCGCCCCCGAGGCCACCACCTTTGCCGTATCCACCGCCGAGTCCATGGCCACCTCCATACCCGCCCCCGAGGCCGCCACCTTTGCCATATCCACCGCCAATACCGCCACCTTTGCCGTATCCGCCCCCAAGCCCACCGCCCTTGCCAAACCCGCCACCTACGCCACCACCGAATCCATGTCCACCGCCGAGTCCACCACCCTTTCCAAACCAGCCGCCAATGCCACCTCCTTTGCCGTATCCACCACCGAGTCCACCACCCTTCCCGAACCCACCGCCAAACCCCCCAAAACCACTCCCGATTCCACCACCTTTTCCGTATCCACCACCGAGTCCACCACCCTTCCCGAACCCGCCGCCAAACCCGCCAAAACCACCCCCGATTCCACCACCTTTTCCGTATCCACTTCCAAACCCGCCGCCAATGCCGCCGCCCTTGCCGAACCCGCCACCATTGCCGAACCCGCCACCAAAGCCGCCGCCCTTACCGAACCCGCCACCAAAACCGCCACCCTTACCGAACCCGCCACCAAAGCCGCTGCCTTTACCAAACCAGAACTTCTCATCCCCGACTTTTGCTTCCCTCCCGGACTCCTTCACAGGCGCCACATTCCTACCCACCGCGACCCCGACCACGGCAGTCAGATACAGCAATGCTAGAAGCACTCCCCTCTGACTCATGGCTACTCTCATCCCTTCTACTCTCTCTCTCGCCTCCTGATTTTTCCTCACTCCCCAAGGCGAGCTGATCGAACTGGAAAATGCTTGTGGGGTTTATATAAATAATCAAGTGATCCAGGGAACGGGGTTGAGGTTGAGCTGAGTGGTGTAAAAATTGGCGCACAGATCGACAGAGACGCGTTTAATGCTCTCCAACTGCCTATCTGCCCTTTCAAGCCCTTTATAGTTGGGGATGTGCGTAGAATTTAATGACCTCGCTTTCGGCTGCTTCTTGATGAGAGGACAAGACCGTATCTGTAGTGCTCTCCCAATCAAACCGATGGTTTAAGCAAGGGATGGATTGGCCTCTCTCTAACTCTTTCTCTACATATACATGCATGATTTATCTCTCTGTATGTACGTATATAGCTCTCTACTCCGTTAGCCATTAATACGATCTATGTTAGACGAGGCTCTGGGCACATGCTTCCTACCTCAACCGCTGGTTCTAGCTGGCTGGCACGAGAAAGCTGGGATAAATGCATCACCCCTCTGGTGTTCCAGTAGGGTTTTCTTGGCAGGGCAGGGCATATTTGCTGGTGGGTGCACAGGGAGATCGAACCTCCGTAAGCGGAAGATAAGTCCAACAAAGGACGCCACGGCGTCATCTTTCTTGATATGCTCCACCCACCTTTGCCTCTGCGTTGGCAGATGAACAGGCTCTCCGCTCAGTTCAACAGTTTACTGGGACCTCATAGTTCTCGGCTGACATGGTGATCTTCCCAGGTCTGCAGAACCCAACAGCTGGTCAGTTTTGGAAGGAAGGAAGCCCCATTCAAGGGGTGAGAGATAGAACCTAGAAATAGCAGAGAAGTGTCCTTCAGCTCCGTCCTCACTCCTCTTTGCGTTTGACTTCGGTGAATGAGGAATCTCACTGTGATTCTCGTCCCTGGACTGCTCGTCAGGACCTGTGGCTATAATTCCTCTTCCGAGTCAAAGTAGTGCTTTCCCTGTCTCTCTCCACCTATTTATCTATGTACTTCACCTACTCTTTTTATCGTTCTCGACGATGGATATCATCAATGAGTTCCTATAAGCTCAGCATGCGCATAGCGCCGGTGATAAGGAGGCCGGGGGTCATGGGACATTTTCACCACGTTAACGAGGTCTGACTGTATTCGCATCTTGAATGCCTAAAAGGCCACGAAAAGGAAGAATTTAAGACGTCCAAATGGAGATCTTCCCTTGACTGATCAAGGAGATTACATCATTTATTCTTCCGATTAAGTAAATCCAGCGCATTGCTTACTTCCGTCAACATTTCTCCTTTCTGCACCATCCACATAGCTCCAGCCTTCAAGGCTTACTGTCTTCTTCTTTTAACATCATTACACTTTCGTCTCCATAATACCAGCTTTCAAGACGTACTCTATCCTTCTTTTAACATGTCTTTTTCTGTGTCGCAGACCAGTAGCCCTCGGGTGGGAGAAGACGTCTCTCAACATCATGAGAGAGATGGGGGGCTCCTCTTCGCTCCCAAAGTGCTGTTCCCAGTTATTGGAACTAACTGTTGGTTGACGCGTTCGAGTTAATGCCTGCCATGCGAGATGGGAGGTTGGTGACCGACCATAGGTACCCCACCGCCTGTCACTTTCATCCTCCGGTTCCCGTAGCATATGGCCATGTTCATCTTGTTTTGGTGCGGAGATGGATTCCAAGCGCCAACTAAGGGAATAAATTCTCACATTGTCAGAGGTCAATGAGCTGTGTAAGCTAGAGTCCGACCCGGAGACCCCGTCGTCTGCAAGCTTCGAGAGGGCTCTCCCCTCCCTACCTTCCTCTCTCTCTCTCTCTCTCTCGGGATAGGGTTTGTCCAGCCTGACCTCTAAACACCTTCCACATGGCACATAATCCTCCGTTGATAATATCCAAGAGTTCCTAGTTATAGTCTGATATTATCGAGTAATGACTGGGAGTATCAGCCGATCTGACTCGATCGACAACCCTTGGGGACGATTATCCCACACGCATCTGTAGATCTGCAAAACAAGATTTTGTACGACGACTAATTCTCATCCCATATCGATTCAGCAGGGGCATCAGGCTTGCGGTTCTTCGTTCTACAGGAGTTGGATTGTGTAACATCTTTGCTTCTTTGCTTTACAGATTAGCGAAGCATGCGGACCGTTTCATTGTTCCGAGCATAGCACGCGCCCATGAATCATATGCTACACATTAAATTTCTCTCTCGTTTTTTCGTGCAGAAGTCAAAACCTTTAGAATAGTGGGTTCTGGAAATGTTTTACAGGGCCAGAAGCTTAGGTTGTGGGCTCTACTGTCTGGTATCAAGCCCATTATAGGCCTGGGTGAACTGACTACTAACGAGATCATGGGTCTTGATCCACAAATCCACACTCAGCTCTCTCTCTCTCTCCTCCAATACTTTACGTGCACTTGAACGCCGCGTTAGGCCCATTACACCATATTGGGCATGCTCTAAGCTTTCTCAGTTATTCCCTTGCTCGTACTATGAACTTGGCGGGGCCTGACCCACCCCGCCCCCCCTTTAAGCTCCCTATGCACTCGACCAAACGCAGTTCAAAAAGGTACGTCACACCTTGGCACCATTTACATAGTTCAACGATATTATGTTTATTATCATTGCCATTACCATTATAACTCACTGGCATTCATTACTCCCTTTACATTTACGTCCAATCCCCATCGAGGAAATGGCAAGTGAGGTCAGATTAAATCCTGTGACGAGCCCATAATCCGGATCATGACATCGTAGATCACGCAGCCGGTCGAGACCCATTCTCAAGATCAACACCAATCTCTCGAGTAGTATATTGATTCGAAGATCCCACTGAAGCTACCCCTCAGTTTTCATCCCTCGGAACACGTAATCCAGCATTCTTGTACGCTGGGTTGACCCGGGCAATGCGTCGTCCCGCCTGCTATAAACTCGTGAACACTCTGCGCCACCTCGATCAAGCTGACTCCGGGGTGGGTCCTTCCCCACGCCGGAATCGGCCATCCTCCTCACCTTCTCTACTTCGGCCCATCGGCTAACGGCGGCGCAGAGGCTGGAGGCCAGCATGAGCAAAACCCCGCCATGCCTGCCGCCACCAGACCTGTGGCGATGTTCTTGCGGGGCATCTGCTCAAAGAGAAGAGAAGCCGGTTCGACGAGGTAGCACTTCACTTTTGAGAGGACAAAATCCCTGTCAGGCATGTCGTCGAACAGTCTGAAGGCGTTGTACGTCCTCACCAGCCCACTGCAGATGAAAAGGTCCGCAGGGAACTCGGAAGATCTTCCCGTGGATCGCCTTCCCCATCTCCACCGCCATTTACGAGGCCCTGGGTCACGGAGCAGTGGGAGAAGGAGCAGGGCTTCTCCGTCTTGGAGAAGAGGACGGAGGCGAAGCGCAGGCCCCCCCCGCCGGGGAGGTGGCGGAGAAGGAGACAAGTGCGGAGAAGGCGGAAGACTGGTCGGCGGCGTCCGTCTGGATTATCTGGGCGAGGATCTGCCGGAGCTGGGCTATGGATTTGCAGTCCCTTGAGAGCTCGTACAGCTTCCCACCGATCGCCGTCTCATGGGCGTTAGAACTCATTCACTTCGAAATTCTTCATAAACACTAGCGAAGACCTTCCTTCCACCACCAAGAACCATTTCTCCTTCCCCGGCTCAAGCAGACCTCATCAGCGCCCTCTGAAGAGGCCTCGTCTCGGCTTCTCCGCAGCATTTAGAACCCTAATGTCTTACTTTGGAGCTTCATGATCTCTGCCGCGTCTTCCCGGAGAGGTCGGCCCGCGTAGTTCTCGTTATTGCGCTGCATAACGAGGGAGAACGCGAAAACGCCCAAGAGCTTCATCCTCAGCGCTAGCGCCACGGTCAACGCCGCCGAAGTGGACGAGCAGGTCCTCGCGGGTCCTCGGAGGTTTCTTCCTACAAGAACTCCGAGGAAGGAGGAGTCAAAACTCCGGGGGACGAGCAGCTAGTAGCTTTATATAGAAGACCGGATAAGGATGCATGTCGATCAGGTAGATCCGCATTTGCTCCGTAGCTGACAGGGGTTTTCAGAAACCCGTGCGATGCCCTCCACCCGGGGATCTCTGTCGATATCGACCGTCCGTTCCAACTCGGAGGAACGACGGCTCTGGTTGGATAGTGAGATATTAAAACTCATTAATAAAGTATTACATTAATTATTTTATTTCGTATTAAACGCTCCTCCCATTTTGAGTGATTTATCAGATTAATTTCCATTAATCTATGGTTTATGTAGATGGTCATATAGCAACACTATGGTCGATCATTAGTAGATAATTCCGATTTTTATCTTAAAAAAATTAAAAAGCTGACTTTTTCCATTTAATAATCCCGCATAATCATAGCCCCATGATGCACATTATTATGGCCATTGCCATTTACACGTATTATGGGGATTATTTTTAATTAAAAATATTCCCATATTGAAGTGGAAATGACGTGGGCCATAGCATCGAGTGACGTAGGTCCACATGTTCCTTTAGTTGGAATTAATAGATAATATATGTATTTTATAGTGAAGGGTATTGGCTTGGTACCCACCGTAAGAATAATATTGGAATTATCTCCCTGGATATTTTTGACAGGAATCCTTTAAAAATATTAGGCAGGTTTAGCATGCGATTAATAGAAAGAGTGGGTCGATAAAAATGATGTTTATTATGCACGGGTATTTAATAATTTGATCACGTGGGCCGTCGTAGATCAAAAACGCGAGGCTTTGTTGGGTCCACACGTGCACACATCACGAAAGGGGATCGAACGGTGGGAAGCTGGCACGTCCTGGAGGGATAAAAGACATAAATACCCCTGAAACGGCAAGTGGTGGCTCGATATGAGCTCCCCAACCACCTCTCTACCTACGCCGGCGACGGGGCGGGTCAGATTAAAAATATATGACGGTAATAAGGCCACAAGGGTATCTTTGTCACATTAAAAATATATGACGGTAATTATGATATTTGAGCCATTAATGAGGGTTTTTTGGTCAATATCGGCATCAAAGGAAACCCACCCTCCCGCAGGACTAGTCTCTCTTTCTTTCTCTCTCTGTCAAGACGCCATGTCCCGTCCTCTCTCTCCTCTCCGGCTATAAATACCACTCCTGTCCCCAAATCCCAAATCCTTCTTCCGCTCCCTTTCTCTCTCCTCGCTGTGTCTCTCCGGGGCCCGGACCTCCCACATCTGAGCCGATTCTTGCTCCTTTCTCTCTCCATCCTCTCTCTTTCTCTCTCTCTCTCTATAGAGATTCCTCCCGGCGGTCCTCCGCCGTCGCCGCCGGCCGTCCGGCGACGGCGCCGCTGAATCGCCGCCGGGCCGCTATCTCTGTGTCCTCCCTCTCTCCCCACGCCTCCCCGTTGTCGCCAACTTCCGAGGCATGATTTGGCATTTTTTTTTGGGAGGTGTATATTGACCATTTTACCCCAATATTTTCATCTATTTGCTTGGTCGAGCCCCCTGCCGCTTTCGCTTTAATCTCTCGCCGGCGAGGAGGGGGATGAACGACGGCAGGCAGCGTCAGTGGGTAGCGGCGGCGGCCGTGGCGGAATCCAGGAAGCGGAAGGAGAGGGACGTCGCCGCCGAATTCCGGCGGGTCCACCTGACGACGAGGCACGAGCCGCCGCCGCCGGCGCAGAAGTCTCCGGCGGCGGCGGGCGGCGGCGGAAACAGGCTGCTGGCAGGGTACCTGGCGCACGAGTTCCTCACGTTGGGGACGCTCTTCGGGCAGCGGTGGGACCCCCCGGCTGCCGTGAAGCCGCCGGCGCCGCCGCTTCGGGCTGTGGGGAAGAGCGGTGCTCCCCCGCCCCCGCCGTCGGCTGGGGAGGCGAAGCAGGGGAAGCCGCCGAGTGGATACGCTGAGGTGGCGTGCCTTTTGAAGGCGGAGGGGGCCCACATACCCGGAATCGTCAACCCGACACAACTGGCTCGATGGCTCCAGATGTGAGGGCTGCGTCGGAGAGCTGCAGGCTTCTTCCTCCACGTAGGGGGGCTCCCTCCATCGGCTCCTGCGAGGCACCGCACCGAAAGCTAGCCGCCAAGGGTACGCCGCCGGTTCCTTTCTCCGTCACCTTTTCTTTTTCTTCTCCGTCTTCTCTCTCCCTCCCCTCCCTTCCTACGGGCAGCGAGTGATATGGGGGGGAAGCACCTGGGAGGGAAAGGCTGCGGCAAAGGACTAACCAGGTGGAGAAGAGGAGAGGGAGGGGGGAAAGAGATGAATGGTTGGGTGGATCCCTCCCTCTCCTCGCATTCCTGGCTCTTCCCCACGGAGGGTACTGGCCTTTATCTCTCTTCTCCGTCGGTCGTCTTCCTTGTTTTCTTCAGCATGTCACCAATGGCGGCCTCCTTTTTACGTCTGAATCAGTACTAGCTCTTCATTTTGCGGCGATTGGTGGGGCGGTCGCAGCCGTGTTATGTGTTCTCTCTCTCTCGCTCTCTCTCGCTCTCTCTCTCTCTCTCTCTCGCTCTCTCTCGCTCTCTCTCTCTCTCTCTCTCTCTCGCTCTCGCTCTCTCTCGCTCTCTCTCGCTCTCTCTCTCTCTCTCTCTCGCTCTCTCTCGCTCTCTCTCGCTCTCTCTCTCTCTCTCTCTCTCTCTCTCTCTCTCTCTCTCTCTCTCTCTCTCTCTCTTTCTCTCTCTTCCCATGCATGTCTACGTGCATGGCAGTGCACCACTGCATCTGTCGATGACCTAACCTGTCCCGGAGGTAGAGGACGGCATGCATGACCATCGCGAGGACTGAAGCTCTCTCAGCAGAGCCTTCGGAGTGCTCGTCTCGTCCAATTTTTTTCCGCTAGAAAGGATGAGAAATCTCAGCGAGAACACGAAGGCCTGCCACAGGCGGCTGCTATTTAATGGGAGGTCCCTGGGCGGCGTTGGGCGCTGCAATTACCTTTCCTCTCACCTGGTCGGAGATCCCCCAACCACCGTGGCGGCGGCTTGAATCGAAGAAGTATTCCCTCAGCTCGTTTCCGATCTCTTCATGGAAATCCCGAATCACTTCCTCACAAGGCGCTGACGAAGAGCCCGAGGGTAGCTTGCGGATGAGCAAGTGGTGTAGGTTTCCAGAAAATCGTAGACGCACTGTCATCCTATTCATTTCAATCTATGCCCAGTTAGAGAGAGTTTCAACAGGGCTTCCTGACTGTATCTCTCTAGAAAACCTCCATTGAGTTAGATGGCATGACTACCAAGTGCTTCGAACTTTGAGGATAAGGTAGCTGGCATAACTAGGAAATTTTATTAGATTTTTCTGCAAGAGTACTGAGTTTTTTGCTATAAGATAGCTGCAGTGTTACAACTTTTTCATGAACATAGACAATTATAAATGCCGAGTAGACTTGGTGACAACGAGAGTTATATTCAGGTCTTGGTTTGAGTGGAGATTCTCAGGATCTCTAGCTGGTGACTAAACATCTCGTGCACTTACACCTTTCTACATATATACACTTATTTTAATGGATATGTAAAATAATTGGGTTGATAGAAGGAAGAGAAGTTACTTTTTTATATCTTCATGTTGTTTTGGATACTTATGTTTGTACAAATTATGGGACCTTGATCTATGCTCTGGAGTTTACAATTCTTTCTATCTATACATGATACAAAACATCATGTTAGAATACATTATTTATCTACTATTTAGGTCATCTTGTGATATATCCAAACACCTCGTAAATGAATAGAGGACTCATGTTTAGGTCATCTATTTTACTAAGGTCATCATTCGGTAAGGTTAGAGCTTCAAATAGACTAGGTTGCACACTATAAATTTGAGATTGACAACTACTGCACACGATCATGAGCTTGAGTAAGATTCTTTTTGATGACGTCCAACATCTCATCATGTTTTTTAGTGAGATTGTCAATCACTAACGATCCTACAAGTAGTGAATTGAACCAAACATTTGGATGTGGATCATTGGTGTACAAATCTTGAAATTGGGTTATTGACGTGAGTGATGAGAGGTCAAGTTGTACTATTGTTTGGCCCATGAGAGTGTTATAATGATACATGACGTGACTTAGTCATTGTATAGTAAATTAAGTAAATTTAAAATTTATAAAACTAGAAAATACAACTTTTTAGATATTTAGAAGTATTTTTGAACAAATATATTAATTATAATTCAATAAAACTTCCAAAAATAGTGATAATTTTTCAAGTCGATTACAAGGATGTAATATAATATTAGGTAATTATTCAGATTTTTTTTTCAAAGAATATTATTTTTTATGAATTTTATATTAGGAAATGAAAATGAAATATATTTAAAATTTATAAAAAAAATAAAAAAAAGAGTGCAGACGTTAAGATGATGTTAGCGCCCGGTGAATGCGAATTGGATGAAAATAAAGTTCCATTTGGTGATTCTTATGTAAGTGATTACAGACGATTTAATTGATCAAATTAAGATTTGTAAAAGTCAAAAGAATCGTAATTGAATGAAATATATCTTAGTAAATTTAAATCACACAAATTATCACTAGATGAAGTAAAAATTAAGTTGAAAGTAGAAAAACAGAGTTCTGACATCGTGGTGGCGATGTATTGGCGATGCACTAAAATCTTGAGCATTCGAGAGGATTGTCATACAGTGTCTACGGCCTCGAAGGCTCTCCTTAAACAAGGATGATATGAGCAATCTCTAGATCTTCTTGCGAAGTCTAGAGATCAATGAAGTGAGTCGTTGAATTGTCTTCAATAGCTGTCACCCAACAAAGCAGAAAAATGACGACTTTACGATTCTCTAATGACTGTCACCCGACGGAGAGGAGTTAGATGGAGGTTGGGCGTGTGTCAGGGAGCTTCATCTTCAGGTCTGTGTAGTAAGAGGAGGCTTTTCATTGCATCTGGTGTGCTCTCAAGAGGTGGTAACTCATCTCTCGGTAGATCATACTCTTCTCGACGATGACTTGTTTGTTGATCAATCGGAGATACTTTACTCATGAATTCATGATTCTTTTATTGTGAGTCATTTAATAATTTTAGTAATAATGCTATGCGAATTGTGTTGACAAGATTTCGGCCGATGATCTAATGATTCTAGTTGCTTAATCCTTTATCGATGATTTGTAAGAAAGTCACGATAATCAGATAAAAAATATGAGTTTTGGTTTTGGGAAGATTCGAACCAACGTTGGTTGGCCGCCCTTTTTACGGAAGGTGTGACGTAGGTTTAATTTCACATTGCTTGTGCATGAAAGTTTTTGGCGAATATATAGTAATATTACATTTATGATTAAGTTCATTTCTTGCATGTGTACAATCATTCTTTGCCCCACAGTCGGCTGGCCACCAATGACATGGAAGGAGAGTGGCACACACGTGCCCTTATCAGTCCAAGTCGCTCGAGCCCTTGTTCACGGCTATTTCTCGATTTTGCTTCTGACTCGCTTGCGGGATTGGCTAGTCGGTAGGTCCCTCACATTTTGTTATATATATATATATATATTCATTTATCTCAAAAGTAAGATTGTAAAAATCATATAAATTTGTATAAAATCACATAATTACCTAAAAAATCATATTAATTAATTAAAAATCATTTTTCATAATTTAACATAAATATAAATCTATTTATCATGAGTTGAGGGTAAAACTATATTATTTATTAATTATTAACTCATGATAATAAAGACTTATCAATACCCCTTGTCAATAGAGAAATAATGAATAAAAGTCTCTAAGTACCAATTGATCTTCTCAATTTATTAACTGAAGTGACTCAGTCGTTGTATATTAAATCACGCAAATATAAAATTTATAAAACTAGAAAATACGAATTTTCAGATATTTAGAAGTATTTCTAAATAAATATATCAATTATAATTCAATAAAAATTCCAAAAATAGTAGTAATTTTCCAAGTCGATCACAGGGATGTAATATAATATTTGGTAATTATTCAGAATTTTTCTCAATGAATTAAATTTTCTTACGAATTTTATACTATGAAATAAAAAGGAAATATATTTAAAATTCACGAAAAAAAGAAAATAAAGGTGCGGACGTCAGGATGACGTTAGCGCCCGGCGAACGTGAATCAGGCGAAAATAGAGTTCTACCTGGCGATTCTTACGTAAGCGATTACAGACGACTTAATTAATCAAATTAAGATCTGTAAAAGCTAGAAGAATCGTAATTGAATGAAGTATAGTTTGGTAAATTAAAATCACACAAAGTATCACTAAATAAAGCGTAAATTAAATTGAAAGTAGGAAAACAGAGTTCTGGCGTCACGACGGCGATGCGTCGGCGATGCACCGGAATCCTGAGCGTTCGGGAGGATCGCCGTGTAGTGTCCACGGCCCCGAAGGCTCTCCTTAGACAAAGATGATGTGGTCAATCTCTAGATCTTCTCGCGAAGTCTAGAGATCAATGAAGTGGGTCGTCGAATCGTCTCCGGCGGCTGTCAATTGGCGAAGCGAAAAAATAGTGACTTTTTCAGCTCTCCGACGGCTGTCACTCGACGGAGAGGAGCTAGATGGAGGTGGGGCGCGTGTCAGGGAGCTTCATCCTTAGGTCCATGCAACAAGAGGAGGCTCTTCATCGCATCTTGTACGCTCTCAGGAGGTGGCGACTGGTCTCCGGGCAGATCGTCCTCTTCCCGACGACGGCTTGTTCGTCAATCAATCGAAGATGATTTACTCGATGGATTCGCGATCCTTTTATCGCAAATCGTTCAGCAATTTTAGTAGCAATGCTCTACGAATCGCATTGACGAGATTTTCGCCGATGATCCTGCGATTCTCGTTGCTTAATCCTTCACCGGCGATCTGCAGGAAAGTCATGATAATCAAATAAAAATATATGAATTTTGACTCTGGAATGATTCGAACCCACGTCGGTCGCCCGCCTATGAGGAAGGTGTGACGCGGATTTTGTCTCACATCGGTTGTGCGTCGATTTTTCAGGCGAATATATAGTAATGTTAACTTTGAGCAAAGT